GGGGGGGGGGGGCGGAGACCTCGAGACACGCAGCAAACGCGGCACAGTCCGCTCTCTGCACGATTCTCTCATCCAGCCCAAATCTTGCCAAGAAGAGGAAGGAGGAAGAATCACGAGAAGAGAAAAGCCCAAGCCATCTCCAAAGTAGAGGCGAATCGATCCAACGTGGCGTGACCTCTCCGGAGCGGGAAGTCGTTGCAAACTTTGCTCGACCTAGCAACAGGGCGGGGAGAAACAAAGGGGCTCGAAACGGGGAGGGGGGGGGGCGTCTAAATGCAGCGTGCACGAAACAGAAAAGCGTGCAAAAGAAGTTTGCGCTAGCCATTAAGCCCGGGACCCCCTCCCCCAACCCGGTGCACCGGGGGCGCTCACCTGCCAGGATGGCTTTGCCCGGGTGGGTCAGCTTGGCTTTCCCCGCCGGGGCGGCGGCGGCCAGGCAGCGCGGTCTGGGGAAGGGGCTCACGAAGGAGGCGGGCGGGGATGGAGCCATGCTCGGGCGCCCGAGAGGCGGGTCCGCGGCGTCCTCTGTGCGCACGGCGCGGCGCGGCTCGGGAGCGGGGCCCCGCAGCGGCTGGCAGGAGGATGCCCGGCCGGCTGGACCGCGGAGTATATCGGCGGAGGGGCGGGCGGGCAGCAGACGCCCCCTCCGCCCCTAGTGGGGGTGTGGCAGCCGCGCTTGCCGGCGTCACATCCTTGGAAGGGGCATGCGCCTTGGAGCAAGGCGAGCAACCGCGGCAGGAGCCGCCTGCAGAGGAGGCAGAGGGAGGGAGGAGGGAGGGAGGCGGTGGCTGGGTCGCGGGCGCCCCGCCTCGACGCCCGCGCGGCTCTGCAGGGCGCCCCTCGCAGCCGCTCTGCTTGCTCCTGCTCTGCGAAGTAGTTGCGGAGCGAGCCGCTTGGCGCCGAGCCGCTGCTGCGCTTCCCGCCGCCCGGGGCGCCGAACCGGGCGCCGCCTCCGCGCCCACGAGCCGCAGGTCGCCGCCGGGCGAAGAGCCCCGAGCTGCCCTCGCGAGTGGCCCATGGCTGGGCGGGCACGGCTGGTTAGCGCAGCGGCGTTCAGACGGCGCGATGAGCCAGGTTTCGAGAATGGCGGACAGGTCCACAGCAAGCCAGACGCAACTTTTGAGCGTGTGTGCGCGGGGGGGGGGGGGGGAATCTGACTCCAGTCATCGTCCAGCAGCTTCTCCCGGGTTTAGCCCTTCCCTAGAGTTCCTGGATCAAACCGAGGTCTGGTGGCATGCGGAGTTCTACTCCCAAGCAAGCATCTCCAAATAAAGTCTGTGCTTCGTGTGCAAAGGGTCCTGTGTTTGTTTCCCTCTTTCTCTGTTTTAAGACGGGTGGAGAAACTCTGGCCTGGGGAGGCTAATCTGGTCTCCTAGAGTCCCATCCTGAGGGTTTCCCTACTCCGAAGGGATGACCTCCGAAGGTTTGAGATTACCATTTCCATTGCCCTGCTGGAAGTTGCAGGCCAAGATACCAGATTACTTAAGGCTTCTGTGCTACATTTTAGAGCCCAAAACAGGGAGGTTTGTCACTCTAGACATGTTTTCCTTTGCAGCTTGCCTTTGTTTATAAAATAAACTCAATCAGCTTCTCATTCATGAATTGCTGGACTCTCAGGCTCATGGGGTTGTTGTGAGGATAAAATGGAGAGGACAATCATGGAAGCTACCATGGATTCCTTGAAAGTGGAAGGAAGGTGCTGCATTAAAAATGCTACACAGAGAAAATGGACCTTACAGCCAGGTTGGTGGAAAAGGGGAAAATCACCGGACTATGGAAAGTCGACTTCTACAGAGTTAACTCTGGGCCTACCTATTGCTAGATAGATTGCTCTATCTAGCAATAGAGCTACAGCAGTCTGCCCCTTACTGGTTGATCAGTGGACGATTTGCCATAGATGGACAAGTTTTTAATAGCCCAATTGGATTATCAAGTACATGGGGAAGGCGCCAAGTTGGAAAAGCCTGGGCAGATGAAAGCATCTTCTCAGTCTTGCTACACACAAGCTAGAAGACCAACAGCATTAGAGGGCAGTCTGAGCAACATCTAATTGGACAAAAACTTGTGTTTTGCATTTTTAAAATGAGAGGCAGCGTGGCATAGTAGTTAGGTGCTGGACTGGTGACCTGGGAGAACTGGGTTCGGGTCCCCACTTACCCATGAAGCTCACGTCATATCCATGCCCCTTCTTGGTGAGGATGCAGGGCAGTTTTGTAAACAAGAAGGGGCTTACCTGCTACAAAGTGGGGTTCCTTCCCAAGCACTCTCAAGGTTGAGTATTTCTCGGCGAACCTGATCCTCACAGGCCCGTGAATGCAATTTCACATCCAGAATGCACCTCTGTGCCGTAGATTTCTGTATGTAGGTGTTGACACAATAGGTATAATTACGGCTTCCAGCATTCTTCCACTTTCCTTCCCGCACTGCCAAAGAACGTCCCACATGCGGGTTTTAACTTGGTGTTATTCACAACGCCTGTGCCAAGACTAGGAATGGCAAGGCAGTTGTCTGGGGACAAACGCAGGGCGGCATAAATCCTTGCAACCCATGTTTGCACGGGAGGCAATCTGGAGCGACAGAAAAGCTTAAGCTGAGGGTGGCAGGCCCTGTCTTCGACTTCAGCTCACAGCAGCCCCAACTTGACCAATGACCGTGTAATGTCCTTTCCTCCCCAACCACGTCCCTCTGGAAATTATGTTGTGTTATTGCTTTTACCACGCAAGACTCCTTGATTAATAACACAATTCCCTCAGGCTTATGGTCTAGAAGACGCGACTTGAAAGGCATAGGGATGGTGAGGGAGAAACAAAACTCAAGTGTCAGATCTTTACATCGAGGTTCTTATTATATCCTGCCTTTTTCCTGTTGCAGGGAACCCAAGCTGCCTTTCAAGGTCCTCTCCCACTCCATTTTATCCCCACAACAACAACCCTGTGAGGTGGGTCAAGCTAAGCACGAATGATTGGCCCAAAGTCATCCAGAGAGCTTCCTGGTCAAGCAGAGACTAGAACCCAGATTGTCCGGGTCCCCAGTCCAACAGGTTTTTTTCCCAGGAGAAAGATCAAGTTCCCTGCAGGTATTCCTTCTCCACCAGATGTATGGAGTTAGGATGGATTCCCCCTTGTCCTGGTGTTCTTCCTGGGAGGCAGCAGAGTGCAGCCTGCCGGACGGTTTAGTGCTCCGGCCGATGGATGAGGCCAAAGTCTGAAGTCCAAGGAAACAAGGCAGCAAAAGAAAGACTCGTTGGTGTGTCATCCCCAGGGAGCAGTGCATGAAAGGGCTTTGCGCCTGTGAAATGTGCTGCAATTTTTCAGAATGGCTGCAGCACACCCTTTTTCTGGAAAGAGGTAAATGGAGACAGAGCAAGAGCGCCCACGTGCGTATGGTAAGGCCTGAGGCTATTCTGAAAGGTGGCAGCCACTCCTAGAGGTGCTGCCTCCTAGAGCGCCTCAGCAGAGAAACATCTGGGAGAGATTCCAGCGGTTGAGGCAGCAGGCCTTGTGTGCAGCATGCAAAACGAACTAGGCCCCATGCATCGCTTAATGGGACTTGCTATTAAGCATTCCTCAGAAGTGCCGCACAACACCTAATTAACTGGAACACTCAATTCATTAGTTTTAATGAGCACGGCGTGTTCTCTGCATTTGGCATAATAAAAGAATATAGCCTGCCTATTAAAAATCCCCCACATTTCATAAACCTGCACTTCCTGAGGGATTCATCTGCAAGGAAGGCCAGTCGTTGTGTGAAGGCGATTCCGGTTTTGATCCTAGGCAGCTCCAGTTAAAAGGATTAGGTCGCCTGGAATGGGAAAGGCGTCTAGCTAAGACTCTGTGGAGACTGGTCCATCCAGAGACAGAGTTCCGAGTCATGCAGATCCAGGCCAACAACAAGAGTAGACATGGTGGAAGGTCTGTCGAAGACCCATTCACAAAAGCCCCCCAAAAAGTTGCTCTACATCTCCACCCTTGCATCCCACTTTTCACCTGCTTCTTGCTCTGGCCTGGACCAAGGTGGCGGTGAAGCTGCTGGCAACCATACTGAGAAGTTAGATTCACTGAGGAAGCAGGACTGAGGAAGGTTGCTTGCTAAGAAGTGTCTCCATCTTCTGAGGATCATTTAAGTAAAGTGACATTCACAGACAGTTTCCTGGAGTTGGATTTCTACTTTTTCTCATCGAATGATACACATTGTGATGTTTTCCCCTCAATATTTTTAGAGGAAATTAAGAGTTGCAATATACAGTGGAAAATGCCTGTAGGGGAGAAGTTCTGGTAGATTGTGCTCCTGAATGTTCAGTTTAAAGACTTTCATTGAAACAATCTTTTCTTCAAGTTGCATTACAATACCGCCTCTAGCAGCTTTTAAAACAAAACTCTGAAATCTGCCTTAGTAGGTCTGTCTTCTAGCAGTGAAAGTTGTAACAGCTGTTTTGAGGTTCTTGACCTCTTATTTTTTCTAGTTCATCTTCTACAGGAAGGAAAATTGTTGTCTAACAGATTTACTGTAATTTTAAGTCACCTTTTATAGTGTTTCATTGTGATCTTCCCCATGCTATTGGCTTTATCTACCAAAAATCTATCTTTATCTATACCTCTAATTGTATTTCAATACTGCTGCAGTTCCAAGATTGCAATTTTAGTTGATGCAAGTGAGCCACAAGTAACAAAAGTTGTATAAAAGGTTTTATAAGTACCTACCCCCCCACCCCATGAACAAGGTAAGATGCAACTGCTTTGAGGAGGAGGTGAGTTGTGTAGGTTTTTATCAGTTAAATTTCTGTCACCATCTCCCGTTTTGCTCTAATGGCCCAGGACGCAAGTCCGCAGCTCTAAGGGAACGATCTGCTTGGAATGATAGTGACTGTTATATCCTTTCTGTAACCACAGTCAAGGGCAGTTTGCTTTCCTCTTCTCTCCTAGCAGGAGACAGCATGAATTCTAAGCGTGGGAGGTTAGCGGCTGGGAAAAGGTCGGCTGGGATCTACTGGTAGAACTTTGTGAAGGCAAGATTTGCGTTCCAGACAGTCTTTGTTTTCAGAAACAAGGTCAGCCGGAGCAATGCATCTTCTGTATCTCATCTGCTACAACACATTGTGGTCCTTTGTCCTGTCCAATTACCCCTTTTGCTCCCCTGCATATGGGAAGCCTTACATTCGGCCATCTTTGTCCACACTTTTTCTCCTGGCTGCAGGACACGCGGGTTAATTGCAGCCAAACCGGTTTCCTCCTGCCAGCTTTACTTTCTTCGTAGTACATCAGTGGCTCGTGAACAATGCGATGCGCTGTACTTCTCCTTCTAGCATTCCAAAACTTCAGTGCCGGTTTCACCCGCCCACCCATTCGCTTGTAGGTAACAAATTTAAGAATGTGCATCTGTGTTTAACCCGGCATCTTATTCAGTTCAGTTCTTTGTGCTGGCGAGATTAAAAAGAAAATGACCTAAAAGACAAGGGGCTGACCAGTAAAAACACAATCACATTTGGCAGGTGGCGTTTTAACAATCTAGCAACATCTAGCATTCACGTCGGAGTCCCCAGCAAGGGTCAAGCAGTAAAAATAAGGTCACTTTTTTGCATTCTATAATTTTATGCAGCTGTAAAAGAGGACTTTGTGTTGGACACTACAGTATCCGTAATCATTTTATGATGTTGCTGCTACATGCCAAGGGAGGACAGTTTGGGAAACTTAAGTGCCTCTGCAGGCATAGTATTACAGGTCAAAAGTGGACAGCACAGCTTCCAAATATGGATATATGAAAGTCCGATTTTACATGTCGGATGCCACCTTTGGCTTAAGGGGACGGGAGCGAGTGCTGTGCAGAGACTCCAGACACACCGATTCTCTAGCAGAGCACTGGAGATGCCTGCCACTGTTCACCACAGCAGAGCTGCTGCATTTTCACAGTGATGTGAGTCAAGCTGTTACTCCAGTTTGACAAGCAGCAGCAACTCCCTGCCTTCCCTCGGGACTAGAATTCGCCAAAGGAAAGGTGTGACGGTGTGTTCGGCACTTCACGGGCACAGCTGGCTGACCCAGCCACCCCCTCGAGCCCCAGCAGTTCAAACCACACGGTGGACACTGGTTTGGTTTAAGTTTATAATTGGACTTTCCATAATATTCATGATTAGCACAAGATTCATAGCCATAAATTATACACTGTTATCTAGTTTTAAGTACATAAAATGTTAATGATATATGTCTCTGAAGAGTAGCACGAAGAAGTACATCTCTGTTGGCATTCTCTTATGGGGAAGAAAAAGTGTATGGCGGGCATACCATTTACATAACAATCCTGGCAGAGCCAGAAAAATAAACCTTGAACTGCTGTCAGTCCAAAAAGGCATCTCTGGATGCCCAGAGGGTTAACCCATCTTCCCCAACCTGATGTTCTCCAGAAGTTTGGGCTACCATTTCCAACAGCCTAAGTCAGCATGGCCAGTGGCGAGGATCATTACAAGATGTAGACCGAAACATCGAGCAGAGTCCACACTGGGGAAGACAGGTTTGGGGTGACATCCTATACATATTGAGCCAGAAAGTAGTCCTACAGTTCCCTCGAACCAGCCAGACTCAATGGGTCGTGCAGGACATTGCTGGACTTTCTTCTGGCTCAACATGCATGGGGGGCCGACCCAGAGAGACTCAAGTCAAACGCAACCAGCCTAGCACAAAGCTTTGCTTTCCGATTCAGAGTCAAGACGCAAAAGGCCAAGCATGCTATATTCTGTTCCTTCAAAGTTCACACTCCTTGCTTACCAGCACTGTCCTCTTTTACCGCACATTTACACTACTTATGGCTACCCAGGCACGCGCACGCACACGGCCCCCCTCCCACTTTTGCTCGCTGACTCACACTTGCGGAGTGCCTGTCTTTATTTGTACCATTCGAGGTCGATGACTATCATGCGCTCACGCTGTTACTCTACAGGAAAAATAATCTGGGAATTTTCTGCTAGGTGATATGATCCAATTTATTCTCCAATAAAGAGTTGCAAAGACCAGTCCAGAAGGCATCGATGCTTTTTCTTTAACATTCTGTAAACGGCAAGGCTCCCCCGCCACCCCGCACACCACTCCCTTTCTGTATGGTACTACAAACACATTGGGGTGTGGGGGAAATGGAGGTGGAGAAAGTCTGTGTTACATACGGTTTTTCCAATGTGTCCAACTAGTAAGAATTGACCCTAATTCCTTGCTACTCCAGGAGCTGCTTCATCTGTTACAGTACTTTGAGCACTAACAGCTTGGTGCCAGGATATTACCCGGCAGGAACTTGGCTACCCAAAGGACCCTGTAAGGAGAAAAGTACCAGCACTCCCCCAGCCCAGACACAGCTCCTCCTGACCTCAGGAAGCGATTCGTGTGTTGTCGATTTTAGTGGAGGTGCCGTCTCAGCTTCAGACAGAGCCTTGACATGTCAGTAACAAAGAAAAAAGAGGGGAGGGGAAGCTGCCTTTTTGAGGTTGAAATGCAACAGGACATAGCAATAAATAACACAGTGTCCTTTGGATGTCTCTGAACCAAGCGGGACTGCAACGGCATTCAAGCCAACACAGGAACTCGTCTGCCTCCTTGGACAAAAAAGTAAAAAGGGACGGGAAGATGACCAGTTAGAAAGGTCTGTTGTGGTGCAAGTTACATACTGAAACCATAAACGGGCGGCTGGGTGAATCCTGGTGCTGTGTATCCGTATGGGAAGCTGGCTTGCGGAGGTCCTGCACTGGGACCCGCTGTGAGCATCAGCTGCTGGCCTGGAAAGAGGCAAGGAAGAGTGAGCGCAGTTCTTTGAAGGCTGTCGACAAGCCACGGCTTTTGAGTAACTCAGGCAACGCTAACCCACCGAGACTAGAACTAGACAGCAGAAGAACAAGTCCTATTATGAATGCAGGAGTATGCTTTTTTGGATCTTTTACAGACTGAAACAGAAAGAAGCGCATTTTCGGTTTCATCAGGTGGGCCAATATGCACAGGATGCTGCTTCGGACTATATTAGTTTGTCCATTTACCCCAAACGGCCCGCCTGCCGGCAGCAGCTCCTTCCCAGCACTGGTTCCCAAGATTCTTTTACCTCAAAGAAACCTGAGATCTTCTGCATGTGTTGCAAGCCAGTGTGGTACAGTGGTTAGAGTGTCAGACCAGGACTGGGGGGACCCAAGGTTCAAATCCACACTCAGTCATCAAATTCAAAGGGGGAACCAGGCCAGCTGTTCCCAGCCTAGCTCATCAAGTTGATCTCATGGTCTCATGTCTAGCCTTCCTTTTCTCCAAGGAGCTCCAGGTGGGTTACAGGTAATTCAGTTGCTTTACTATGGAAATAGGAGCCTTCCACAAAAAGGGATACTCAGGAAGGCACCCGGGGTGGGGGGGAGGCTGTTCCTGTATTCCATTTAGAATTGTATTCCATGTACATAATAAATTTAAATTGGTAATTTCTCCAACCACAGAAAGGAACAGAGAAGACTTCCCGAGAAATGCCATGACTGAGTGGGGAGTTGTTTTGGGTATCTAGCATCACACCTAGGATAGCCTGAAAGCTAAGCTAAGGGAATCTTTAGAATTCAGAACATTATCGACAGTCTGCATGGCCATAATTTTAATACATTACAGTTAGATCGGTTAGTTATATGTCCCCAGCCTACAAGGATTAATTCTGTCATAGACGAGACAATTTTGTTAACACTACTGAAAACCAAGCATGCCTCATGCAAGGGATACTGAACTTCCATTTAAAGCCGTTCCCACTGACCTCACCATCATGAGCTTCCTCTAAATGGAGGGACCTAGAATGCAATTGTCAATAAAGTCTACCTTTTGCCAAGTAAGCCAAGAGAGACTTTTTACACATTTCTGGAAAAGAAGCACTGTCTTCTTCCACAGGAGGATTGATTTTCCCAAGGGATATCTTCCCGGGAAGCCAGTGGAAGGGCAGGATTTCTCTTCCAGAGCTCAGAAGAGTTACAGAGGCAGCATAAAGAGTTTTCTGTTCAACTTGAAATAAGGTACTTCTAAAAAAAAGCAGATCACTCCAAATGTAGAGGATTCTTCTTTTAGCTTTTATAAGTGAAAACCCCTAAGAGCCAATTCTAGTATAACTTTCTTTATCTGGCTCTGAGCAGTTTCAGTGGAGGGATATACGATATCTAAAATGGGTCATCCATGTAATTTGCTGATAAGTTATTTCACAGCAATAGGCTCTACCTGGGAATCTCATCTCCACTCACAGATCATGAATGGGCAATACATGTTTTTGTTTGATCCCAATGCATGTTTAGCATTTGTGTGCCCCCGGAACTTCTTGGAAAACATCCAGAATCTGCAAACACATTCACCAAGGCAGCAATACGAAATATACTTATTAGGGAGTGAACCCCACCGAACCTAGTAAGGCTTCCTGCTAAGTAAACAGCTTGTGCTACATGATACTAGCCCTAGGATAGTGAGAAAAAAACACATCACACCAACTGAATGTTTGTTGTGATGGCATGACAGGTGCAAGCAGTGACAGATTCAATGGGGGAAACGTATGGTTCTCTATTTCACATGTACACAGGGGGAGCAGTTGGGAGTAGAAGGAGCACCAAAACTGAAGTTAAGGTTTATTTTTTTTTTTTTCATCGTGGCAGCCTACCAAAAAGAAAGCAAGTCTTCACCTACCAAATACTATTGGAGTGGGTTCAGTTACTTGTTCTTCTTCTTTCCTTAGGCTTTCAGAAGCATCAAGTTTATCCACCTAAGTTACAAAGTGAAGAGGAAATTCTTATGAGGGAACTTTGTAGAAAGCCTGCAACCTGTGACCTCCTACCGATTTCCCCCAGCAGATGCTTCAGAGTCTTGGGAATGTCGCTTGAAATGCCTGTTAGTATTGCAGCAGGTCTAGCATAGCTCCCCTGCTGGGCTGAATGGTGGAAGCTCCTCATTCAAGTCAAGTGTTTGCTTAATAGCTGGAGAGTATGGCTCCAGCAGAGGATTGGGGACCACGCAGCCTGCAGGCCCCCTTTGCTCTCCCAGGCTGATCTTTCAGCTCCCAATACACTGCTGCGACAGAAGTGGTGAAAAGAAAAGAAAAAAAGGACCGAGTTATGCAAAGAAAGAAAATGTGTGGGATGGAGTGGCACACCTGCTCTGCCAGCAGAATTTTGCTCCTGGAAGTCTCCCAGAAGCATCATTCTGGTTCCAAGCAAGGCACATGCTTCCCACATGCTGTTTTCTTGTTCTCTTGCACAACCGCAGGGGGTGCGATGGCTGCAGTGCCTGGTAGCTGCCCACCCTGCTGTCCGAGCAAGAACGACCCGGTCTGGTTCACAATAATAGTTGAGAGCTACTGCCTGGATTCACCTCCAGTACCCATCCATCACCTGGAAGAGCCAGCTCCCACATCCCATGGCGCTCAAGGAACAGGACCTGGGGCTTGCTCGGCAGGAGCCAGTTTATGATAAGGGTGCCTAAGCAGTTGTATAGCGCAGGGCTGCAGAGTGCTTGGAATTTATGAATGGGGACACAGCCAGCTTCGCCTGCCTGTCAGTGAAAGCTTAGCCCTCACCAAAGGGGGCGTCCCGACATGTATGTCTACAAATCAGCGGCTGGTTTCCCCGAAACCTCCACCATGTGCAGGTTTAATGAGAAGAGGGTCCATGCATGCAAATGGCGGGGGGGGGATGTTTCTTTGGCTCTTCCCGCTGGGGGTCATTATGCAATATACTCTACTGCTCTGCTCTGGGGTGGGGGGAAGGGTTAGGAAGGGAAGAAGCGGGCAAGTGCCAGCATGGCCTTATTCACTATATGCATTCTGAACTGATGGGTAAGAGCGAAAGAGCCATCCTTCCACGTCTGGTTTGGGAGAAGAGGGACAGGGCTACACTGGGGGAGGGGAAGCTTGCAGCCCACCCCAATCTCTGCCTCCTTAATGCTGGGAGGAAAGGATCAAAAAGTCGCTATGGGAGGAAGTGGAACTTTTCACCCTTCCTGCACTGATCCCAACTGGGGCGGGGGGGGGGGCTTTCACTCACATCACAGTGAGACTTAACTCGACCCCCAGTGTTGCGGCAAGTCCTGGTGGCAGAACCCCGAGGCGGCGACTGAGACGGCTGTGCTGCCGAGTCTGTCTGGAGGCACCAAGCACAACGGTGCAGTAAAAATGCACTGAAGCTTTTGGCAGCTTTCTGCACTGGAAAAGCTTCTCTTCAAGGCAATGGTTTAAATGGAGTAGCAGGAGGGTCTCTGTTTAGGTTTGGGCTGTTCCGTTAGCATGGATGCCTCTCCTCTGCAGGGCTATCATTTCTGATTCTGCTTTTGCACTCCCCGGGGCGGCAAAGAACTTTCTGCTCTATAAGCAATTAGCAAAATTCCGACGTGCATCCCTGCCTGGCACAGTCGAAATAACGGAAGGAACTTTACTCATGGGGAATTCACCTCATCACGGCTGTGTTTCTAAGGAGGTCTCAAGTTCCAGGATTGGCTGAGTGTCCTGTTCATTCGAACAGGCTGAGATGCACGTTTTGCTATCAAGTGACCGAATTCCTCACGGTGCATTATCGAGGGATCGGGCTGTCTCACACGTGCTTTTTAAATTACAGGTCACTGCTGTAGAACAATCCTCATGAAGTGGCCATGTGCAGTACCAAACAGTAGCTTCCTTTCTTGTGCAGAAAGGAGCTGCAGTACTGCAGTTCTGTGCCTACGTACGTACGTATGTATGTATGTAAAACTTTGATATGCCGTCACCACATGCCTCGGCATCTTGGGTGAGAAGACATATGCATTCAGTTTTACAGGCAGGCACCCTAATATTCTTGATGACCCAATTGGTCTCTGGAAGAGAAATCAACTGTCTTAGTTGCTGTTACACGTGTGGTGTTGTTTCATCTATTTTCATCTCCCGCTGTACACCGCTCCAAAATCTCCATTCTGGAATAGGGAGCGATACATACACTTTGTAAATAAATAAAAGTATGCGTGGCAGGAAGAGAACATTTTATAGGTCCAACCTGAACAGCAGTATTCAAAGCTAGGGGTGGGCAACTTGCAGGCCAAAACTTCTGGATGAGCACAATCCCCATGAGCCCAAGACAACATGGTCAATCCAGGGGGCCAACACAAGCTGTGGGCCAAAATGTCAGGAGAGGCACAAGTTGCGTGTCCCGGCTCTAGGCTTAATATTCAAGGCTCCCTCGGAAAAGCTGCTGATTTGCCTTATGTACTGGCCTGATGCCGGCTAGGCTCTCTCTAGTTCTGTCCCATGGGTGTCCTTGAGTTGCTGCCTGCCTCTTCTAAATAGTCGGAACCTCTGAAATGACTTTGCTCTTGAAAGCAACACATTTGATTCCACACCTGTGACTGCGGCTCAACCCCCTCCCCATCAAGCTCCTTGGGGTCTAGCAAACTATTATTCCATTAAAAGAAAGGGGCAGCCAACTTAACAAATGGATCCTCTTAAAGGAAGCTACCCCACTCGAACGGAATGTTGGGGCTTGCAGGACCAGAAGTCAGGTCAAAGGTTCTTTCCCTCCACAGAGGCATTTTCCTTCACATTCTAGAGAACTCTTTTCCACCCAAAAGGGCAGACATGCGACTAGATGTATCTGATGTGCTGGACATCTGTTTTTATCCCTGCATTTTTAAATATGTTCAAGCTTTGTTAACAGGAGGTATACCTTCTGGTAGAAAGGCACACCCCTAGCTGTTAGGTTCACACTTACATGAAGGAAGTTAAGCGGCTTCACATTACATAGGGGAGTGGGGGGGAATTCATTCTCCAATTAATTACAAATTCCATGTACTAGGATTAGTGCTTGTTTTAAAACCAGTCTCATCATGCAGGTTCCTTCTGGAAGACTGAATATTTAGTAGACACTTAGCACCAGAAAATCCAACCAGAGTTCAGCTTGAAGAGGTCCGCAACAGTGTAAGTTAGATTAATTGGTTTGAGAATTTACAAAATCTAAAAATATGGTAGGGGGTTAATTTATGATTCATTGCACACCCCATTCTCCCTTTCTCCTCCCCTCACTTACCATTTCTCTGACTTTAATTCCAGGTGCTAACTTAGTAGATTTCTCCAGTAAGTGGCAGCATCATAGTCAATTTGGCTCTTCTACCTGAAATATCTAACCTAATCAAATATGTAACATTGCTCATAGGCTTGGTTGGAACATTCCCATTTCCCCTACAAGGGAAGCAAGCAGGGTCTGGTTGGATTTTCCCCCAAGTTATTTATGCAGAAATATCGACTACAGCATGAGTTAGACCAAGCTAGATTATTCTGCTTTTCAGCAAAAGCTACAGCTAGATTCCCATATAATCTTAGGTGTGTTTTAAGGGACACAAATTAAAAAAATGTAAACCAGAGAGACTGTCACCTTATTAAACAGACCATCAACCTGCAAAGAAAATTCAGAGGGGAATACTTAAAATCAGTAAGCCAAGAAACCAATTTCAAGACAAAAGCAAAGATCACATAGCATTTCGTGGGTGAGGGAGGGGTGGGAGGAAATGCCTACAGACAGACAGACAGACTGGAAGGGAAAAGCACACGCGTAGCATTTAAGCCTCTGAGAAATCAGTGTATTACTCAAATGCGTATCAATTCATGGAAATAAAGGTTCTGCAGTGCAGTTTAAGAGGCACTGCATTCATGGGCGTATACTGGACAAATCCATTATCTGTACATTGTACTCGCCATGCTAACAGGTTTGCACACTACGAGGCTGATGTATCTTTAACTGGTGTGGAGAAGAAAAAGGTGCAGATGGAGACAGAATTATTTGACACTGCATTAACCGGGCTTAAGTAGTTCCAGAAGTAGTTCCACAACTAGTTCTGTCTAGTTGTGCTCAGACAACTAGACAGAACTGCTATTGAAATGCCATTCATTTTCTTAAGATCGTTGCAAGCCCCTCTATCCCCTGCCAGAACCTTATTTTTATTGGTTTTGAAGAATACTGTTATACTCAGTAACTGAGGAGTTTTTAAGCTATGGGAGATGCTGAAGCTTTGAGGCAAGATAAATGATTTGCCCAACCGTCTAGAGACAAGCAACACAACAAACCTTTTTCAAGAAGTCAAACTTACTTTGGTAAGGTATTCCCTCATCACCTGGATGAAATAAGGCATCGCAAAGTCCATTATGTTGTGCCGCCATGCCAGCTCAAGGACCACATCCGGATGCAACAAGTCGTAACATGTGAAGAGTGACGCCGCAAAACACTCCTTTTTGTCTTCTTCCAGAAACCACTGCAGGAGCTTCTCCGCCAGCTCAGCGTCTTTGGATTCAGCAGCATACTGCATCGCATCCTGTGGCACAACACAAGGATGTTCCCCTTTTACAGCTGTGAAACAGCTCTGCCACACACCTCCCATGAGATAAGTAAAGCTGGGCAGTATCCAACGTTCTCGCACAAAAGCAAACTACACTGCACCAGCTCAACCCCAGTTTTGGTGTGTTGGGTTTTCTGGAACATTCTTGCTGGATACTGCCCACAGGCACCAAACGTGTAGGCCTGTCCCACTTTTCCAAGCCTTTTAAATCGAAGACTCCACCCTACCCTTCATCACAAGGCATACAATGACGATTCCTCTATATGGACACACCTTATACAGACGATCTTTCTTGCAAAGCTCCACACTCTGTTTCCATCTGTTATTGCCTTTGTACAAATAAGCAGCAATACGTCTGAATTCAATCAATTCGTGCTTCTCTAGACGTTGAGCCAGCGTGATGTTATCGAAATTGTCGTAGGCATCAATGGATGCTCGCAAGCCCTGTTTGGAGGAGGAGAAAATTAAACCAATGAGTTGAGAATGTGAAGGTGCTGAAACACGGGGGTGGCCACCCCTTTTAGGGGAACCTTCCCAAGGGGACAATTTGGGAAGGGAGTACAACTTTTGGGAGTACAACTCTGCTGGTAAACAAGGACCACATTCCCCATGTGCCTTGTTTCCAAGGAAAATGGGTTGGAAGGTAGCCAATGCCATGGTCACGGCCTTTTCAAGCAGGGGGCCACAAAACAAGACACATATTACCCACCCCTGCGCTAGACCCTCACTGCACCGACTTTTCCCGCTAGCAAAATCCCTTGCTGCAGCTTGTACTGCTTTAGCAGAACCCAGAGTAGACGCCAGATGTCAAGTATTTCAGACCAAGTCGTGAACCACGTGGTGCTCTGGCATCCATACTGTGGGATGCTACGGTCACTACTCCAAAAGCTCACCTGGTAGTCTTCCTCCTCTGTCAGCAGATTGTTCAGTGCCTCGTTGACTCCTTTGTTGTTATGGTTCTGGACAGAGCGCAAGTACGGTTTCACTAGAGGCAGCTGATTAACCTATGGGGGAATAAGACGGTTTAGGCAAAAGGCTGCTGTTGAAGATTGTGCCCCCAATCTAGTCAGTCACACTGAACTGCTGTGCTGAAAGCATTTTCCTGCCCAACTAAACCAGAAGTCTTTGCATGTGAGTGCCTTTACAAACTGGAAACAGGGCTTCCTTCTGGAATAAAAAGAAACTGGGAACAAGACTCCTATGGCCCACTGGGGAGTAATAGATCTGAAAATGGAGTACAAGTCCAAAATCACCCCACCATGTTAAGAGCTCACCCCCTCCCCAGTTTAAACATTCAGTTTGAAATAAGAGGTATGTGAAGGGCAGACCCTTCAGCACAATTTAAGTCTGTGCCTCCAACTTACCTTGGAGAAAAAACTGACCGTCCTGGTGTGATCCAGCCGCGGTGATAATACCAGGAGGAGATCGTTCATCAGCAATGGTTTGTAATCCAAATAAAACTGCAGGGCCTTATAATACAACTCCACATTGGCAACCTAGAGAACAAAGAGAAGCTGTGAGCCAAGTGGCTGGGTCTAAAATAATGCATTAGAATTCATTAATATTTTAGTTAATAATCCCAATGCTTGGGCAGCTGCTAAAGGGGATTAGAAACATTCACGGAGGATAAGGCTATCAATAGCCCCTGTTGAGGAGGGCACCATTTATCAAAGGCAGTCTTAACACCACTTGCGGGGGAACATGAAGGCAAAGATGCCTTTCATGCAAGCCCTGCTTTTAGGCTGCTCACAGGTATCCAATTAGCCATGATGAGGATAGCATGCCAGAAAGGATAGGACCTTGGTCTGAATCAGAACAACTCTCTGACCTTTGAGCATCACACAGAAACCGAACATAGCTCTTGAAGTACCTTCAGGATTTTTGGCAAAGCCATCTGGGTCATTTCATTCCAAAAGAGAAATAGCAAAACAGGTCCGAGGTGACTTTCTTTTAAAGCTTTGTCAAGCTCCCACTCCATCCTTAAGTGAACAGTGACACAGGTGTTCAGTACACAAAAAAGTGTGTGTCTGATACTTCACAGATCAAACTCCTGATGTCCACAAAAGATTAAGGAGGAGAGAGGGAAGCAGCATCTCTGGCAGGAATGAAAATCATCACACTTCTCAAGACAACACCTTCAGGAAATATTACCTGGCATGCAAGAGGCTGAGGGCTGCATGGTGTGTGCCTCTGCCGTGTGATGATCCGGCAGAGTCTTCCGGTACTTTGGCCCATTCTTGGGTTCTTCAGAACATGTCTGTGTACTTAACCTTCCACTGGCACACGGCTGTGGCTTTGGCCGTGAAGTGCAGAACCGGAGGAAAATCACCTCTACCGAGGCTTACCTTTGCGATTATATCCTTGAACTGCCCTTCCTTCCACGCATCTGTAGGGTGGTTCATCATTGTGATGATCGCATTGTCGTATTCTTCGTATTTGTCATACAGGAAAACCAGCTCTCCCCAGAGATGGGCCTGCTCCGCTGCTCGAAGAACCTTGACGTTGGGCGAGATGAAAGGCAAGCGTTTTATCAGTTCGGCAGCAGCCAACGCGAGAGCTGAACAATGCTGGCTCCCTGTTTATCGTTCGGAAGACATTCAAGGGTGTTGGTTCTGCTTTTATAGCTCTAATCAGCCTGGGATGAGCTACTGAACAACAGAGTCCTCCCACGTCAACTTGCCTGCTTTTAGCAAGTTGAAGGTCCTTTTCCTACACTGTTCCTCCCATGGAGATGAGGACAGATTGGTACTCAAGGCCTTCATTCCGTGGCCCTCTGCAGGCTGGGCCCTCCCCTCCATGCCCCAAAAAACATTGATGTGGCCCCTACTTCCCTGAATTTCCACACGCAGGAAAAGCTTTCTTTCCAGAGGTTCATTTCTCCTGTTTTCTGAATCGCTCCCCATCTCCATTAATCCAGTGCTACGAATTGTGGCTTGACTTATTTTTCTTGTTCATCCAACTTGTTGCAAGCTTAAGCATTCACACCTTGGAAAGGTCTTGGCACTGCATCGTTTTATTCTTTTCGGTGCCAGGCCAAAGCCTTTTTCTTTTCCCAATGTTTTAAGATCTGATGGTTTTAATTGGGGTTTTGTTATTAGCTAAATTTTAGAATGCTGTGCTTTAATTTAACTAATTTTTTCTCCTTACATTTTGTATTGTTAAACTGTCCTGAGACTTAGGTAATGGGACGATCTACAATTTTTTAAAATAAACATAAATAAATAAAATTGCAACAGTGACATCAAATACCTTTGGAATATTGACTCTGGACCAGAACAATTCCAAATGCTCTCTCATCTTCTGGGGTTTATATTTGGAATACAAGATAGCAAGCTCTGTGAACATCCCCATGTGAGCACGCTCCAAGCCTAGAGCAGCTTCCAAGAGGGCGATCAGCTCTTCGAAGTAACCACGATCCTAGGATTCAAGGATGCAACCCATTTAAGAACTTTACACCTTGCTTGCGAAAGGGCTTGTCCTAACACTTGTCCTTTAAAAAGTACCATTCAGCTTAGATATGGAAAATTCAAAACTTTTTGGGCAACACCAAGTGTACGACAGTTTGTATGAAGAAACGGCGAACTAAAGCATTCAGAATTTCATTGTTACAGTCTAAAAAAGACTGTTGGCAGACTGCTGGTAGGTGAGTCAGCCCAGGAGTTTTTCAGCCACGAGTGTTAATGTGGTTCTCTAGTCTGCCTATCAGCGTAATGCAATTGTTCTGTTTGTGCTGGAAAATATCCCAGTATTAATTCCTGCTTTACATGCCCAGAGCTGGCTTAGCCCTTTACATATTAAAAGCCACTTATGCTTGTTTTAGTTGTGAATACTACGGCTGTTGACTTCAGCAAAGGAGGGTATAAATATTTTAAACACCTATTACGCAGCCAAGAAGATGCGAGGATGTTTACAGTGCAGATGGTTAACAGAGTCTAACCTGATAATAGCTTATCAGCTCTTCAAGCTCATCGGCGTGGATTACTATGTGTAAGCCACAGATCTGTGCAAGCCGAAACTCCTTTCCATCCACACAGGCAAAGCACACCTGAAAGCCAGAAAAAAAAACTGTTAGCAAAGCAGGTACAAAACACAAAATGCTTTTATTCCAATCGGTTGGCCCTGAGAGTCAAAGATGTTAGCAATTTTTTATTCTGCAGTACCTTATACTATATATTACATTACAACCATTATTCATTCAAATATATCCTTTCACCAAAGGGATTTTAAGAGGAAATTTGTGTGTACGATTACAGCTTTCACAGAAGCTGAAACACTTATGAATTCCTTAAAAAGGGACCCCTTGCTCCTTAGTTTAGTGGTAGCCATGGTTGCGCAGTTCGAAATTTAATCACAAATTCTCTCTAAAACCAACATAAGGCAAGGCTGGACTATTGTAACGCGTTCTATGTGGGGCTGCCCTTGGGGATGGTCTGGATACGTCGATTGGTTCAGAACAGAGCCGCCAGGTTGCTAGCAGGGACCGGCAGATACACACACATAACGCCAGTCCTGTACCATCTGCACTGGTTTCCAGTTGAAGTCTGGGCCCAATTCAAGGAGCAAGTGATGACTTATAAAGCCCTAAACGACTTAGGAACTGGATATTTGAAGGAGCACCTCCTTCCATGTATACCTGCCTGGCTTCTAAGATCTGGAGTGAAGGTCCTTCTTCAGGAGCCCTCTTTGAAGGAGATCCGAAGAGTGGCTACCCAGGGAAGGTGACCCAGCTGTGGAATGGGTTTCCCAGAGAGGTGTGCCTGGCACGGATGCTTTTTTCATTTTGGTGCCAGGCCAAAACCTTTTTATTTTCCCATTATTTTACTTGTTAGCAGTGTTCAGATTGATTTTACATATTATTTCTGGACACTGTATATTATTTATTTTATTGCATTGCCCCCCTGAGACACTGTGAAGGGTGGGATATAAAAGCTTTAAATAAATACAGGTAAAACAAGCTACCTCTTTCCATGTCCTGGTGCTGTTGGCTTTGCGAGCACTATCAACCGCTGCTTGGTACTCCCCGAGATGAACGAGGGTAGATGCCAGGCGGGCAAAATTAGACACGTTGTTGTAGAGCAGTTTTGCGGCATCATACATGCCCTCCTCGTAGCAACGATCTCCAACCTAGAGAGACAGTGTCTGTGATGAGGAATCAACAGTGAGGTATCCGAGCTTGGTGCCTCGTGTCTGTACCAAGCCATCAGAAGTGAGGCCAACTGACAGTGTCTAGCAAATGCAGGAATGTTCGCAGAAGCACGTACCTGTTGTATGTGAGCATTGTTGGGGCCGCTAACAAACTCTTCTAACTCTGAGAGCCGATTTGTTTTTGCCAAGGCAAAAATAAGTTCAGTCTCGACGTAAGATTCTCTTGCTTTTTTCCTAGCCATTTGCAGGAATTTAACCAGATCCTCCCAGTTATCTTGGAGTGTAGAGAAGAGAGAGAAACATTAATTTCCTGGTGTTTGCTTTTCCACGCTTTCCTACATGTGCAGAATGAATACAGCAGTGGGCTGCTTCACACATTAATGACCATTTCTGGGTTGCCGGATCGGGAATCGTTGAGACTGCACAGGAGCGAACAGCATGCTGACATCCACATGACTGATGTTTCTACTTTTAATCAACAGAACGTCCAAACCCAGAACTCTGGGTTCTTTAGGGGTTAACCTAAATGTCACAGTAACAACCTAAGAACAGGGCATTTCTGGGTTATTGCTTGAAAGCAGTCATGATGAGCAGAGAGCATGCAGGGGGCTGATTCACAGCTGCCCCACCTATGAGCACATGTGAAGCAAATCAATGTTCTACTCATGAAGAACATAAAGTAGTTTCATGCACACTGACAAACTGATCGAACATGAAAGAATTAATGCATATCATGAAAAAGGTAAAGGAAGCAATTAAATATCATCACAAACAATTGCATGACTCTTTTAGATTTAGAGGTCCAAGCCCATGTTTTGTTCAGGCCACATGTCTGTATGACAGGACCAAATTTTACGTAATTCTGTTTTGGCAGTTGGGGATGAGGAATTTGTTATCTGATATACACTCTCCCAAAAATATGCAAATTAGGACACATATATCTCCTTGCTTCTGCACTTCTGAACTTTGCAATAATTACTAGCTTAAAGATTTGCCAAAGTCTGTATTTTATGTTAAAATACCTACAAAGAATTGGCATTGGGATAAAATGTCTAAAAAGATAACTTTGGTAGAAAAACAGGCTCCAGCAGTGACATGAATTGCCATAGGATAGCTCCCCCCACCCCAACCACACACACTGGCGATTGATGTCGATGGATCAGAGTTACAATGAAAGCCTGCCAGTCTGACTTAGATTCGCAACAATCCACTGTCAAACAGCAGCCATGAAACGGAGCGCTCACATTCAACCCGTTTCCCTAAGCTCAGTGAATCCTTGGCTTACCATTTCTGTTGGCTGCCTGGACAACCTCCATGTAGGCAGAAGGATCATCCGCCTTGATGTAAGAATCAATGGCTTCCTTAACCAGGTCCTTTTGGAGCTGGGCTCTGGCCAGCTGGCTCCAAACTGCCGGCTCGTTGCATCTCTCTGCAAATTCGTACGCGCGATCCAAGTTGCCAATGTGTTCTATCAGCACCTAAAAGAGGTCCCAAAACCTGTAATAAGTTGTCTCAGCAAATTAGTAGGCAGAATTGGCTTGGGGGGATGGAACGGTTGACGATACTAGAGAAAAACCATCCATATGACCTCCAGATATCGCAAGTGTGTGTTGTGTGTAGACACAGACAGACTTTTATTTAGACAAACAGTGGAAAGATAGGGGCAGCTGCTCTCTTTTAATCTAGTGTTGTGTCTATTCATAAGCATAGGCAAATAAGAAACTTGCCAGTCTGAGAAAGTTTGGTTCACTTGAAAAAACAAGTTCAGTGACCCAGGCACGTGTGGAACAGTTTAGAACTACAGCTGTTTCTGGAAAGCCTCAGACCTTAGGGAATGCATGGGCAAGGTTTATATAGCCCTACCCAAAACACCCCCAAAACTCATCCTCAACCCTAAAGCCCATCCTTTAATTTATCCTCAGTACATAAAAAACTACATTCTGATGATCTCTTGTGCTTGAGGAGTGTAAGCACCTTAAAGTATTCAAAAAGGGGAGGGGGAGGGAGGTCTGCTCAGACACACAAATGAGCAATCAGTGCCAGGCCTCACCTGAATGGCGGAAGTATTCACATCGAATTTCCTGAATATGGCAAAGGCTTCTTCATAGAGCTCATTGCTAATCGCGATGTTGGCGATGTCAGGGGCATCGTAGTTGTCCAGACGATTGATGTACTCCATCACACGGGTGCGGTCCGCTTTAATCGCAGTCAAGATCAAGAGATTCTGGAGGTTCCTTGAAATGCAACGATGAAACGGTTAGATAAGGAGATGCAGTCAAGAGGTCCCTCCTAGAATGTTTTATAATAGTGTGCATTTCTGCGCCAAGGAAATGCAACTGCGCTGTATTCGGACTTAGCTCACTTAAATCTAACCACTGGAGTTAGTTCCAGCTTGAAAGCAGCAGGCGCCCCGTTAGGGATTCTCCAGCAGACCATGTTAGCGTGGCCTGTTACACACAACACAGATCCCCCTCCACACACATTTCAAGTAAATCCTACAATGTATGACAGGCATTTCCATTCGTGTCCAGCGGAGCAGGAGGAGCTTCCCTTTCCTACCTGTGCTCACTGAAAACAGAATTGTCCAAAACGATCTTCTCAAGCAACTCGATGAGTTCATTGGGCAGGTCGGCAGTCATGAAAGCTTTGACAGTCACAGAAACCTCTTCTGGATCCTGAGTCTCTGATAAGGCTGTTTGGACAACCTGGCATTCGGAAAACAATGTGCGTTATTGTCATGACTGGCATAGATTAGCCACCTCATTCTAGGGAGCAGAGAGAGGCACTTTGATACAAGGGGCAGGGTTTATAGCTTTTTGTGATAAATGGATGGTTTAGAAGAGTTTCTATTAGATTTTCTGAGTTTGCTTAGCATGTAACTAAGGAAAGAGTTACTAATGGGTAAAGTTTTCCCCAGAAGGGAGAATTCCGGGGAAATTAATTAAAACTGCTTCCTGAAACAGCTTAAACAGGAGAGCAAGATGGAGCAAACATGTCGAGCAATACTTAACAAGCATTAAAGAGGTCACACAAATCTTATTTAAAAGAGAACTGTGAGGGAGGGCTTACTATATTTAGCGACTGCCATCCGTTTTGGAGCAATCCTGTGCTAAATAATAAGGCATATTGCTATCCTGGTCTGTCACTACTTAGAATGTATTTGCCATACCTGATCGATGAGTGGTCTCCTGAATGGATTGTTTTCTTCGAGGACATTCACCCACAGTTCTGGATCTTTTCTGCGCACTAGGTAGCGGGCTTCACTCTTGAACAAGGAATTCTCATTGCAGACCTGGGAGACAGAGGGAAACGCTAAGGAAACCAACAGCATGTCTTCTGGATGAAAAGCAAGCCATTCCGGCTTCACTATTAGCCTAAGTCCTACTATCAGTGGAGAGCTGCATCAAGCTGAATGCAAACCATTGTTATTGCAAAAGCATCCACAGCGTATTAAATGAGTAGAGTCAATAGAAGAAGAGCCTTAATTTTCTTTAAGACAATGTCCTTTTAGCAAACCAGCTTTGAGCCACAACTTAGCCTTAAGTGGCTTGTGTTGTGGCAATACAGTGGAAGGCAGTGGCTTTAAGAGTCCTAACCTGATCCAGCTGCACATATTTCAAAGGGAGATTGGCATAAAATCAGTCCCGTTACTGAAAATGTGCTTTGCACTTCAGCAGGCATCCACCATCCTACTAAAGCATGCCTGGTACTGAGGTTACCACTTCACTGTGCATAAGAATACCTTATCCCATCCATGCATGCTGGCTGACCATTCAGTGTTAACCAAAGGTAAGTCCTTCAAAGAAATGCAATGGCCTTCCCCAGCCTGGTGTCCAGGACTGGTCTTAGACCCAGCCTCATCAGTCTTAGGCAACAAGGCCAATCCTGAGGAATGCTGGGAAATGTAGTCCAAAACACCTGGAGGGTGCCAGGCTGGATAAGTTTGGGTTTGATGCAGGCTGGTCTTTTACTGGTTCTGTTCCTTTGCCCTTTTCTTCAGGCTCATGAGTTAACAACTGCAGTTGCTAATCAGTGCTAACTACAAACTTTCCAAGGGGTTTTCTCTGAAGCAGCAATGGGCTGTCCCACTTAACTGCAAGGGAGCCCCTGCACATGCAGAGAACTTGGGGACCGAATTCTAGTTCTAGGATAAATGCACCGCTCAAACCAGTACCAACCAAGTCGATCGGTGTGCAGCAATGCTTCACGTGAACCAAATGTGATTTGCCCTTTGATGTGTCACTGTATGGCTTATACTGAATTTGTATTTTATATTGTGCACACTGTCTTGAGATCTCATGGATGGAGAGCAGTTTATAAATGCTTATTTCTTTTAAAACATACGCCTAATCTTTCTCCGATGTGCAGAGGCAGACTGGCAGTAGTGGTCAAACCATCATCCAAACACAAGGAAACAGACGTGAGCTATGAACGAAGGCCGTAATTATTTATGACACTTTTATACTGCCAAAGCTCTCTGGATGGTTCCACCATTACTGACTTTCTCAACGGAGAACCATGGAGTACCCCAAGATATAGTTTGGGAACCACTTATTCTGAGAAACCACTTTGCTCATGCAATCCTGATTTGCTGGAAGACACATGAGCACTAGCAGATTGCGCCACGTTTGAGTTTTCATGCCCGACAGAAAGAAGTTGATGCCAACCTTTATGAGCTCAAGGTCACACTGCCCCCTCTCATAAGCCACACAAGCCAAGTGGGGGTCCCTCTTTTCACAGTATTTGCCAACAACGCGGCTGTCGTAGAAAGGGTTTTCCCGCAGGAAGCGCTCTGGGTTGTTGTTGCTGTCAATATAGATCTTGGCCAGCGCATTGTGTGTTGCCGGTTCTTCACAGCCTTCATGAATTCGGGACTCGAGCCAGGGCAGGAGCAGCTTAAGCCTTCAATAAATAAGAGCACAGCATTCCGGTTTGCTCTACCATTATCCTTAATCCTTTCCCATAGCTGGTATCCACCCGGGCCCTACTTCTCACTGGTGTCTGAGAAGCCATGTCACCACAAGCACCTCTCCCCTTGTCTTAAAAAGGACACGCTTCCATGCTGTAGTGCTCCCGCCCATCCCTGCAAGGCAGGCAGTGCAAAGCAAAGGAGCAGCACCAGCTGGCCGAGAGCAAGACTCGCTCATCCAAAGAGGAACGCGAAGGGTTTCTGCCAACCGTCAGGGTCCTAACGGCCATGTTTATTTTACATGAAGGTCTGTAAAACATTGTCTTGCATTCCACATACTTAGGAAACCAGAACAAAATGTTTAATTCACCAAAGGGTCTTGTCTTACCTATTTCGCTTCTCTACTTCAGCTACTAATTCATCTGTTGAGAACTGGCCTCTCACCACCATGATCAAGTTCTTAATGACATCTTCAGAACAGTCCACATCTAAAAGCCCTCCAACCACTGCAGGGATACGGCTTGGGTTTACCTAGAACCAATCAAGACTTTTTGTTTCAGGACTAGCAAATAAAATACTTCCAGGTTATTCTGATGAACACAGGTATAATTCAGACTGCAGCTATACCCAGCACTATCATCTGGGGTCAACTCGATTTCATTTAAGTACCCTATGATTAATTATCTGCTACCGCCACATTATTATTATTATTATTATTATTATTATTATTATTATTATTATTTTGTCTGCTGAATGCTTAGCTGCTATTCTACATGAAGCAAGGAGGCATCCTGGCAGCTTTTAGCAAAGCTCACAGGGATTTGTACTTTACCTTTTGAACATAGATTTCAATGTATTTCTGTAGGTTGTTACGGTACAGGTAGAGAACCAGGTCATGAACAAAGTCAAATCTATCGCAGACAATTATGAGGGGAAGTTGGTCTGTGAGCTTAGCTTCCTGCAGAAGTGGGAAAAGAGGAGAGATAGAAACCAGGTACTTTCATAGCCAGAAGGAATACAATACAAGCAGTCCAGTTCAGAACACAACTTGAGAGTAATTTCCTCCTTCCCGCCAACCCAACATTCATAGAATAGTGCATAATACAGTAAACACATGAGTGGAGTAGTTTCTGGAAAGCACAGAATTCCTCTGCATTCACGCAGAGCAAAAAAACACCTATTTCTCTCAAAACAAGGTGAATTAAACTGCTAGGAAACAGGCAGCATTTGAGATCCAAGGATCACCATTTACTTATTTTACAAACAGAATATGGTGGTGTCACCCTCTTCACTGTAAAAGGGTGGGAGGGGGTGTTATTATGATTCCTTCTTTTTAAAGAGCAGAAGTAGAAACAGAGAGGAGACACAAGCTCCTTTTCTCCTCTGAAGGAGCAAAAATGCCCTCTTCCCTCTGTCTCGTTGCCCTGGCTTCCCTTCACCCCATGGCACCCCCTCTGAGTGCTAGGATGAATCTGCCTTCCTCTCTGCACGCTACAAAAGGAAGCCACATTTTGTTTAACCCCTTGCACTTCACTGCAGAGCAACAGTCCTGTGTCACAGGTTCTTCTGCTTCCTAGTCTGTTACCTACCCATCTCTTTATTACCTGATAGAGGGAAAAATACATCTTCCTTCACCGATTTGGTGTTAACTAGTATCAAAGTACATGCAACAACAATAGTTTGACTCACCCAAGGGCGGGGGTGCACAAAAGTCTGGCTGTGGGGAAGCCAAAGCCTCCCGATATCCACACACGCTTCCCAGTCTACTCCTACCCCACCCATCCTTATGCCTCACCTTTCCCAGAAGCCACCTTCCAACACGCTTTGCATGGGCGAGCCCAAACAGCAAGCAAGACGCAACAGCATTTAAGACGCCAATCCCACCAACTTGGTAGATGCACCCCCGTGCTCCCAGCTAACAGAACTGATGACCATGTGGAAGGTACCACTTTGCGACCCGCCTTGCTATAATTTCACGAAGGAGGGTATACCAATCTTCTAAGTAAAACCAAAAATCACAGCTCAGCAATTAGTTTTACCTTCAGGAAATTTTTCACTCGTTCTGGATTGTAACAGTTGCTTTCCCGGCAGATCCTTTCTACTTCTTTAATCTGGCCAGTCTTGCAAGCTGCCTGGATATATTTAAAGTGGACATCTGGGTCCTGGCTGAAGTTCACAATAGACCCCAAGAAATAAAACAGTCCTAAAGAGAGAGACAGTCAGGCAGACATGTAAGGAGATGGGGCAGGCCCACCCACATCTGTATTGGAACAAGAGTTTTCCTTCACGTTACACAACTGGCTCAATGGAAAGGCGCTCCTGCAGCATCAAGCTAGAACTGCTTCAAGACTAAAGCTCTAAGAGAACCACCGCCTTTGATGGCACAGAACCCATTAGCCAACATGTGAGTGGGGCATATGGCCTTAATCCATGCTATAAAAATAGGACCAGTGCCGAAAATGCTTCTGCAACTCACACAGCCGCAACCAATTCCCTTGATTAAATGACTTAGCTGCATCTAAGAACAGCTCGATTCCCCCACCCTGGGTATTATTAATCCTTATAAGGGTTTAGTTTTACAGATCTCATTAGAGCCATCTTGATCTTCCAGTAATGCCATTTACTCTGCTAGCCATGATTCCAGCCAGAGTTTGACAGTTTACAGGCCTTGTAAGATGCAAGTCAGAAAGGGGTGCAGAACCCCAGGCCTGAGGGCCAAACATGGCTTGCATGGGGTACCCATCTGGCCTTCTAGCATTGCTCAAACAGGGCCAGGGGAAGGAAGCATGGCCTTCACCTGGCTGTTTCCTCTCTTTTGTAGTTTCCTCCCTCATCCTAGAAGGGAAAATGCCTCCCCATAGGGCTTTGCTACTGCCAGTAAAAGCTGAATGTAAAATAAGGGTATTTTTGGTGTTTCACCCTTAACCCTGTTGCCTTGGGCCATGCCCACCACCAGAATATGGCCTTCCAAATGCATCTGCATGACTGAATTTAGTCTTCAGTCTGAAAGAGTGTCGGCATCTCTATTCTACAGGCCAGAAAGCTTGCCTGTGGGGTCTGAAAATGAACCTGCTTTTCGCATTTTCAGTGCTTCTGCAGAACACACAGCCTCTCCCACTTCTACCAACGGACATTTTGCAGTCCTTTGCCAAGGAAGGTCACAGCAAGCGTTGCTACTCGGTTTGCTGGACTTACCTTCGTAACTTTTAAAGGATTCAAAGAGCTCCACAAGTGACTGGGTGCCCAGCTGCTCGTGGTACTTAGATGCTACTTGGACGCAGAGCTGCAGGTTCTGTCGGATGTTGGCAGACAGCATAGCGCGCAGGCACTCCACGGAGTCCTCCACGGACAGCGAGCCGAAGAAGTTCACGAGCCACTTTGAAAATAAGTGCGAGGATTACAGCTGGTTCACAGTTGTGCAAAGGTTATACAAAACAGTTCCTCCAAAATTTTAGGAGGCCTAACACCCTGAGGTTGGTACAAGTGTGCGTCAGGTTCCATACTCACCTTTTTGATGTCTCAAGACAGTTTCCTATTTTGATAATACGCTACAGGGATCAAGCTTCCTCCATGTAGCAAAAGGTTCTCCTGGATCTATTTTATTTTCAAATACTTGTTCTCAGGCGGGCTACATCGACACCTATACCTAGAACCACTGGTAACTCTCTAGGTGAGCTGCAGTTGAATGGCAAGGATGTTTGGCTCTTTTTTCCCCCAGCAGCAGCAAAATGATTCCACCTGCCCTGATTTATACAGCCAGAATAAAGGAAGCATGATGTCACCAGAAGGGTATTTGTCGGTAGAAGAAATGTGCGCTTGGTTGAATTCTGGCACTTAAAACAGGATTGATAAGCCCACAATCCTCTCACTCAAATTGTTTACCTTTTATACCTGTTTCTGGTTGGTGGACCTTGGCGTTCGGGGGGGGGGGGGGGATAGTCTAAGTCTGTCCTATGATGTCAAGAGACAACGACTGGCCAAGATCAACCAGTGAGCTTCATGAGAAAGCTGCAGGTTTGATCCCTGATGTCTCCAGAGGAGCCACAGGAAATTCCTGCCTGAACAGCCGCTGGCCAGCCAGTGTCAATGACACTGAGCTAGATGGACCAGTGGCCTGACCTATCGCATGGGGCCTCCTGCAGCCTGAGTGGGGATTTGAACCCGCGTCTTCCCAATCCTGGATTCTAACCACACAGGCTCATTTGAGAGGCCAGCAGTTACTGTAAAACGGAACAGGGAAGGACCGACGGGTCTCTGGTGCGAAGCTACCAAACCAAAACTACGAGGCAGACCTTGCGTACGTTAACACAAAAGCCAGCTTGTTGGGTGCACACACATGTTCAGTTCGACTGCATCTTATCTCACCTCTGGATTCAGCAGATGGGTATGGACCACGGCGCGCTTGATGTCATACAGGTCGGTGTAGTGTTCCAGCGCCCGCTGCAACAGGCCTGCCTTTTCGCAAAGCTGGGCAATATGGGCACGATCGTAGTGTGTGAACATCTGATTTCCCAGGATGGCATCTGCAACCTAGAGAAAGTCAGCACAGTCAGAAAACCAGGGGCTTTTCAGTACTTTCGCAACCCACGCGGCTGAACTCCTGCGTGGAAGCAGAAAGGCAGAATGCCACGCAGCGCTTTAGCTGTGCTAAGCAGAAGCGAGGCTGCCCTTTAAAAGAGGGGAAGAGCAGCAGCCATTGGTAAAACTGCCAGGAGGGTGAAATTACCTGTGGAGCATGAATGAGATTCATCTCAAGCAGACGAGTTTGCAGGTGGCCTTCAGCCGGGCGATTGTTTTTCAAGGCATCCAACAAGAAGGAGGTACACTGCTGAATTAAGCTGTTCTCCATGAACACATCGACAATCTGTAGCAAACGAGACACCACCAGGTTGTCAGACACATAAACCATCCTCGCCATGTGGTGCGTCCACTGGGGGAAACAAACACGCTGGGATTTCCCACAGTGCTGCTGTCTATGCTGTCTTGAAGAGCTGTTGCAGCGCCGATTCTAGATGTGCAGGCTTTTGATAGATTTTTTAAAAATCTGAAATCGGTATTTCCCCACTACATTAGACTGTGTTATGCACAGCTTCTTATTGCATAACCGAATAATGTATTTGTATATGCATTTAAATGCTCTTGGAAGCTTCCAAAATTCAAGTCATGGAGCACAACACATATCAAAGACCGCCATTTTTCAGAGAAAAGAGGATGCTTCCAAAATCAGCTTACCCAGTTCATTATCCTTCCTCTGGAAGTCTGGCCTTTTTTTACCAGAAGAGTCAGAAACAGCAATGGCATTTCTCAACAGGACACCTGAGTTGTCTATGTCCACATCTACTCACTGTTTAATGAGTCTTACATTTGTCTTTCACAACTACACTGAATAGCTTTGTGAACAGCCACACTTTCTTTAGAAAGTGACTGATTCTAGAATTTTGCCAATAAAATTTAAAGCCATCCAAATTACTTGGATTATGAAACTGTGAGACAGACCATGGACTGGTAATTAAACAAGACGAATCACTATTTATCCATACTAGGATTTTCGCAACTTGCTGTTTCAACTTATCTCCTAGAACTGGCACATCGCAACAAACCAGTTTTGTTTACCTGATTGATGTTGGCTAGAGGCTCTTCATCTTGTACCAACATCTGAGCAAACTGAAGGCCCTGATCTGGACTGACTCGCATCACACTTCTCAACAGGAAAATCCAATCTGGAGTGTAGCCAACCTAAAAAATACATTTTAGAGAAGTTAGATTGCTTGAACAAAGGGTGCTTGGGAGAGTCATAGAAGCATAGAAACAGAGCGAGTCAGAAGGGGTCTCCCGGTCCATCTAGTCTGACCCCCGGCTTCAGCCAGCTCCGCTCACAACATGTCCACCATATGCATGTGCAGCCTATCCTTGAACACCCTCACCTCAACCACCTCCCGTGGAAGCCCATTCCACACCCTCGGGGTCCTGACTGTCAGGAAGTGCTTCCTGGCATCCAAATGGAACCTTGGCTCCCTGAGCTTTGCTCCGTTGAAGCACGTCCTGCCTTCCTCTGCAGGGGAGAACAGGTCTCTACCCATCTCCATGTGACATCCCCTCACATACCTGTATGTCACCAACAGATCCCCTTGGAGTCTTCTCTTCTCCAGGCTGAAGAGACCCAGGTCCCTCAGTCTCGCCTCATATGGCATCCCCTGCAAACCGGCCACCAACCTTGTGGCCCTATGCTGCACTGACTCCAACCTGGCTATAGCCTTTCTGTAATGAGGGGCCCAAAACTGAACACAATACTCCAATTGCGGGCGCCCTAGAGTCATGTAGAGTGGTAGTAATACCTCTCTTGATCTAGAAGCCACACTTCTGGCTATGCAACCAAGGGTGGCGCTTGCCCTCTTGACCACTGCATCACACTGCTGACTCATGTTTAGCCTGCAGTCAACCAGTACTCCGAGGTCCCTTTCACAAGTGCTGCTCTCCAGCCACTTGTCACCTAACCTGTACTTATGACACCTATTCCTATGCCCCAAGTGCAAGACCTTGCCCTTATCCCCATTGAACGCCATCCTGTTGTCTCCTGCCCACTTCCATAGTCTGTCCAGATCCTTTTGGATCTGAAGTACCTGCTCCTCAGTTGTGGCCACTGCTCCAGTTTTAGTGTCGTCTGCGAATTTGATCAGCAGACTGTTCTCCCCTTCTTCCATGTCCTCGAGAAAGGAAGCATTCTTGCACTTTTGCAAGTAGTCCTACTTCAAAACCAGCCAGGTCTTGGGCATACCTGAGTGCAGCCAAGACCACCCTACCCTGTTCAAGACCGATTTGTACCTGCTTCATAATAAAATGGGACATGAACTTGATTAGCCTTTGTTATTCTTTCACTGGTAACATACAGATTAGATTATGTACTACTACTTGGGAGACTTTAAGCACTATCAAACATAGCTGCTGAGCAAAGCACATTTATCGCCAAACCTTTTTAAACAAAGCCATCCATTTCCCAAGCTGCTAGTCTATTTCCAAACACAATGCAATTACTGGTTTTAATCTTTGAAGCCCTAAAAAATGTGGAAGCTGGTTTTCTAAAGGACCAGTCAGATAATCCCACATGAACCTGCCATCCACCAGATACTAAGCAGGAAAGGACGGTTTTCATTGTGAGAAATATCTATGGAATGCATTTCCCAGGGAAGCAAAACCAGTGCCGAATCTTATGCTGGCCAAAAGAGCAGCGAGGACATCTTAATTTACTGCCCAGGCCTTTTAAATCTTTAAATAACTTATAATTCTGCTGAAATGTCCTTGCCCCTTTTTATTTTGCATGGCTTTAATGTCAGTTGTGAGATACCCTTGGGAAGTCTGAGCCAAAAATGTTTTGTTTATAGCCCACTTTTTTTTCTTCAAGGAAATCAAGGTGGCTTACATAATCCTCCTCCTCTCAATCTTATCCTCACAATAATCCTGTGAGGTAGGCTAGGCTGAGAGTCAATGACTGACACAAAGTCACTCAGTGTGTTTTGTGGCCTAGTAGGGACCTGGGTCCCCAACATTCTAGTCACTAGATGAAGATCTATGCTCACTGTGACTTTTTGTGTAATACAGCTCCATCTGCCTACAGGACACATCTTCAGAGCCTAGTTTTGCATGTTCTGCCTGCAACAGAAGAGTCTGGCAAATGCGATATATATAATTTAAGCAACTGAAACGGAACAAGACGCAACTGTTGTCTGAAAGACATCAGATACACTCCAGAGTTCTGAGGCCTTGCCTTATCTCAGGAAAGATAAAATGTAACTCTGCATTCAAGCTTCTGCTTTGCTAGGTTAAGTGTTGCACAACCGCATACTTTTAGGGGAAGAGATTTACCTTTTTTGCGTAAAGAACAATTTTCTGGAATTGCCCGGTTTCTGCAAAACACTGAATTACTTTGTTTGGCACATTTGCACGGAGATAAACACTGAGGGCAAGGGTTGGGTCTGCAGTCTTTACTAAGTCTCCAAGCTCCTCAGAACATTCCAGCTGAAAAAGAAAGAGCACTGCAAAATCAAGACAGACCTAAGCGTTAAGGTGCCTCTGGTTTGCTAGCGAGAGACAGAGGACTGCAATCAAATCAGCGTTTCTGACATTATCTTATCAATTTGCCTGTCAGTGCTTCCCCCAGGTCCCCCTATCCCTGAGGCTGTCACTGCCCAGGTGGAGGAGATGGCTTGTTTGAACCTCAGCAATTTTCCTCATTGTTCAAGAAGAGAACTTTATTATAAATGTAGGAATGAGGCTCAAGATGCTTGCCAAGACATACTCTTAGCCAGGAGATTCTGGTGGCATGATATGGATGTAAAGGCACACCAACCAAACCCAATATAGATACTGGAGGAAGCAGCAGAATTTAAGCAAGAAGCTGCCAGACCTCTCAGCTATGTGGAGGGCAGGGTAAAAGCAGCATGTCTGTTGCCAGCAGAAAGGTTTTGCTGCCAGAGTTTCCTTTCCTTGTGCCTGCATAGGTAGACTAGTTTGAGCAACTGTTTAGTCCAAGGTGTAACCAATTTGAAATGGCAGCGGCTTACCTTATCTTCTTTTAGCCATTTCTCCAGAAGCTGCTTACGGCCTTGCTGGAGAACGGGACGGCACAGTTCCAGAGACTCAAATTTGTTGAGCTGGCCCTGATCAAGGAGGATACCGAAGTACTGTAGCAAGGGAGACGCCTGACCAGGTTGAGCAGGTACACTCTGGAACTTCCGGATGGTATCACTAGTCCGCAGGATTCCCTGAATGTTGACACAGGATTTAAAAAAAAGCCTGCTTCAAGGAGATTCCATCTTGCCATTCAAAAACCCCAAAGCAACCTCTCTAGCAACTGTTCTTGCTAGAGGGCCAACAGTGCTAAAACTGAGCAGTACATTAGTACAATTTCGGACTGCTCACTGAGTTAACCCATGCTCATGGCACACTCCCCAGGGCTCCCCTCAAAGATGTTTACCTTTGGGGCAGATGCTGCCACTTTAGCTGCTTCAGCATAGTTTCCCTGTGCAAAGAGAGTATTGAATTTTCTGGCAAAGAGTTCTTCTGCTCCAGCCAAGTTACTGCGGATAGCCATGCGCAAGCCCAGATCAGGGTTCTGCAGCACGTTGGTGGCGTAATTCACAATGTTATCTTCTTCCACACACACGGACAGAACCTATAAAGACAAGGCATGCTATGCTGTGAGGGGATGAACTACGTACGCTCCAGCCTGTGCTATAGGGTGATTTTAACTATGGCATTGCATGGAGGAAAGCAGATGTGCTCTGAAGGGATTCATTCCACATTGCGAATATGGAGTACTGATGAACAGCTCAACATTTTGATATATCTTCAAATCCCGGACAAAGTAAAACCACCATTTTAGTCCTATTTTAGGCACTTTTAAGGTGGAGCCTCCATCCTTAACTGCCCTGTCCTCATCGGAACAGCTTCAGTGTTTTCAGTCTGGCATAGAAATCCTTTCTTTCTTTCTTTCTTTCTTTCTTTCTTTCTTTCTTTCTGTATGTATGTATGTATGTATGTATGTATGTATGTATTTATTTATTTAGAAAATTTCTATGCTGCCCCACTCGCCGAAGCCTCGGGGCGGCTCACAAAACATTTAAATATAATACATTAAAAATATAAAACGAATTAACAATATAAGTCTCCCTGGCCAAAGAATAAAATAAGGAAATAATATTAGCAATTAAAATGACGTTTGAATAAAAAGGTCTTCGCCTGGCGCTGAAAAACAAATAACGACGGCGCCAGGTGGACCTCTCTGGGGAACGCATTCCATAGATTATCAGATCTACTATTTGTGTTCAGCAGCCTCTTTCCATAGCAGCCAGCATCTATGATGTCTATGGGTCAATGGGAGGTACATGCTCAATTCCACCATTTCATGTGTGTTCCCCAGTAACTGGCACTGTAAGATAGACTGCCTCTGATTCTGGGGTTCATATACAGCCATGGCAATTAGTACTCACTGACAACAGTGACAGCCTTGCATGAATTTGTCAAGTGCCCTTTCAAAGCAGTCCAAATTGATGGCTATCGCTACCTCTTGTGGCAGAGAAATAATCTAACTATAGACTATGTGGAGTAGTTCTTTCTTTTATCAGTCCTGGATTTCCCATCCTGCAGCTTCATGGAAAGACATTCTTATTGTTAGCTTTGTTACAAAGAAAGCAGCCATGACATGAATGGAGGCACCGTGATGACAAACTGTGAACAGGATGTTTAAAGAATGTATGATGGAGAACCTCAGGTGGTTATTTTGCTTTTCTCTGCACAAGTCTGAAGCAATGAGCCGACCCCTGTAAGAATTACAGCAGGGCCCAACTTTAGTCACCAGAAATTCTTGCCAAATTGAAAAAACAAACAGTTACAGTAAGAACCTGCTAACAAACAAACAAACTACGTCAGTCTTTATTTAGAGCAGCCTTCCCCAGTGGACATTCTGGCTGGGAGCTAATTGCAACCCAACATATTTTGAGAGTGTCAGGTTGGAAATGGCTAAGGTACAGCTGAGCTACTTCATGCACCATTCTTACCTGTCCTTTTTTATTCACTCCAATAATCCCCGAGGTAGGTTCATGAGGTGCAGTTACAAAGATGGTGTCCGCACTAATACGGTTCATGTAGATGCACACTCCAGATTCCAGGTCATACATATGAATATATCCATATTTTGTGATCAGATAGATAACTCCATGCTTTGTTCCAATCTACCAGGCATTGATGAAAAGGACATGATTAAACTCTTAAGCAAGAGAAAATGTTTATGGTGTAGCCAAAATCTAAACCTATGACTCTTAGCCACTCATGCGGCATTACTTCCTAAGTGTTAATTAATGCACTTAAGGGCAAGCCAAAATGTTATTCATTCAGAAAGTTGGGTCTCTAAATATTTGTTCTCAGTGTCAATTTGGTCAAGAGGAATGAAAGCTCATTCTTAGCTCTGTCCTGAATAAAAAAGAACAGACAATATGCATCTACATAGAATCAAGAATGTACAAACCAACATCAGCAGTCCAATTAGTCTAGTGGGTGGCCTGTGACCTGTCCAATGAATAAGTACAACACCTAAAACAGTGCCAGGACATATCTATTGAAGAATTTGTTGCAGCACATAATTATGTCCAATAATTTCTCGCATACAACTTCTTCAGGGACAAAAGCAGCCTATGCAAAGAATTAGACTATCTTATTGTCCCTGGCCAAAGTAGCTTTGCACCAAGAAGAATAATTCTGAGATTTTTTTAATGTATTCTGAAAATTATTTTTGAGTTGAGAGAAGTTGAGAGATGAAACTCTGTTGTCTTCCACTAACAACTAAACACAACTTTGTTCAGATGCCCTTTGGCACATACCCTGGTGGGGGGGGTTCTTTGTTTCAAAAATGTTTCCCTATATTTTGAATTGTATTTTAACAGCCGAGTTTTCATGTTATGTTTTCATGAAGATTTCGGTTTTAATCGGCATTACTGTTAGCAGCTCTGGGAGCCATTTGGGTCAGAAATTCTGGATTACAACTAAACATAAGTGAATATTAACACCAGTGCTGGTATTCTGGAACAAGCAGACGTAACCAGATAAGCCAGAGCCAACACTCAGCCAAGATGGAGAAGCTGCACTCTGGGTGAGGTGTCCAAGGACCCAGGCCTCCACCTCCCCTCACCCCTGGGCCATGTCCTGATCTGGGTTTGAAAACGTTCCCAGTGTCTAGCCTGCTTGCCAGCAGGCAAAAGTGTTGCACAAATGGTCTTGGCAGCATTACAATCGCATGCACGTTACATGCATGCAGTATAACTGCCGATTGTTTCAGTAAGTCTGCATACCGGTGCAGTGCGTTGGAGAACTCTGGGTTCCATACTGCCCAGGACCAATCGCTAATACGGACCATGCAGTACTGTGGCCACGTTTAGGTACAGCCCTGCCAATTTACCCAAAGTTTAAAAAAAACACTCTCGATGCCTTACCTGCATCGCTACCGGGAAATCAGTTTGGGCCTCAGGAGGGAAAAATACATCAACAGCTTTCTTGACAAAAGGCTGGTTTCCAGCAGCAGGCTGACCCACTTCAATTATATGCAGCTGGGAACATACCAGAAAACGATCCTTCATTGTTCAGTTTGGAGCAGAAAAGCTTCCTCGAAATCAGATGTTCCCCAGAATTGACAACTGCTCAACCTTGCGGTATGGATTTGTACATAGTTCAGTTAAAATGCCTGAGTGTGTTCTATAGCCTGAATTTGTCAGGAGGTGACATGTACATGAAGTTACATTTATTTATCTATTTAAAGTTTTCCTATACGGTCTTCCATTTTAAACCTCTCAAGGAGGTTTACATTTACTGCAACTTTGATAAGCCAATTTAAAATGGCTACTTTCCCTGATGTGTTCTGGCAAACAAGGAAAAATGCAGGCTCACCAGCAGGCGTTCCACCCCAAATATTTAACCCCCCCCCCCTTCACTTTTCATACAAGGACTTACTAGTGTCAGCTCTTACTGCAAAAAGCTTTGAGAATCTTTGTTTCACTGGGGAGTTTTTGGTCTCACTTCTTCACCCTCACCCATGCTAACATTTATCCATCCCGTTTCGGCACAGAGAATGGCGAAAAGTTTTTTACCTTGCCTCCTGCAGGGCTTCGTACAGCAAAACAGAAAAGAGTGGAGGGCTTGGCATTGGCTTCGATTTTGAACTCTGCGAAGGCTGCTGCATGTCCCTCTATAGGCTGGGAAACTTTGCGATCCACTGAATACAACTGCATGGCACCAACTACACGATTTTGCTGGCAAAACAAGTATTTGGACACTCAATGATTACAGTGATTAAGCGTTTCATTAGCACCAGGAACACAAACATTCAGATTCTTAATTTGTTTGGAGCATCTTTCCCTGCCTCCTATCCTAAGAGATTCCAACTACTAATTTGACAGAACAGATGCGGGACTGGACCACAGCCTATGAGTTCACCATGTGTTCAGCTGCGATCAATACATTTGTCATCTAATTCTTTTCACATGCAGAATATTGCAAAGGTGTAAATATGCAACTTTCCTTACCTGGGCGGAGATTCCTATCAGGAGTAACCACTTTTGATTTTCATCTGTTCTATAGTTGATGATCTGGCAGCCTGCAAGACTGGCATGTCTGTCGAACATCTTTTGGGGCAGAGAGTCTCCTTCCATACTCCAATGATAAACTGCCGTCTCCGTCACTAAGGCAACTGTATTCACAGAGATCCATTTCCAAAAGATCACTTCCTCAGCCATGGTGTGTGCTTTCATTTTACTTTTCATCTCAATGTTGAAGATCTGGAGCGTTTTCCCCGCTGGTGCACAAGACAGAAAGGCAAGGAGAATCACAGACCTCCAAAATATTATGTAACAACTCTCACCCGATGCAACTCATCTCTCTCACTTTTAATTGAAAACAATTTAGAAAAATTCCTTGAGCTAATACTGTCAAAAGCCTCAGCTATACATGAAGGTGAAATAAGGGGCTAAGAAAACGCACTGTGCCACTGCTGATAGCAGCTGGATGAAAACCTGTTTTTGAAGGATTCCCTAGATGAAAATGAAGGGGTGTGGGTCCATCCACTCCGCTGCATGTGTGATCCAACTTAGGACACTGCTGGTCATGTATGAATTGACTGATGGCTGCTCCTAACAGTCTAACAGAGAAGTACTTATCTAGAGCCCCCTTTATTCCAGTGGATTTAGTCTGGTCACTAGGATCCCATGTGAACTAGGCCTTCTGGGCAACCGTTTCAAGATGGGAAAGCCCAGAACTGTGCGGCCATATGGAACATGATGCAATAGGCCAACGTCTGTGCCTCACATTCTGTCTTTCAACAGAAAGCTCCTTAAACAAGAGGGGAAGACGACACTCAGATGCACAACAGGTGGTTTCATCTTCAATATTTTCTCCCAGGCTACTTTGGGACAATATTTCCTTCTACCAAAACCAGAACTAGATTTTCGACAGGCTGTTTAGTGAAATGAGAATGCTGCATATTATTTCAGAAAGATGCCTCCACTGTTCTGGCCAGAATCTTCATCCTTATACTGCTGTCCTGCCTTTCACCTTCATGTTCCTCTGTAAAGCTGAGAAGCAGCAATACATCAATATTGACCTGAAATAGTACCCACACACACACTCAAGTGAAGCTGCGGTTAGTAGCTTTCTGCTCCCTGAAAAATTTCTTTCTTCACAGGACACAAGACCCAATACATAAGCCAACCTGAAAAAGAAGTCCACCCTTCTCAATGGGTGCCAACAGAGTTTAGCAGGCTTTCTAATGCTGTTTCCAGTGTTATAGCTCAGGAATCCAAAGAGTCAATATTCAATAGACAGAACTTTAAGAAATAGACATGAAGCAATGGTCTTCCGAGCAGATTATCTGCTAAAAATGTTCAGCACCTACTTCTTAAAAGCATAATCTAAAATTGTCTGTGAGTGCTAGCGTGCATGGCACATAGTTAAATTATACAGTTCGCTTCAAGATGTAGTGATAGCCACCAATCTGAGCAGCTTTAAAGGAGATTAGACAAATTCATGGAAGATAAGCCTCTTAAAGGCTACTAGTTACGATCATCTCCGATATTCCCTCCAATATCAGAGACAGCATGTCTCCACAGACCAGTTAAAAGGCTGCTAAGCACATCTTCTAGGCTTCTCAGAAGTATCTGGCTGACCTCTATGGGAACAGGATGGTGGACCATTGGCCTGACCTAGTACAGTTCCTATGTTCTGATTTACTGCACTCTTAAGCCACATAGCTTAAGCAGATGCTTGATACTATATAAAAGCAGTGAAATTCATTAACCATGTCCCAAAAATCAATTCACATGGGTGTCACCTAGGAAAGGCAAACAATGCAACACTAGTGGATCTAAGTGAACTCAATTTCCAGTAAGGACCACACAGAAAAGATCTGCAAATATCTGCAATACTCTTTGGATACATCTGTGGTCTGAGGTAAGGATATTGAAGTATATCATGGGTGCATTATATATTACTGTTCCTTCTCCAGATCCCATTTCCTTTGCAGATCTACAAAGCCACAGCATCCTGCAGAGCCAAGCTTAACTATTCCCATTTGGATTCAAGGCAGATTGCTACTACTTTTCACCAGAAACTGAACAGTGCAGAAGGAAGGCTGAGGCCACGTGGGGATGAAAAGGAGGCAGGGAGGCGAAGGAGAGATGAGGTGCCATTTTTTCCCTGATGGAAGGAAGATCCTAGGGTTAGAGCCAGAAGTCATCTGTGGCCGACAAGCATGTTTGCTGCATTCAGGCTGGGAAGGTGCTTCCTTTCCAAGTTAAAAAGGCGATGCAGTTGCCTGCACCTCTCACAGATCAATGGCTGAATTGCCCGGCAGCTAAGCTCCACCAGCCCTCTCTGCTACTGTTTACAAGGCTATACAGGGGGGCCATGATACAACAAAGAGTTGGGGGAGGAGGGACAGACAGGGACCGGGGCTTATGGAATTCAAACATCGTCCAGGATCCCCTCGTACCAAGAGTCAGTGCTCTGAAGCCATTCTCTGGCTTGTGCAGCTAAACACACCTACCTCTATGTGAACTAGCCTTGCAAGACTCGCATCTGATTCTATTCTTCCTCCTCTCCCTCCAAATTTAACCATATCCAGAGTAACTCTGGGACCCCAGCTGGGGTTTCTCGTGTTTCCTTCTCAGTACCATAGCCAGTTAATACCTGAGCCTCCACGCACTTCACACCACTTCTGCAGACATGTTTTCTTCACAGGAATCTTTTGAGGTGTGAATTGTACAACCTACTGTACTAACGCCTGTCTCACAAAAAGAGGCCCTGCTATTGCCGCAATGCCACAAAAGAGCCAACAATGACAAAGACGAGGATATTTTCAAATTAAATGGTAAGATGCCATTGTGCTGCCCTCCATCAGGATATACTGAATCACAGGAATGTTACTGCGGTGTTGCTGAGGGTGGTCTTCAGACTAATTCTCCATCAGCTTCATCATGGTCATTGTCTTCTAACAGTGGTAAAGCTAGGCTATTTCAGTCCCTGAACTTAATGGTTATACATTATAGCCTTATATATAAACTCAGCTGTGAAACATACAGCTAATATTTAACTTCTCTTTCCCACTCACTGCCATTCGATGCTTAAAAACTGCTCCAACATTACCGATATGCTTAAAAACAACAAAACTGTTTGTCAGTCCTAAAAAAACCTCTGTGCATGCACATTTTTAATTTTAAACTTACTTAAATCATAACACCATCGTAACTACAGGGACAAAATGGGATGTGCTGCTCTCTGGGGGGTCATGTGGGGGTCCTTGGTGATGCAGGACGCTGGACTTTGGCCCCAAGGTCCAACCCTAGCTGCACTATAAACTTTAATGGGTGTTGGTCACTTGCAGCAAAAAGAAAATCACATTGAGCCTTACAGTGCAGATTGATTGTGGTAGCAATTCTCATGGGTAGAGTCCAGATGCATCAAGGCTTGCTCTCAGTTGCAAAGGTTATACACATACATGGATAGGGGACAAGAGACAGAGAACCTTGGAGGTCGTGAGATGCAAGGCAGTTTTGTCCTCCAACTCAAGTGATAATATCTATAGCTCTTTCCTCTTCAACTAATTTCTTTGTACAGAACTTGTGGAGGGAGCATGCCAAGACCAGGAAAGCCCTAACAAGCACACTCATGTCTGAGTAAGCTGTTAAGGACAGGAATACTCCAACAGAATTTAGGGGAAGAGCAACATGCAACAATTTCACCCCAGCCTTTCAAGTCGAGTTCCTTCCAGCAGGCTACATTGTATGCTGCCATCCCACCAAGCAAGCTTACCCATAATAGAGTCTAGCCTCAAAAAAGGATTAGTGCAAAGCACCAAGAATTATAAATGATTAAGAATTGAATTATGCTTCTTATCTTAGAAAGGCAGACATCTGTTCAGGTGCCTCCTTTTCTTTTCTTTTTTTAAATAAAGGCCTGAATAGTGTTGTCAAACTCTGGAAGAAAAGGCTTTGAACACTTCTTCATCTGTGCAAGCGGAGAGCATGAAATTGTGTCTTTGCATTTCCATGCTGTGCGTATGGAAATGTCTTCCCAAAAGTGCTGCATTCCCCCATTCTGCTCAACACTTCTCACTGGAAGGGGCTCTCATGGTACACTACAACACAGGATACAGAGATACAAGGACAATAATGCTTTGGTCACTGTGGGAATGCCACATGCAATCCAGAAATGCAATGGGTATGCACACACCACGATCTTATCACAGTTTAGAGAAGCATTACATTTCTGAAGGATTGGTATTGTATGTTCATTGCTCGCACAAAGAATGCAAGCCTCAGGCAAGATATAATATGCAGATATAGTCTGTCATTACCACCGTCCAACAGCACGGAACATTTTGAGTGCTTTTCTGAAGTGATGTTTCCTTCGCATTTTAATGCAAGCTGATCTGTATTTCTGCTGGACGTTAAGACTTTTGTGCAAGTTACAGTCCTGCCGCTACCAATGAATGACTATATACTGGAGAGGTGCTGTCACATCTGCTCATCTGGACTCCCTCTCTCCCGCCCTCTCTTTTGACGAGGCAAGTAGAAAAAAGATATGGTAGTGCTTGATGGGGAGAAGACACTAAGTTAAATTTCCAGTCTCTGTTACTTGCATCTCTGGGTTTAGCACTTATCGCATAACAAAATAGTGTATTAGATAGAATTATGTCCAGGGTTATCAGTAAATATTAGATTTCCTGGCCAATAGCTTGATTCACCGGGGGCCAAGATAATTTGAATTACAGCACTATATATGCACTGAATCTTGGGTCAAAAGTTTACATTGAGATCAATCACCCCATGCATATATTTTTAGCAAGCTTGGAAATGTAAAGTCCACACATACATCCAGCTTTTGTTGATGGATTCCCAAGATGAGTTAACTGGTAAAAATTGCATTGTGGACCCCTGTGAATATTGCCATGGACTTCTAGGACCATGTACCACATTTAAGATCATGTAAGTGACTAGCACACAAGACACCATGCTAGCAAAGGTCTCTCATAAAAGTATTGTGACTTGAGTTTGTCAATTAACTGTACTACAATGGGACTGATTATGGCCACCTATTAGTACAGCTATAAAGCAGCAAGTCATGAATGCGACATCAATCGAAGATCATTCCCTGCCCCCCCCCCCCACAAATTCATGTTGCGGCACTGAGATCCCAATTAAGTCTACATATGCCAAATTGCTTTTAGCAGAATTCAGTACTTTTTATGAGATTAGACCATTCCAAACTATTAAACATGAAGTTTGTTAGGACGAAGTTAACTCACCATCTGTTTTAAGACAAGAATGCAGGAAGGAAAGTACACAGTCAATAACAGTGAAACTATTTTATGTCTAATGAGCTTTTGCATCTGCCCTGTAGAGGGTTAGGGTTAGGGTTGCCCTGTAGAGGGACATGTTTATGTCCGCATAGTCCTTGTCGTTTGAAGACAAGCCGCAACAGAAACTTTACGTTTCAGTTTTATAACTTCAAGACAGACTTGTGTAAACTCCACTTTATGCATTAGGCTTTTTTTTATTTAAACTTCAGTAGGTACCGCTTGTTTTGATTTATGCAAAATGGTTAACTGCAAAGCCATACAATAACCTTTCCTGAACACCGTTCCCCCACAGAAGCAGTACTTTGGCTGGAAAAGGTACTCAGGACTTGCCTTGGATAGGGAGAGCCTAAGAATATTTTCCTGCCCTAGAAATACTTTCACCGATCTTAAGGAACTGCAGAAACGCCACCTCAAGATCAAAATTCAACTGTATGCTTTGTCAAGACTTCCAAATTACCTCCTTAACAGTACAACCCGATTTCACTATTTTACATGACTCCCAGCTCACCAATTTTGTAAGAGTTGAATGTTCAGGTCTTACACACTGAACTTCAATTGAGCTCAAAGCAGAACTAACACATTACTCTTCTTTGCAGCCCTGTTGCAGGTGAATGCAAGGCAATAAGCTTACCTTTCAGAGCAATTACTTTAGAAGCTGGGTTCATGATAGCGCTCTCTGCAGAGATTGGACGTCTGATAGGAGTTGTCGGATCGCTCATGTCTATGATCACAACCTGTGCTTGCTCACCAACTTTTTCTCGGATACATATGAACTTGTCAGATTCCATTGTTAAAGTACTGAATCCAATATTTGCTGGATTAATTCCAAGATTTTGGAGCTAAAAAGAAAAACAGCCAGTTAGTCTGAATGTGTTTTTGTGTTAGTTTGGCTGATCTCAGAGGAAACATAACCTCATAACTGTGTTGTAAGCCGCCCCGAGGCTTTGGCAAGGGGCGGCATAGAAATGTTATAATAATAATAATAATAATAATAATAATAATAATAATAATAATAAACACTCAACAGAAAGCACATCACAAGTTATTAGGCACGTGAATAAATAGTCCAAGGTATTTTTGCACAATGGAAAACTTTATCCTTCTGCCTGGTTTTATATTATAGAATCTATAGTAGTGCACCTCTGATACCCAATACCTGTCACAACCATGCTGTCAGCGCATATTTATTTAATTTATATATTGTTTAATCCGTAAATAGTATCTGGGCAGTGAACTAAACAAGTGGGATATAACATTACTGAGCACAGCACTAAAACCAATATTTAGTTTACATCCTGGCTACTTGAAACTTCTGAGTTACCACAAAGAGATTCATGTATCCCTTTGTGTACAAAAGTGGATTGTGCTGTACCATTTTAGTGAAATACTGTTTACAAGCAGACTAGAAAAACCAGTTGCTGCTCAAAAAAGACACATGACAAGAAACAACCAAGTATTGTTAAAAATCCTAGAAGACCACAGACCGAAGACCAGACTTGTTTCCTGTTATAAAATAGGCGGCAAATTACCACTGCTGTTATTCCTGTGGCAAATATTTTTCATAAGTGTTGTGAAGAAAATGGGAAGCATAAAACTGACCATGCAGATTTTTTGTATTTGTAATCTAGCTGGCAGCCGGAGATCATTCACTGTGACCATGGAGTCCACCTTTTTTTAATGGTTTGACTCATTTAAACTTTCAAGAACTAGTTTACTCATTGGTATGGGGTGTCAATTCATATGACCACATAAGTTTGAGTCAGTCTCTCCACGCAAAGACCTGATAATAACAGGACTTGCTTCAACATGTGTCCAGTTCACAACCCAATCTGTTTACCATTCACACATCCTTCTTAGCCATCTGACTGCGCATGCAATGCGGAACTTAAACACAGGAAAGTAGTGGTTAATCTCGCCACTCTGTGCACTAGCTCATCCAATTTCTGTATTACCAAGCTGTTCTAACTATAACTGGGACTACAGATTTACTAGAATTCCTGCAAAGTGACACTTCCTTATATGTAACATCACATGCACCAGCTTCCAATATTGGAGCAGGGTTCTAAACCTTCAGATTTGTTTTGCTATCAGCAACCCAGTTCTGTAGTGCACATGCTGCTGTGGAAAACCTGCTCAAGCTCACAAGGGCTCAACATCCTCACTGAAAAAGACGTTTCTGCAGACTTGCATTCCTAAGCAATTGCACTACTCTTCCCCCTATTTATTATTTCAGTATTTGCTACATACTCTGCCATAAATGGCAACATATATTTACTATGGGCTAGCAGGAAGCTGAATCACACGTCTGTATCCACCCCCACAGAATGCGGAATGCCACTGCCCATGTGTCAACTTCTCTTACTGCTCTGTCTTATTTTAGCAGGCCAGATTTTAAAATCAAGCGGCAAAAATGGGTGGGTAGGGGAAATGTTTCTGCTCCGACCACTCTAGGAGCATTCCCACACATTTGGCTGCCAGGAGCCACCAACACACATGAGCCCACCTAAGTGGATGAAGAGATACTTCGAGAGCTGTGATTACTTTTCCCTTTTTTCCCTGCAAATACAGAATTATCTGTCGAACATGCATGAGAACTGAGAGGAGCGATTAGCCCCAAAGCATGCAAGTTGGATGTTTGAGCGATGGTGTTTTAACCAATTTACAAAGCTTCTCTGATGCACAACCGGGGGGGGGGGGGAGAGTGCTAGGCTTACAAGGTATTTATTTATTTAGGAATCTATTTATGGGCAGCTGTCCACTATGAGGGGAAGGGAAGAGACAGTGAGAAAGGGCAGGGAAAAAACACAGGCGTTATAGGTTGCATTAGGAAACAATAAGCAAGCAAGATAAATTACTACTTGCCATATTTCTGCACCATTTGGTTATGGCAATGTTCCATCGTTACATCAAGAGGCACTGTTCACTGCAGTTATGGGCTGTTCTCGGGAGGCATGGATGGAAATGCTTTATAAGAGGCATAAAAAGAATCAAAAGCAGCCAAAGGAACAGTTATATTCCTCTTTCTAGCACTCGGTATATCAGTGTTTAATTTGGTATACCATTCCAGCCTGAGCATGGAAGAATTCAAGAACTGATTATTAGTCTCATTGTCCACTGTGTGAAATGATAACACAGTTTAAGCACTGTAAATAGTTCCTTGTGTTTGGTTTATACACTTCTACATAAGAGAGCCAAGAGTTCGTGTGACACCTTTGCAGCTGTAGAGATGAGTCAATCATGTATATTTATAATTAATGTGACTGAAGGGAATAGTTTCTCTTCAAAGAAAGAGAGAGGGGATTTTGTAGGGCCTGTTTTCCACAACCGCAAATATGAAGAGCTGTTGTGAAAAGGCTGAAAATATTTTGACATTTCTCCCTCCTACAAGCTGAACATGTCCAGTTTGCTCATCTTTTTCTTTTTAATGGAACAATATTACAGAGCTTTTCCATTAGGCAAACAGGGTTTGAAGAAGAAAAACCCTGATTCACAACCTATGTGATAGATTATAGCTGTTATAGCTGTTACAAAAAGCTGTATTTCCAACAACTGATCAGGGGAAGAAGAAAACTCCATAAGGACCTGTACTTCCAGAATTCTTAACTATTGGCCACATTAGATGGGATTGAAGGAGTTTTGCTAAGTCTAGGAAGGCTCTCAGTACAGATTCTGTACAGGTATTGTTTGCCTCTTCCCAGTGTAACTGTATGAATAAGTACCTCATTTCTAGCAGAGAATTATTGTTTAATTATGAAAGGCTGGCACTCTCTTTAGGAGATGGCTATGCAAATATATTTAACATTTAGTGTGTAGGAACTCTGGGCCACTACTGCACAGCGTTAATGAGAGAATATTTCCACAAAGTTAAGGAATCTAAAGCATTTCATACAAGTTTAAATTTCCAGCTGGATATTTGTTCCCACACAATGATGAAGTCACTTTCCAAGTCTCAACTCTTGTTATTTGAACCTTCAGCATGACTGTATTCTCTAAAGGAATTATCCTGCCAATGAGGGGCTCTCTTCAGATAATGATTTGCAATCTACTCATCTAGAAGAATGTGTAGGTGTGTTCCTGGTGTGTATTTATTTTAAAATAAAGCCCTGGCAGACTTAAATGCTTAAAGTGCTATACACCAAGGTTCTTGTGTTAAGAGCACATCATTGTGTGTGGTCTTAGGAGGAATGATAAGACAACTAATCTTACAGGTAGGCTACCTGATCTATGCATTAGAACACAAAGTAAGTCTGGCATATAGCCAAGTTACTATTCATGTCAGGTCCCTAAAAAGCCTAATGGATTAAGTATTAGTAACTGCAGTTTTTAAAGTCAGGCAACCCGTTTTTCAGAATTTCATTTTCAATAAGGTTGCGTTCCAGCACAGCTTTCCAAAAGTCAGCAAAACTAAACATTCAAGTCTTATTGCTTTCAAGAAGCTTATGCTTAATCACTAGCTTTCTCTGAGTTGTTCTCACTCCACATACCCACTGAAATTTACCTTATTTAAGCATATAAATAAATGCTCATTACTTTAGTCAGTCTTCTTTAACCTGGTGGTTAGACTACAATCCCCATCATCTCTGATCATTGGCCATGCTGCCTAGAATTGATAATTATTCTATAAACCATCAGGTTAGGGCAGGCTGACTTTGGCCTCCATATTTGAACAAGTTTTGGATACAAGAACACAAGTTCTGAGATTCAACCAATATGGACAGCTTCAGAGAAGATAGCTACACTACCACAATGGTGTCAGTCCAAAAGCTTGGTATAATTTTATCAATTTATCACAACTAAACTTGAGTCATTTTGGTGTAACAGGGGACCTCCAAGCCAAAAAACAAAACAAAACAAAAAACAGCTGGTGGAAATATCTGCTAACTTTTAATACATGGGTTGAAAATTTTCAATACACGTGTTAATTATTCACGGAATAATTTAATTCCAGTAAAAGATAAATATATGCTATGAAGTACCCCATTCAAACACATCAGTTGGTCAGTGTTTTCCCTTCCAAAAAATCTAACTTCCAACTTTAAAACCAGTTAACTGCTCTGGAGTCTTCATACAATGCTAGTATAGTGTCTAATTGGATTACAGTATTTAAACTACATGGTTTAAACATATATTTATGCTCAAAACTGTTCTTCTGCAACTTATATTTTATCCTTACAGCAGTGAAATCTCCATAAATCCTTGGTCAAGTCAGTGTGATGGCTTGAAATGCTCAGTTACTCAGGGATCCACACAGATATTCTAGGGGTGTCAATTTGGTTGGGGTTACAGCCTCACCCAGGGGATGACCATTGTTTCAGGTCATGGGGGCTCCAGCCCAAGCAACGCAATAGTTAGAACCTAACCATCAAGATGCTTTTTTAGAACTGGAAAGATACAGGTTCAAATTTCCACTCAAGATCCCATAGTGGCCTTTGGCCAGTCACAGGAGTGCTAGAATAATAAAGACGAGTGAAAGAACCATGTATATTACACTGAAAGGAAGAGAATACATAACTGAAACATAGAGAAGAGGAACCCTAGAGACAAGCATACTCAATGGGCTGAAGGGTTTCCCACAAAATAGTCAGAAAGAAGGGAAGCTAGAAAACAACTGAACCAGTGAAAAAGGGCTTAAACTGGCAAAGATAATCATGGGACAGAATCGTCATCCTTGCCCAATAGTGCGAGATCAACTGTACAGTCAAACATAACAGAAATTCAGGAACTGTATACATCCCTGGAATCCAAGTCCAAGCCATGCTTGCTGGGCAATTATATGAACTACAAGACTAGTTTGCATCGTTTTCTTCTGTCTAAACTTGCACAGGATTGTACCCTCAAGCAGCAGCCCCATGGATGCTTTCCTGGTATTATGAGCAAAGTGAGGCTTACCACAGAACAAATATATGCTGAATCATGCTGTATATTACTAGCAAATTCTTCCTCTTAAATGTATCCCCCAAATCACACTTGCATCATTTAAATATTAAGACAGTTGCTGTTACTCAGCAGTAAGACTAAACTTCTATAGGGCTATGTTTATAATACCAGGGCACTTCACGTTTAGGTTCAAATAAGCTTGTGTATCTCTAAGTTGTTTAAACAATAAAGAGGGATGTACAAATGTAACTTCTGCTACTAAACACAAACAACAGGAGTCACAGTGATGTCATGCAGTTCACATTTTGAAATGGATGCCTCTGATCTAAGTGGGGACTGGGAGGGGCAAAGACGAAACTATTTGCCAAGTCCACTTCCTGTTCTTTCATTCATTAAGTGAATTCCTTTAATTCCTGCCATAAACCGACTTATCTTAGGCCAACATTTCAGCATATAACATCCATAGCCATTCCCTGAACCGCAACTGCAGTTCATAGAGACATCTGCAGTACTTCCCTCATTGAGACTTCGTTAAATCTTCACTGAATGTAGTTATTCCTCCTCGAGAAACGTGCCTAAGAATCATCAGAGATGTTTGCACAAGTAGAAAAAGGAGCAAAGGTAGAAAGAAAGAGACCTTGAGATGGGGATAAAATCAACTCAGTCTGAACACCTGCCCAATCCTTCCTAATCTCGCATGGCCGTTTGCAGGACTGGAAGATTCCCAAACACCACCGGCCTGCCCCACCTGATACCCCAGATCCGAAACCCGGCCGTGAATGTGCAATCCCAGGGATACAGCGGTGGCCTGCCACCCCCATCCGAGTTCTACCCTGAGCAAGCGCCTTTCTGCACCCCAGGTTCCTTATGGTGTAGTAATGCAGGCGAGCCGCTCAATGCCTACTTCTCCACTCCACACACAAACCACACCAAAAAAAAGAGGAGGAGGAGGAGGAGGAGGAGAGTCAGTCATTCAGGCAGCCAGTGACTCGGCACAATCCCTGCAAAGGGCTGCAATGCAAACTCGCACGCCTCGCCGAGGCACCAGCCCCCCCCCCCGCCGGTCCTCCGCTCAGGTGCAGCGAGCGCCCCTCCATTTTTCCGAACCGTTAGACCCGGGCATGCATTTTGCCCCCTTTTGCTCTCCCGGCGCGGCTTAATTTCTTATTTATTTCTGAGAGGCCGCCACCGCCACCCCGCCACTCGGCGTGACACGGAAAGCTGGGGCAGGTTTGTCCCATCCTTCCTGAAAGAAGAAAAGAGCCGATGTAGCAGGCGGCACAAAGCGACAGGGACGCGCGTGGCCCCCGCCCCACCCCGCCGCGCCCCACCCGCCCTCCAAGCGGGCGCCCGCGCGGCCCCCCGGGCGTGCGAGCGGGGGCTCCTCCCCGCATTCGCCCTCGGGACCCCCGCCACGCGGGGCTCGCCCCCTCAGGGAGGGAGGCTCGCCCGGCCCCCTCCCCAAACGGGGGAGCCCCCGCAGCCCACGCTAGGCCGCGGCCCCTCCGGGCCAACCATTCATCCCCCCCGAGGCTGAAAGGCGACGGGGGGCGCAGGCGAAAGGGGGAGAAGGGCCCCCGCGCCCGGCCTCCCCCCGCGCCCCCCCCGGAGAAACTGCTCACCTGGAAGTGCTCCTGGAATCTTATGGGGAGTATCTGAGCCATGGCGGGGCTGGGGAGGGTCCGGGGCGGGGGCGGGGGGAGAAGCCCTCTGGGGGCGAGCGGGCCGCCGAGAAGGGGCGCGGGGGCCGGAGGGGCTCCTCAGGTGAGGCGGGGGCGGGCGGGCAGCGCCGCGGGTCTGGCAGCACGGAGGGGAGCCGCCGCTGCGCCCCACACACTCGCACACGCGCGCGGGGAGGGAGGGAGGGAGGGAGGGGAGGGGCGGGGCTGCTCCGGAGGAGGCAGCGACGCGGCTGCGCAGGCGCGAGGCGTCTTCTCCCTCTCGCTCGCTCGCTCTCCCCCCTCCTCGCGCCTGCCCCCTCCTTCTCCTCCTCCCCCCCCCGCGCGGGGGCTTTTCTATCCCAGCTCCCAGCTCCCGGACCCCATCACCCCGTTCTGGAGATCACTCCGCTCCTCCGGCCAGGGATGGAGAGGGAGAGCGAGGGTCTTCCACAAGGAGAAATAGTCCCTGCCAAGGTCCCTGAGTCGCAGGCCCCCTCGGACGTCGCCCCCGCGCCCGAGGCTTCGCGAAATGTATCAATATGTAGAATACGCGCGCGTGTATGCACACACACGCGCATAGATACACTATCTATACACATATATAGTATGTATATATATTTACATACAGACACGCGCGCGCGCGTGTCTATTATACGCACACTTATATAAATAAATCTGATCTGGGCAAAGGCGCGCGCGCGGTTTTCGTTTCTCCCAAGCGCGGTCGCGGAGCCCCAAGGACGCGGCTTGGGAACGGCGGGGGGGCGGGTTGCCGATGCCGCCGGGGACGCAGGTTTCACGCCGTGCGTGCCTCTGTAACATGAGCTGCGAAACATTTCGCGTCCCGCTGCCGCGAAACCTCCGGCTTCCTCGCGTAACCAAAGCGCAAGAGCGTTTCTGCTTGCGCCTCTTTCATCGCGCAGCGCTCCGAACGCCCCGTAGCGGAACATGGAGCGGCAGGTGAATCTCTCCTCCTCGCCCGGCCCCGCCGCCCACCCGGCGCCCCCTGAAGGATTTGGCGGGAGGCTCCGTCGAGGCGCCTGATGCAGCCTCCCTCGTCCGCGGGCTGTCAAAATAAAAATTGCGAGCAGCTGGGGGCCGAGACCTGCCGCTTCCCCTGCGGCCCTTTGGCGGCTCCGTACGGCTTCTCAGTGTATTTTTTGTATTTAATGGTAATTTATTATGTTCTATTGTATTTCAATGTATTTTATTGTGTTGCAAGCCGCCCAGAGGCTTCGGCAAGGGGCGGCATAGAAATGTAGTAGTAGTAGTAGTAGTAGTAGTAGTAATAATAATAATAATAATAATAATAATAATACAGGGCCACGTGCGTCGAGGCGGCGATCCTAAGCGCGACTGACTAACGCGCAGCCTCCCTGGAGAGCGAGGTTTCCCCCCGAGTAAACACGGGCAGGATTCCGTTGTGAGAGAAGGAGCAAGAATAGCTTGCTGCTCATCTTGCCGGAGGAGGCAACGGCACGTTGTGTTCATTGCCGAGGGAGTGCAGACAACCCACACCTATTTTACTGCACTTGTATCCATTTTATTTTATGCATTTCTATTTTACTCCAGTGCTATGCAATCGGCGATATAGGCAGTTCGCGACAGTAGCTAAACAGGTCTATAGAACAAACGCCACCCATAAACATTTTCTATAATACAATATTTAGAAATAGCTTAAAATAGCAGATATTTAATAAAGAATAAAAAATACCAGACACAAATACTCACATTTTATTACATTTACATCCTGCCATTTTTTTTTCTTTCAAAGGAACCCAAGGCAGTTGCCAGGATCTGCTTTTCTTCCTCTTAATTTGAATCTCACAACAACCCTGTGAGGTAGGTTAGGTTAGAGTCATAGATTGATGCAAACCCAATGAGCTTCATGGGTGAATGGGGATTCTTTGTGCTGTTCTATTGGCTAAAATTGTGTTAGTATTCCAGCCTCTGTAGTAATTCAGATGTATATTTATACTACTATATGGACCAGTATAGATACATCCAAGTACACAGGGCTTCCAGTTGGGATAATCCAAGCTTGTTGTCTGAGTGTTTGGTGCACAGGGGTCCAGTCAGCAAATAGCTCCTATCCCCTCGCACCAAAAGTTTGCAGCTCATGGAACTGCATTTGATTCTTATTATTTTTATTTTATTTATTTATACACATATTTATAAGCAAGCACAATATTCAGAAGATGCTGGTGTGGTCTTGACAGCAGTTCCTCTTTCTGCGGAATTCATTCCCATGCAAGGTTCCTGGAATGACACAGTTCCAAGCTTGTAGGCATTCCACAGACCACAAACTTCCCTAGATCTGAATGGGCTTTTCATGCAAAGGAGTGGTTTGTGGTTTCTAGCTGGTGCCTTGAAAGACCATAAAATATGCCACCGCTTCTCATCACTTCAAGGAAGGGTTGTAAATGAAGCTTCTGCCAGTGCTCTGCGGGCTTTAACGCACACTTCTGCAACTGCTAGCAGGCTTTTCAAAGGAGCTGACGCCTTATTCAGGACTCTCCCAGCTGGAAGACATTGCCCTACAGCACCAAAAGTTTTCTCACATTTTTTTAACCACCCTCATTCCCTCGCAGGCTAAACATGACATCATGAGGTAATTTCTCTCATAGGGCTTTTTCATATCAGGAAACATACGGAGACTGCAGAGCAATGGAGAGATGCGTAATATACAGATATCACACATGGCCTCTGTCACTTCCAATTATTAACACTGCCACCGAAATGAGATCAAAATAGATTATAACACACCCTGCGTAAGCAGCAGAAAAACAGACGCCTCTTGCATAGGGAAGAATTCCAAGAAGTTATGTGCACACAGTTCAGCATCATTCTCTGACTTGGAAGATGAATCCTGAGCAGAAAATGAATCTCCCTCACTCACAGAAATCCAGGACTGTAAACTGAATGAAGAGCAGTGCTGACACTACAGGCCTCAGCAGCCTTCATAAAGCCTCTGTTATCTTTAGCCCTCTACTGAGACAACATCCTCCTAATGACTAAGAGAAAACTGCAGCTAGCAGGACCTTTGGGAGCTATCCAAGGTCCTGTTTTCATCTGCCCTCTCCTTAAGAGGGCTCCTGCCTTGACTTTACCTTCTGGGCCTTTACTACTTGTCCTTGCCTAGCCTGGATCTGTTTTACCTGATTTCACTTAGGATGTCACGGTGCCCTAGGCAGGACTTTGCCTTGATCTGATCCACATTTTTAGTAAAGCTGTGCTAACTACAGAATGGGACAGGTTCCTTCCAACTCCCCCTGGGGTGGCAGTGACAAGGGCAACTGCGCTGAGCAATTCCAGCAGAGTTTAGCTACCACTTTTATTTCCCAGAATGCTTCCGATAGAGCACCACTCTGGAGCATTGCGGGGAATTTAAATGACCATGCTTAGTCAGCGGCCACACTTCAGAATGTGCTGGTAGCCTCCACCACTGCCAAATAAGGCCTTGATGGCCAACTAAAAGAAAATTAACAGTGGAAGAAGTGTGGGTTTAAGAAAATAAATCTGAAAGATGTTCTCAGTTTTCTGAAGACTGAACACGAGGCATTCCCAAATTTAAACAAATTTTCTTGGAACCATTTCAAATTTGGCATTCAATTGGAGAATAGGACAGAGAGTGCTTCCAGACAACATTAAAAAGGATCATGCAGCTATTCAATCTTTCCCTCCTGGAGATATTTTGTTTGCAGAAAGGAAAGAGACAGACGCTCTGGTGAGAAAACATGAGAGTTACAAGCTGAAGATGATATTGACCAGATGTGCTGCAAAATTCCATGAATGAAGCCGCATGGTTGTGCAATCGAAGCCTCGCTTGAAAACATCCTATAACCGCTTCAGCAGCCCTGGTGAAACACTTGTCGACAAACTGCGGGGAGCGGGGGCAGACATCGTCAGTCAAAAGCAGCTTCTCAGCTGCTTTCAACATCAGATTCTCCCAAGCCATCAGCCACACTGGGAGATTGGTTGGGTGGATGGGTAAGGGAGCTTAGTAAAGATTTCCCTTTTCAAAACTCAGTAATACAAAAGATCACAACAGCTGGATTCTTAGCCTGAAAGGAACCATGATCCTAAAAATCAAGAAGAATGGACACTGGCAAATGTCCCAAACATGCTCCAAAAAAACTAGTTTCTTAATTTTTGGTCCTCTGCAAGAGAGCAAGTAACAGTTGGTGTTTTTTTAAACATTTCTGCCATTTTTCTTTTACTGCTTTGCCATGGCATTTGTGTATGCTTTCCAACCCTGTCTGCGGCTCCGTAATTTGTACCAAGATGTAACAGCTACACTGGAAGGAAATGAAAAGCAGAATGGAGGGGAAAGACGAAAGTGGCTGAGAGCAGGTGCTCGACCAGCGTGCTTTCCTACTTTGGATATGGGTGTGCTTACTCTGGAATGATGCAAAACACCTGCAATGCGAGTACTTCAGTGGAATAGAGAGATACTTGCCTCAATAGTGGAGCGGCGGACTTGTACACCAGTGAAAGTCCCAGGGTGGCGGCGGGGACGGATTTGGGACCATTATTGCATTCAGGGGGGCTCAGAAAATCAATTCCACCAGTGAGCTGATGTGGGAATAGACAGGAAGTTTCCTTCTGTAGCCAACAGGTCTACTGGGTGCTGATGGAAGGACTGGGACCACACTGAGCCACAGAGCTGCCCGTGGGCCAGTGGAAGGACCCAGGAAGAATAAAGGGGAGCACACCATCTGTTGGGAGCACTGTAGGCTGTTCAGTGAACAAGGGCTTCATGATGGCTTGTGTGTAGGGTATCTTAGCATGACATGCAAACCCACCTATTTCGCCAGTCTGACAAAACGCACTCCACTTTGATTGCGAGTACCGTTATCCACCAGGGTGGCTAACTACAGTTCCCCAGCAGTTACTCATACAAGCTGGGAATAATGGACATTGGAGTCCAACACCTAGAGGATTATGGCATCCCCTCCTCTGCCATTATTGGCATGCAAACGCTTAATCCTTCAGTATCCAGTCAGACAAGATTACTGAGCAAAAGGAGGGCCTTGTGCTGCACAGTCCTAGAACTACCTTCTATCAAGCATCTGTAATCCATTTTGTGAAATAAGCGGACACTGCTAAAAACTGTATCATTTACTCCACTCAAGGAAGAGATGCAGTTTAATAGCTTTACTTGGAAACTAATCATACTAAACAGCTACTTAAAATGTAAAATGATTGGTACAAAACCATCCCTTGAAAAATGTCTGATGTTTTCCAAGAGGGAAAAGTCAGGGATTTGGTCATGTTGCTTTTCATAAAACAGTCCATTTGCTATCAAATTGCATAATTATTACAAAATACTTGTTTCCCTCCACCCCTAACTTACATTTAACTTCTACTAAAGCAGATTATGCAGCATCTTGCCTATAGTTTCACTGAGTTTGACAGCATAACTTGCAGTACATCTGCAAAAAAACTCCCAGAATGGAAATTCCAGAGAAAAGTCCAAAAGAGCAGAAAAGACCCACATATTAGAACCCAATTGGCAACCACAAAAAGGCAGCTATACTGCTGAGAAAATGCTTGTGAGGTTTAGTGTTGTTTTTCATCTTTTGCTGGTGACAACCACCTCTTCCTTCACCAACCTTATCATGTCAAGAAATCTAAGCTCTAAGTTTTGCTGGTACTTTCTAATCATCCTATCCTCTATACTGAAAAAAAAATCTATGCACTACCAATGCTGTAAAGGTTAAGCCAGGGAATCCTTGTCAGGTGCGTCTCAGCCAAAATATTACTTTTATAAAATATATAAAATCTTCTGGATGATTTCAATTGAAACTCCAAAGCGCGCGCGCGCGCGCTCTCTCTCTCTCTCTCTCACACACACACACACACAGAGCAAGCGAGCGAGCAGAGTTCCTGGTTTTTGCAATGATTCACCAAAGCCACTCAAGAAATGGGTATCTGCCAGTATGCACTGGTTTCAGGGCTGCTTCCCTAATAAGTAAATAGAGGTGACCAAACAGAATTTAAAAAAAGAAAGACGCTTATGGTGCACAGAAGAGGAGCTATGATGGATTTATTTACAGAGCAGTGTGGCAGTAGGGTGGTCCTTTTAGCACTGGGATCCTTGACCTTGTGCACCAGAAACATCCCAGATAAATTAGCATGATAAACATTTCCGAAGCAGGTGAGTATGCCTACTGGCCAATATCCAGAGAGCCGCTTAAGGCATGCCCAGGGCAGGAGAGCAGACTTGCATACCAGATTATACACTTTCATATCCATAACCTGTTGTAGAAACACTTTGCCATACAGCAGACTTTCCCAATCTGGTACTGTCCAGGAGTTTTGAATTTCAGTTCTCACTGGCTCCAGCAAGCATGGCCAACAGTCAGGTATCTTGGGAGCTGTAGTCCCCAAAAAGGGAGGGTACCAGGCTGGGGGAGGCCAGCACAGAGGGTGCTGGTGACAGCTACTGTTCAAGAATCAAAGTTTCAAAGCCCCTCTGGGTATGCAGAACCATTTGTGCTACATTCTAGGGATCCCTTTAAGTATGTATTTTTTAAAAAAGAACAAACTTTAAAATGAGCAATATGTTCTTTGGGTTAAACCTCTTTTCTCAATATACACTTCCTCATATTATACCCTTCCAGCACTGGCACACCCCTTTCAGTGTGTAAAGGAGAAAAATAATCAAAACCAATGTTTGATTGACTTTGTGCCGGCTGTCTCCGAAGTGTCTTGTGCACAAGCCTTGAAACAGTGAACAACAGATGGTTTAGCGCGACCCTACAGCTTGTATCCAGGAATTCTTCAACAAATGAGCAGAGAGTAATGCTTGTGGTGAAATCGGTCAGGCACATACTCCTACCACATCGAATACGTGACACAGTTAAGGCCAAACAGCACTGAAAAGTGGCTCAGCCTTCACAGAAGAGTTTGTCCAGAAAGAAGGATTTCCTTCAGGATTAGGAGCCCTAGCAAACACCTGAAAGTGCCATTATCTACCCATACAGTCAAGAACATGGATTAAAATTTGGATTGGACTTAAGGACATTCATTTTTAATTACAAGGCAAGCCAATCACATTAGCCATTTCCTTATGCTGGTTGTCTCTCCACACAGCAAGACAATGTCAAATCGTAGAAGGGACAATGAGTTCCTGCATGGAGTGGAGCCATTAGAACTCCTTAGAGCTCCTTGACTTTTTTGTCTGTGGTTTTAATATTGATGTCCAGAGTATCCACTTTTTGAGTGAGGCGATCCAGGATGTCATCCTGCTCGTCAATTTCAGTCTGGAAGCCCAGAGCAAGGTTCTTCAGGCGACCTAGCCCCAAGGACATTTCCTCTAAAAGGAGCCAAGGAAAAGGTAGTTAGATCAGCAGCGAAAAGGCAATGCAAATTCGAGCAGCAATCCAGAATAAATACTGCTGTGCTAATTGCCTGACCAAGGAGCCAATGCTTAATTAGGTGGATGATTATTTTAATTTCTGAATGACCTAAGCCATTGAATGTACATTTAAGCCAGGCTATCCCAGCAAAATTCTGTGCCACAATGAAATGTTTTGCCTTTAAAGTGCAATAGGACTTTTGCTTTTGATATAAACGAACACAACTACCTGTCTGAAATCATTCAGATATGGAGGATTACTCCTGCCTTTAATACTTTTCTATTTCCAAGTCACTCCAAAGGTGTTAGCGTTCTTTTTACAAATGCAGCACACCTAATTAATTCCATCTACTTAGTTTACGTGGTCGAAAGTGTGACTTGTGGACTATTATTTATTCAAAAGAATGTCTAACTTGACTTTTGAGGTGTGTTGCCCTTAGAAGACAGCTTAGAAGATGACAACACAATGGGGAGATACAATTGCCATTCACTGCATACGTAGATATTTTAAAGCATTAAATGCCAACTAGAATGTACATGCTATCAGAACTGTGGTTTCTTGAAGCTATTGGTGATGGCGCCACCTTTACCATTTTGAGTAGAAAGTTCCAAAGTTATGGAATCACCACTGAAAAAGCCCCATTCTGAGTATCTGCTGGCCCAACAGCTGCTCTCATGTGTCCCCAGGGTCAGGTCTAAGACTTCATTCAGATTAGCAGACTCCCGAACCCACAGTGCTTCCACCTTATTTTGATTCATAAGATGTGGGGTCGGGGTGGAAGTATGGCAGTAGTTAGATGAGGCACTGCTGTGGATGCACTATTTTCTGCGTAGCAATTACAAGCCCTAGCAGACAACTCTGCTAGAGGGACATGGCAAGGATACGATGTGCGGTGTGGCAAAGCACACCATTCACCCATGATGTCCTAGCAGCTCTAAATGGCAGTGCTTTTTTTTTCTTTTCAAGTTTTCACTTCTGCCAACCAGGGATAACAGAAATTTTCCCGTAAGGGAGTTCCCATAAGCTTGTCATTTCCCATCTCCTCTTTGTTTGATGGGAAGGGGAGAGAAGTATAAATGCATCATTCTCTTTGGGAAGCTGTCTCCACAACAAGAATGCAACTTGCTTTCGGAGTAAGAAACTGGAGCCAAGCATCCTGGAGCTCAGGCTAGTGAAACTCACCCAAGTTTCTGTCGACTTTCTGGTGGTAGGCTCGGAGATGCTGATTCTTGGGGTACTCATCAGATTGGGATGAAGAATTTGAACTTGTTCCTCTGAAACTATCCTCTGGAGGGGACAAAAAGTGGCATGGTTGTTTAGAAGAGCTTGATATCACCAATCCTTTAAAAAAAGTTTGTGGTGCTATCATATTACTGAAACCCAACTTCAAGCTTTTCATAAACGAAAGTGAGCTTTTTCTTTCAGGCCTGCCAATCACAACTCATGCCTTGGTAACTTCAAAGGTATTTTAAGAAAATGCTTTCTAAGGAAAAGGCAACTTGGGGCTCCATTAAGAATCACCATGTCACTTATTTCTGACTATGTTAACACATTCACATTCAGATGGGCAGACTTCGAAGATATTTATGAAACTCCAGTTCATACACAAAGGATAGTCTGAGTCCTGCAAGCCAGATCTTGTGCTGCTTTCCTATGGAACGTTTATTCTAGGGCCTTGGTCAGTAAATAATCCTTATTCTCTTCTTCACACAGCCTTACACAGAGCACCCCCCCCACTCCTTTTTCCACTGTCCAGAAAGACCAAAGAAAGGAGAAAAGAGTCCTTCTGCCATCCCACCCACCTCTAATTTTCCCTGGCAAGAGAGAGGAGGGATGCACAGAGAACATGTATCTTCTTCTTGTGCCTTTCTATCGTCTCCCACTATCACTTTAGTTTTTCTGACCTGAGTGCAGCTAATCTTATCAAACCAGAAGTGATCCAGATCTTCAGGAAAGGAGAAAGGCACAGAAGAGGTGCTTTAGTTATGACCAAAATCAACAGGTTTTTTTACTTGCAGAGAGTTGTTCCTGTGTTATATTCTCAGAGTCCGGCAAGATACTCAGTGCAACAAACCATGATAAAACTGGGTAGTTAAATGTTCTTGGGTATGAATCAGTCTTACTCCAAAACACTCTCAGGAGTGAGGATCCTGCGGCCCTTAAGATGTTGGGCTCCACCAGCCGCTGCCACCACGGGAGTTCAATAGCATCTGGAGGCCAAGAGGCTCCCCACCCTGCTGTTTGCACTAAGACTGCTTAGATTTCAGCCTCACTTCATTAAAGCACCTATAAACACTCCCTTTCCCTAGTTCTTTGCTTTGCAGTTAAAGAAGATACTTAACCTGGTTTTGCCGTGCACATCCCAAGAAGGCTTATGCCATAATGAACATGTTGCTCTTAAGTGCCACAGTGTGCTATCGCAGCAGTTAACAATGCCATCTTTCTGAAATGTATGCATTCTTGAGCACTCAAAGTATTATTACCAGGGAAGAATTAGAATCTTCCCTGCTTCTCTTAGGGAAGGATGTTTTTAGTTGTACTAGAACGCAGGCACGGTGCTGGTGCTAAGTCATAAAAGGATCCAGTGGACACACACGGGCGTTTTGCAGTGAATACAAGAGGTCTAGAGCTGGGGGCATCTCTCTTATGAGATCAGCAGCTTAGCCTGGCTATGGCTCAAACAAGTCCTATATGTTATACACACAGAACAGTCCAAAGCAAAGCATAAACCTAGTTGGTTGTGCAGAGATAGGGGACATCAAACTAATTTCAAACTCATTTGGTACAAGTGTTTCTGCAAACCTGAATTATCCAGCTTCCGTAAATTTGGATGACTCTCTTGGTAGTTTGACTCTTGAACTTTACTGACAGACATGGCATCTTTTAATCTGGAGGAAAAGAGAAGAGAGATACCTTTCTCAGTATCTACTTCTTGCCCATTTCCAGTTTAATGATCAGACGAGGATTGAGACTTTTTCCTACCAGTTGTCTGTCCCAAGCTGACTGCAATTTGGACATAATTTGTAGCCACTGAAGCAACCTGAGCAAATAAGCACCCCGAAACTGATTTTGGGTGATTCTACACACCCAAGCGACAGGATTTTCCAGAAGATGATTTGCATAAATTTCATTAGCAGTTAAAAATGGTGCAAATCATGCCCCCTCTCAAAGATGCAATTCCAAGAAGCGGATCGACTTACACCATGGCGAGCTGGTAGCAGGGCATAGCTAATCATCTGGAATTTGTGAGGGCTAACTCATTAAAAAAAATCAGATTTTCATCCCCTATTGGATTCTTCACACATTCCGAATCCAAACATCCATATAAATGCCAGTTATCACTGCAAATGCAAGAGATATTACTATGCATTTCACATTGTACCTGTCCCCCTTGGAAAAAGGGGCCAGGTTGAAAACAGGGTAAAAATTTGCTGGAAAACTGGGTCCTAGGCTTACACCTCTGTTTTTGGCCAGGTTCCCAAAGTTTAAATATTTTACCTTTTCCATAGTTACCTTTGATTGCTTACCTGGTGCTTGCTTGGTATTCAGAAGCCCCGTTTTGTTCAGGCTTGACCTCTTGTGGCTTGGATTTAAAATAATTTACAAAGCCACCAAACACACTCTTAATGCTGTTGATGTGCCTTTGGCTTGTTTTTAAATCTTGTTCCATCTTATCCACCATGCGCTCAGTGCGCTTCAGTGCCTCCCCCTGCCGCACAAGCTCCTACAGAAGACAGTATCGTTTTAAAGGGATAAATAAAAAGGGACTTGCAACTTATAGTTCTAAAAAACTATTTTTCAAGAATCACACCCTCTGCTAAGTGGAAACAGGCATTTTTCAGATTTTGTAAAGTTGCACCATAATGCTGGGGGATGGGGGTGATAAATAATAAAAGGTGACTCTCTAAATTCCCATGGCATTGATTTAAATGATATAATAGAAATATAATTCAGGAGGAAGTATGGTGTCAAGGCTAGGACTTAAAGTTTACCCATCCATTGAACAACACATGCTCATTTAAAGATCCTTTCAGCATTTCGTAAGGTATCCTCTAGCACATTTGACAGTTTCTAGACACCAAAATTCAAAATGAAAATATAGCTGCAATCCCTTTTGCCAATTTCTCTCTCCTATGACCACAGGACTCTTTCAGGTATGGTCTGACGACGTGATCAGGGAGCAGAAAAAAATATTTTTTTGATTTAGCTTGAGCCTATAGGAAGCAGTGCAGTTCAGTTCAAATTTAAGTCTTCTACACTTGTTTTTGTTTTATAAAAGATGCCACTATCATGGGATTTAATTTAATCAGCTTCCCCGATTATTGACTTGCTATGAGCAGGCACAGTTCCTGGGTCAAATACTTTCATTCCTGTCCACTTGGAAAAATCCCCAATAACTATCCTAGAGGCCACCTTTCCCCAGTTTGACACCTTTCAGACTAGAATCCCCATCACCTTTCAGACTAGAATTCCCATCTGAACATTGGTCTGCTAGCTAGGAATAATGAAAGTTATGAACTAAAATGCATCTGAAAGATGTCAGGTTGGGAGAAGGACATTAGAAGATAAAATTGTTATATTAGCATTTTCATATATTGTTCCCAGAAATGTGAAGAACTTCACACACATGATCTTGCTGGTATCTTTCCAAAATTCCTGAAACATTCCCAGTACAACTGCCATATTGCTAGTGGGGGCAGGGGGAACCTGAAGCTGAGAGGGGCTTGCTTAAAACTCCCTGGTAAGATCTGAAGGAAGAAATTATGTACACAAGAGCCATGCTGGATCAGGCAAACCAGCAATCAAGTCCATCATCCTCTCACCAGGTGCTTGTGACATGTCTATAAGCAGGGCATGTGGTTCTTGGCAACTGGTATTTTGAACCCCTTCAGCATCTAAGAGATGTAGGACCCTTGGCTCCAATGTGGGTCACTTTACATTGGCTTGCACTGAGCTATGCCTGCCAATTTAATGTCCATTCCCCCAGTTAGGAGGTATATTTCCCTTCGGTGATGCAGAGAAGGGAAAAATTCATTTTGCAAGCTTGTAGTTACAAAGAATGTATGGATGCTAAGTGTATAAACTATTAATAGGGAAATTTTGCAACTGTGAAGTTATAATTCATGTGTCTTCTCCAGGTGGTTACCCTAAGAAGTATGCAAGGGAATGTACCCATGCCATTGATATATATATATATATGCCCGAAAGTGAAAAGCAACTAAAAGGAAGTGAGAGCAAAAGCACTGAACTCAGTTGAGAGGCATGGTTCACAACATGCACAGTTCCTTGGGTTGCTAACAGGCATTTGTCTGTCAGCAGTTTTCCGTTATCTTTACCTCACTTAAAATGTGAACAATGTAAGGGACTAAATGCTTCCTTTTCTTCTTGTTTCTCTTGTTCTTCTCCTACCAAAGATTGGACATCATCATGACTAAACCATCCTTAGATAGGACTGTTCTAAATAATATTGTATCACTACCAATGCATTTAATATTTTTTCAGCCAAAAAATTATTCTTACTACACTACTTTCCCTATTTAGTTTAACCTTGCATAATCAACTGTAGCTGTCCATATTTTCAATTTCTCATTATATAGCCATTCTCAAGGCATTCCACAAGCACGGTGCCATCACTCTAAAGGCAACCCACCTCACTTCATTAGGTGGGCATCCTTTGTGTTGGGGCAGGTATATGAATATAGTGGCTACCAGATGGGTTGCTAAACACGAGGCCACCATGAGTAGACAAGTAGTTGTATTATACATATACTTGAAATCTTTGTGCAATCAAGATTACAGGGCTTTTGTTTCAAAGATGCATTCCAGAAAATCATTACTATGCAAATACTATGTGCACCAAAATATACTCACTATAGGGTACAGTCAGGTCCATTTTCAGGTCCCTGCTTACCTCTGCTGTGGCTACTCCAACATGTTCAGACTCATAAATGAGGGACAGAGAGTGGTTAGTGCTATCCACTGTGGCCTTGGATCGCCTCAGGACTTCTTGCTGTAGATACCGCTGTCTATCAGGGCCCTCCCTAGGAGGTTCGTTACTTTCATTCCACTTTACTGGCTTTAAGTCTTCATCATCATCATCATCATCGAAAGGATTGTGGCTTTTTGAATAAGCAGACATATTTGCGGCTCCAGTGTCAGTTCTTTTCTGTGTGTGAATGTCAACAAAGGCAAAACCGAATGCAGCAGGCAGCCTTCAGAGCCAGCCCTACTCCTTCATATCAGGGACTGTCTGCATCCATGGGACAGAACCCAAAATCCTGCAAAAGAAGCAATATGTCTGTGAGGCTGAAACAATTAAGATGATTTGTTAGCATACACGTCTATACAAAGACATACAAGAATGACTGATCAACCTACCAACAGGTTAAGGGTACAATCTCATGCAAGTTTAGATGGAAAAAAATCTTATGCCTCTGAGCATGCCATAGCCAGCCATGCCTGGTTGGAAGCTGTAGGGCATTTTTTTTTGTCCAAACATGCATAGGAATGCATCCTAAATAACTAACAGTTTGCTGTTTTCAGGATGCCCAAAATGGGTTGCGTGAAAGCAGTGCATTACCATTTTTATGGGCCAGTCCTCACATATAATTTGATTTGTACCAATTGACATAATGGTACCTTAACTTCTAGTTTAAGCAGTTGCTAGTGCTCTGGAAAGCTGTAGTTCACAATGTGATCCTCTTTTAAGGTGGGTTGAGAAAGAGACGCAGCAAGAGGTAGCTTGTCTTGAGCTATCATGCATCAAACAGAAATCAGTAACAGTACAGAGTCTGTCTTTGGGGAAAGAGCCCCCTTGTTTTAACCATATTGCCAATATTCTTCCTTTTTTGCCAAACCAAAATAGATTAAAATTACCTCCATTTAAAAACAAGTTTCTTGATCTGGAAAATATGTTATAGATGTGCAGGAACACCTATTAACAGGGGAAGAAGCAACATTCCTACAACGGAATCTAATCTAACCTAACCTTAGTGCTTAATCATCAACCATGGCTCATCTCAGGACAATCTGTGTCACTGCACTTTGCTGACACCTCCTCACAAGATCAAATACCATTTTGAAAACATATCCTGTTGACCGCTTTCTTTTTAGTTACAACTAAGATATCAGCATGGGAACTCAACACCTGCTAAAGGGATCCTCAATTTTTTGGGATTTTGAGGGTATTGTGGGTGTATCCATTCACAAAATGGATGACATGGTGGAGATGACTGGTCTTATAACCCTTGTTGCCTACAAGTCAAACCAGCAAGTCTAAAAGAAAGTAACTTGCCCAAGAAAATAAGCAGGAGTCAGATGTGAGAGTACAGCTCAGCCCCCCAGATATTTTGAACCCAAATAAAAAGGGTGCTGGGTGGCATCCATTTGATTTGCATCATGTCGAACTTCCACTTTTTTCTTTTTAATGTAAACAAGAGAGGCAGGGAGCGAAGAGACATCGTTTCAGGAACCAGGTTGAACAGCCATTGTCTCAGCCAGTAGGATAAAGGCTGTTTGGATACAATCAGATGAGGCTGTCTTAAGTAATGATAACCAATGTACTAGAAGAATCACACCACCAGATGATCCTAACCATGTTCTAGCTAATTCTGTGGGATCCACTTCCTGGAAAGCAGATGTAGGGCTGTAACATTTAATCTGAAGAACCTTTATGCCAAGTCATTTCACCTCCCCTTCTTTTTTTGGTCATGTACAGCCTCCACTAGTTTCTGGAGAGTTTTTCTTTTTGCCACTGAACTCTGAATACCAGGATATCTGGAAAACCTCACCTCTGCCCTTCCAGTTTGAAAGCCCACAAGTCAGGATCCTGTTCAGAAGATAAGTTGCCTTCCCTTAAGATAATTTCTTATTCACAGTGAAGTACTGAAGATTTGTGTGCATGGAAAAGAAAATCTAACACGGAAGTGATACTTAAATGCCAGTGCATGAGATTCTACGCAACCACAGGGGACAAGAGTGGAAAGATAAGCTACAACAGCTCAGATCTAATTCCTATTATGGTTATAGTCTGTCTGAACCCCCAAACAGGGTTAACAAGAACAAACATAGGTATGAAATACAGGTATGAAATAAAGACCTTTCTATTCCCAGACTCTTTAATTGATCCCAGCTATAAAATGCATTTTTATCTAGGCTATAGTTTATATCTTGTGTTGATATGCTTTACTGGCTACTTACTAGCATTTTCTGTCTCATATAAGAAAGCAATGCTTTATTTTATTTTACTTGTCTTTACTACCTGTTCAGTTATTGTACTTCTTATGAATTTCTGGGAACTGTCCAGAGAACCTTGGCTATTAGTTGGTACAACAATGAATTCACCTGTTTTTATTTTCATTACAGACCTTGCTGATAACAGGGCAACAGACCAGTGCCTTATCAGTGTTTTAAATAAATAAATGAATAGCACCTAGGAGCTACATCATGGAGTACAAAAACAGTTGTAATGCATTTGATATTTCAAAAAAAATTATACCATTGTTTTATTTAATTTAGCCCTCAAAGTGGTTTACGTTGAAACCATTATAAATGGCCTATATAATTTTTAGAGAAAAATAAGTCAAATTTTCAGTTAAAAAACAAAGCAAAAATAATGTTTTTAAAATCTAGGTAGGTAGGAGAGAAAGAGAAATTCATTATGGAACAAGAACCTGAGAAAAGTTGCACAAAATCTAAGTGTGTATAGAGCCTTTGCACAGTCTTTGGAGTGTTGGAGGACTGGAAAGACCCACATTCAAACCCACATGCACCCTATGGTAACATCCACATGCAAACCAGATGGCTCCTTCTAAAGCAGATATTCTTCTGACCTGGTGCCAGCAGATGTTCAGGGCTTCAGTTACCACCCGCCTCTGCTGGGATAGCCAATCATTAGGAATTTCAGGGGGCATCAGGATGGGGACAGCAGGAAAAGTGTTTTCCCTGTGTCAGAGAGCCTGGCTTTACATTGGAGACCCTGTTCCCTCTACAAGCCAGGACTGTAAACCAAGGTTTGGTTTTCTTGCATATGAATCCTTATTTGCTTAACTGCACACACCAGTGAGAGAAGCCAAGCAGAAGCAGATGGACCTCAAGCTAAGCTCTACGGCTTATCTGAGGTAAACAGCAATTTGCCTTGTCTGGCTTAGTATTCTGCATTATATACAATTTTATGCATATACTATCATTAAATAACACTCACTATATTTCCTAAAAATATTTTATTTCCTGGTTTGTACAAACACTCTTCTCCCACCTCACTCTCAAACCCAGCCATTCCCAACCTGGTGTCCCCCAAGGTGTAATGGACTACAGACACCAGCTGGCTGGGGAAATACTGGCTTTTCAGTGCAACACTTTTGCAGGGTACCAGGTTGTGGTAGCCCAAATTCACACAAATTTTCCAGTCAGCTGTACGGCTCTCTGGGTGATTTCTAGCTAGCCAGCAGCTCACTCTCAGCCTATCCTACCTCGCAGGGTTGTTGTGAGGATAAAAGCAGGGAGGCAAGAGACTCCGCCTGAACCAGATTGAAGGAAAAGTCGGGTAAATAAAGCGTAACAAGCGAAGACAGAGGGAGAAGGGCTTGGCTTTCGAGGCCCTCCCCGAGACCCCTCAATACTCACCCCCAATCGCGGCTCGACGAAGCTCCTCTGGTTTCTCCCTTCCTGTCACGGGAGGCGGAGGCGCGCAAGCGCAGTCGGCCCTCGCGAGGCGTAGCGGGGCGAACCATCCCTGAACTTAAGGCGGGGTTGGGCGGAGACAAAATGCGCCCAGACAGAAAAACAGATAGGCGCGATCGGAATGAACCAACCACTGGCTTTGAAGGGGGGAAGGCAGAAATAATATGATGTCACATTCATCCCTTTATGGGTTGAAAGAACGGGAGAAAAGAAGTCGGACCAAGCCATTGTCGAAAAGTGCTCTTTGGAGAGGGTGAGCACTTTTTAAAAGAGAATGTAAAAGATTTCTAGGTTGGACAGATCTTGGGTTTAAAAGGGCGGAATTCCAGGAACGAAGTCATCGCGGGCGGAGCCATCTTTGTGGTCACGTTCACACTACAATCCTATCCGTGTCTTCTCCGGGGTAAACCCCAAAGATTTAGGAAAGGCTTGGTAATATTTTCCAGAGTGCCAGGCTGAGGTTTGTCCCAGTACTGCCTCCTGAGTTCCTATAACTGGAGATAATGGAAATTGACTATAGGGCTTAAAATTGCTTAAGGGCAGAAAGAGCCCTGCTGGATCAGATCGCTGCCCATCTAGTCCAGCATTTTGTTCACACAGTGACCAGCCAGTTGCGAACTGGAAACCTGTAAACAGGACAGGCGTGTGACAGCATTTCTCGCCCATGCTCCTCAGCAACTGGTGTACATGGGCACTGTTGCTGTTTTTACGTGCTCTCAAGTCATCTCGGACTTACAGTGGCTTTATATGAATCAATGAAAGTAAAAGAAGTGCAAAAGCAGGACTGCAGTTGAACAGCAAAAAATAAAAAATGCCTTCTCATACTGTGCCCAAATTATGACAGCTGCAATTTAATCATTTCTGCTTCCGGGGAAAGTTCTGGCTTGATTTGATCTAGGAATCACTTGTTAATTCAGCCAGTTCAGGCTGTATGCAAAGCCCTCCTTCAGGACCATGTTTCAAACACCTTATTATTATATAACAGCGGACATTGCAGGGCTATTGTAAACCATCTTGCCCCACCCCATACGCACAACTTTCCACCTGAAATATATGGGACATAGGCATTGTTATTTGCACTGGAATTGACAGTTGGATTTTAAATGTTCGAAAGAGCAAACATAAGTTGCATAAGTTAGGACCTGAGTACGAAAGAGTGTGTGCTACTGTCTTTTTTTCTTTATAGTTGGACATACTTGAGTATATTTCTCCATTGTGTTCTAGGGGCTGCAACCCTGCCCTGACCTTGGAGTAAACCCTTAAGAACTAATTAGAACTTACTTTTTAGTAGTCCGTACTAGGACTGTACTGTAAACATCTCTATTCTGTAGTTACTCATACAGAAATTTCTTAACCGTCCTTCAACATGATTTTTCACATCGGCTTCCAACATCAGCTCGGGAACCCTCCTTTCCACACAACTCGAAGAGTTAATTTTGCAATGAAAAATCATCCAGCCATAAGACAGGGCCCAAGTTCGCTTGCTCCGCTTGGTGCCCTGTAGACTTTCGCACTTCAACTCCCATCAGCCCCAACATATTATGCCGGGAGTTGTAATTTGACATCTCTGCAGGGGTCCCGGTGGGCAGAAAGCTGGCCTGCGGCCATGAAGCGTTCCGTGCATCCTCACCGGCACGTTCGGTTTCCCATGCGCACCCTCAGGGGCCGCGGAGGGAGGCTTTCATCATAGAGACGCAGGACCGGCGCGACAGGAACTGCGTCACAGCCCGCCATGGGCCAATGGCTTCCTTGCTTTTTGATATCGGCTCGGTGTGCCGCTCTAGCCGCCCGCGCCGACTCTTCTATATAAGCGCCGCTGTCCGCGGCTCGCGCGCGCTCTCGCGAGAGGTCCGGCACGGGCGGGGGTGTGGGAGGGCGTCTCGGCGGCTGAGGCGGCGGCGGCGGCGGCGCCGGCGGGCATGACGCGCGGGCCGGGAGGGCTCCTCTAAACCGGCTCCGGTCCGGCGGCGGCGCGGCCTGCCTGCTCTCCTCTCCTCTCCTCGCAACATGTCGGCCCTGGCCGTGGCGACGGCGGCGGCCGCGACGGCGGCCGCGGTGACAGCGGCGCGCACGGAGAAGCCCAGCAGCCCCGCCTCGTCGCGGGGCTTCTACTTCAACACGGTGCTGTCGCTCGCCCGCTCGCTGGCCGTGCAGAGGCCCGCGCCGCTGGAGAAGGTGCGCCGGGGCGGGCGGGCGGGCGGCGGCCCGGGCGGGGAGGGCGCGCCGCCACGTCGGTGGGGCGGGTCTGCGGCTGGGCTGTCAGGTGTCGCGGGGGTGGCGCCGCGCCCCGTCGGGATAGCGCGCAGGGTCCTCCTCCTCTTCCTCCGATAGGATTGCTCTGTGTGTGGATCGTTGTTCCTGCGTCGGCGAAGCAGGGCGTCTTGGAGGAATCCGTGCGCGAAGCCATGCCGGGGGCGGGGGGGGGGGCGGTTATCGCTGGCCCTGGGATGCCCCAAGGAAGCCATGTGTCAGAACTGTTGTCAACCTCGGGATGTCGCACTTGGTATAATTGTGCTGGGAATACTAATTCCGAGGACCGGCGGCCTTCACGTTAAAGGATGATGGTGACATGTGATCAGATTTGATCACCCTTGGGTACTCCAAGTGTTGCCAGGAATCAGGTGTATTTGTTTGTTTTAATTTTGTTTGTTAAACTTATGTTGTGCCTCCCCTTTTACAAAGAACTCAGAGTGGCTTCCATAATGCTCTGCTTCCTGCTCTCCATCTTACAGAAACATAGAAACAGAGCGAGTCAGAAGGGGTCTCCAGGGCCATCTAGTCTGACCCGTGGCTCTAGCTGGCTCCACTCAGGACATGCCTACCATGTGCATGCCTATCCCCACAACAGTGCAGGCAGGTGGGCTGGGCTGAGTGTCTGTGATTGGCCCAGAGTCACCCAGGTAGCTCCATCACTGAGCAGGGGCTAGCATCCAGATCGCCTGAGTCCCAGGCCCATGCTCTTAACCACTGAAGCACACTGGCTCTCTACTAGTACTACATCAATAGTATTAGGGTGTAATGTTACTTATTTATATTGTTATAATGATTCTGAGACTTGCTGATCTCGGTAAATAATGGTGGTGAAATGTGATTTTTTAAAATTTATTTAGAAAATTTATAGGCCATCCATCACTGTCGTCTTTGGACGGCTTACAACATTAAATCCTAAATAAAACAAGGATGATTATATTGGTCCTTCGCTATGTACCACAAGGGCTGCCTGGTTTTAGGATTGTTATTAGTGGGATGTCATATTTTACGCAGTATTGCCAAGAATAATAGTTCTCAGACATCTTTGTGACAAAGATGGTGACAGGTGATTATAGACTGTTAGCATGTATCACAAGGATTGCCAAATCTTGGAATTATTTTTGTTCACATTAGTGTTTGATATTTTATGATATTGGAGCTATGTTCATTCCAAGATTTGACCATCTTTGTGGTGGATCATGTTGGTGTAGCATAATATTTTACTGTCATCCTTAATCATGAAGATAATCAGATCCTGGTTTTGCTGTTAGTAGTTTATAATAATTTTCTGTGCTGTCATTAGTACTACTAATTCTGAGGACTGGCAATCCTTGTGGTAATGATCACAGTGAGTGACAGTGGTGGTTACAATGATCCTGAAGTCTGGAAATATTTGTATTAAATGCTGTCACTGAAATAGAATACAGATATTTCGCCATCTCATTTCCCAAAGCGTTTGCCAGGTTGTGGGGTTGTTATTCTCTCTGCTTTTGATGATCAGGCTGTGTACTTGCTTACATAACTAAAACGGCACCACCCACATACATCATTAGGTTTGTGGGTTTGCAGAAATTCTTAACGTTTCTTCTTGAATCTTAGATGTGTTTACTTGGGAGTAACTCCCACTGAAATGGTCTTTTTCTGAGTAGGCATACTTAAGCTTGTGTTGTCAGAAAACAAACCCTGAGAGGCAGAGATCCCAAATCAGCCCTAACAGGGCTGTATTCTGTGGCCATGAAATGCTGACCATTGGTGGATAGGAGAGAGAAGAAATGGTGTGTTAGTGTTGGCAGCGCGAAGAACTTTTGTTGGACAGGAAGCATTCCACGCTGCAGCCTTTTGTTGCAGGTTCCTCATATTATAAGCCTTTAGACTCAGCTATATTCATAAAAAGGTGGTAAAATGATAATGAGGTACTGTTTCATCATCATTTATTGCCTGGATTGCCAGGTCTCAGGTTAATATATTAAATGTGATAAGATTTTCATTTACTCCAAGGCATTTGGCAGCCTATGATTAGGTTTCTGGGATTTTTTTTTACATTGTTGAATGCCTTAAATAGTTCTGTTAATAGTTATATTAAGTTTTATTTTTAAGGATTGATTTTTTTTGTAAATTGATTTTGTATTACTGGTATTTTCCTGTTGTAATTGTTTATAATTCTGTAAACCATCCCAATGGTTCTTTCTGCCTGAAAAAGTAATATAGAAATACAAAAAATATATATGATTTCTGATTGTTTGTCATGCTGGCTAATAGGAGTTGCAGTAAAAAATGGAGGGAACTAGGTTAAGGAAGATGGGTTAGAAACTTTGGTTCATTTAAAACAGAGTTGCTAGATTACTGAAGACACAATGCCATGCAGATTTAGGGTGCCTGGGGCACCCTGGGAGTTTTAGGACTTCTTTCTGTTGAAACATGCATAGTATTGTACCCCGAAGGGTATTGACTAATTCAGTTATATGATGCCAGTATTTTTCTCAGCTGCTTTGGCTTCCAGTCATCCTCAAGCCTGTTCAAAATGTTGGCACTTGAAAGTCCTAAATGGCTTGAGACCAGAGCATGTAAAAGCAAGTTTCCTCCTGATGGTACCTGCTGTAATCCTTAGGTCGTATTCCAAGGCTCTTCTCTGGGTGTCCTTGCCTAAGGAAGGGAGGTAGGTGAAAAAGCAGGCTTTCTTTCCCAGTGGTGGAATCATCTCCCAAAGAAATTCAGCCTGGCACGAGCAAAGGCCTTTCATTTCTCCCAGGCGTTTTAGGGATGTAGTTCTGAATTATTATTATTATGTTCATCTATTCCTGTGCTGTTTGTTCTGCATTATATTGTATTTTGTTATTTCAAAATATTTTGTTTCATCTTTTTAACTGCTCTATGGCCTTTTAGTTTTTTAACTGATTGTACTCTGCTGAGCGAATATGTTGTCATTCCATGGATTAGATGCATGCATTGCTGTTTCTCTACTGTGTGAGATTCAGATATGTAGACAAAGCCTATCCATTTTTCCTTGGAAGTAAGCCCTGTTGTGTTCAGTGGAGCTAAAGTGTAGATCGAAGCATCTACATTTGTCATGCTCTAGTCGTGATTAATTTAAATTTTGTTGATGCCAACTATGCTGACTGGGGAATGCTAGGAGCTGTAATTGCTTACATAACTAAACCGGCAGGAGGGACTGTATTTTTAGTGAGGGTTCTGTATGAAATACTTAGTTGTTCCTTTATTGTGATATGCCCTGTTTCATTAACAGTGCTTATTTGTACTCTGAAAGCTTGAGAGTTTATATATGTTCTTTACTTGAAAGCATAGCTTGCTTTATCATAGGGGCCCAGGCCTGATGTTGATATAAAAACAATTATAAATATAAACGGATGATTGCCTGGAAGGCTTACAGCTTAGACTAAACGAAGGTGCTACAAAAGAGCAAAGGAGAGGAAAACGAGGCAAGGAAATGCATGCATTATATTATGAACTATATTTATTGTGTCTCCATACCGCCCAACAGCCAAAGCACTCTGGGTAGTTCACAACAGTTTGAACCCTGAAATACAGTACGATAAAATACAATATAAAAATTCAAAATTTCTGTTTAAATAAAAACAAAGATAGTTTAGCAGCAATACAGATTTTTAAAATGCAACAACAGATTTAAAACCGAAGCTGGAAGACTAAAATGTCCAGAAAGATAACAAGGGCTTCACTTGTGACAGAAAGAGCACAGCTTGGGCACTGGGCAGGCCTCTCTGAGAAGCTCTTTTGGCAGCTGGATGCCACAGCAAAAAGGCCCTCTGGGTAGACGCATTTTAGAGTTTAGGCAGGTATATATGGGAGCTTTGTCAATACCAGGCATGGAAATGGACACTTTGTGTTTTCAGAAATTGGGTCAGCCATGGTTACTTTTCCCTGAGATCCTAGTTGTACACCAGCAGCGCTGTAAAGCCTGGTGACCGTTCACATGGTCTGCAGCCTCCACTCTGAGACTGCTCCTAAAAGGTAGTTCTCATAGATGCAACATGGGGAACGCTTTTTGCATCCAGCATGATAATCAAGAATTCTGGAGAACTGCAGCATTCACTCACTGGCGTGTGACGCTTTGGTTGGTTCTTGCAAACAGGTTGCTCCACTGTGGATTTTGCAGGTTGTTTTCTCAGGGACTGATACAATTATTTCTTCTTCTTCTAGCTTACTGCCTGCTTAACAGCTGTTTGATGTGACTGCTCTTTTTTCAGCTGTTACATGTGGCCGCTCTGTTACTTTCCACTTGCTTTTCATGTCCTCTATTTTTGTTTGATCCTAATTGCTTATCTTGTTGTCTAAAACTGTGTGGAAAGGCAGGATGTTCATGTTACAAATAGATAAAATGAAGGAAATAACTGTACAGTTCTGGCTTGCTGGCAGACTGAGATCCATGCTGTGGAGTATTTGTGAAGGATGCTTGCTTTCTTCTTCCTGAGCTTACTTAAAGGTCTCATGGGGAGAAAGAAGACTAGACTTTCCGCTTTGATATGTAGGACTGGTTGGCAAGATAGTCGTGGCACTGTATCTCGCGCGTCTTGTTCAGTTTAGCGTGCCTGCATGGAAAGGGGTTCATGAACTCAAAGCTGCCCCTTTTAAACTGACGAGGGGCAAACATTTTCTGGGTGTATGTCAGTATTGAGACTGAACAAGCAGAAATGTTTTAATAGGGACCTCATGAAAGACTTGGGAAATCTATATTATGGAGGATTTTCCCCCTATGGATCAGCAATAGGTGAATTTGTTCTTTTCTAATTCTTTACATATACTTCAGTGGTGGTAGTTGAAAACAGATGTTTGGAAACAGTTGATTTTCATGATAAATATTCTCAGATCTATTTTTTTTTGTGTAGGTACAAAAACTACTATGCATGTGTCCAGTAGATATCCATGGGATTTTTCAGCTGGATGAACGTCGCAGAGATGCTGTGATTGCTTTGGGAATTTTTCTAATTGAGTCTGACTTACAGGTATGATTTTCTCCTTCATCTAATATGTCGATATATTAAGAGGTTCTCAGGGGAGCTTAGTAAAATTATGATGAAATTAATTAAACGAAAGCCTTTAAAGCACTGCAATAAAAAAAAAGAACAATGTAAAATCACAGAGGAAAAAGCCTGGTGGGGGAATTAAAATTGATATCCAGGTAGATGTTAGGCAAGCCTCTTTGAAGTTTCTGAAATTAGGTCAAGGCCTGGAAGTTGCTTCCTTGAGTGTTACAGTAACTAATAACCTGGTTTGCACAGCACAATAGGCTGTGCTGGATTGTCACCATTGGCCGTGTCAGAACAGTTTCTTGTGACATCTGAAGTGTGATTTTTCTTGTGAATTTTTCAAGAACAAGCCACCCAGAGGACCCATGGTTTCTCATTGCGTTTTCAGGTGGCTTGTTCTCTGGGTGTCTTGTCTTGGCATCTGAACCCCGCATGGCAACTTCATTGCGGGTTGTCAGAAAGAGCTGGAGAACCTCCTAGCAGGAGGGGTGGACGCCTCTGCTGCCCCTGGCTACAGGCTTCCCTAATTCTTGCCCATGTTCTGAAGATGTTCACAGCTTTTGTTATAGTCCTATTGATGTGTGTCCATTTTGAAGTTTGCTGCTACAGAGTTTCTGTAAAATTCCCTGCTGCTTTATCGGTCTGCCTTTACATGTGTGTATTTTTATCCCTCTAATTCCCTACTCTGCCATGAAATTTGCATATCTCTACCAATCCCTATCCCTGCTTAGTAATCCATAGGTATAGCCAATGGTTAACAATAGACACCAGTGGAGAAAAGCTCCTGGCAGCTTCAGGAAAACATGTTTTAAGACAGGGTAATTACTTCGGCAGTACATGAAGCAGCCTTTTAAAAAAAGCTGTTCTTACCAAGGCAAGCAGCAAAAAGGGGAGGATGATAGTGAGATTGACAAGAAGGGGACATAGGTGCTGGACTAAATAGTAGACAGGCAGTTCAAAAAATTTCGTGTCTTTGGAGTGGTGGAAATTCCCTCATGAGAGAACAAGCCCAGTGGATCCATTGCAGAAAAGATGCTGCGGCAAGGAAGGAACAAATAAGGATTTCTGCCACACAGGCTCCCAGGGATACATGCAGGTAGCAGGAGGAGAACTCGGGAGGAAGCACCTCAGGGCAAGCTGCCGTGCCCCATGATCGATCAGGAGCAGACAGGCTAACTGAGCCAGCAGCCATTTCTTGGTGGCTTATCTTTAGGATGGTTGACCAAGGCATTGAATTTGCCCCCATCTTTAGATTGGTTTTCTTCCCACTGTTTGGTTGTACCTAGATTTATATTCAGTAATTTAAAAATCTTCCATTTCCATTCCAGCATAAAGATACTCTTGTTCCATACCTTCTCCGGCTGTTGAGGGGTCTTTCCAAAGTCCAATGGATAGAAGAAAGCAATTCACGGAAAGGCCGAGGTGATGCTTTAGATTATGTTTGTCAGAGTATTGGAAGCTTTTTGTAACTAGGAGACAGAGGATAATCTTGTGTTCCCTAGACAGTGTCTGGTGGGGTCATCGGATATGCTACACCAATATAGTTAGGGGTCAGTTGTTCAGAGGCCCAGTCTAATAATCTCTGGTTTGTTAGCCCAAGGCCATTAAATCCAAACTTGGCCTTCAGAGGCTTGTGGCTTATAATGGATAGGACTTATTGATTCGCATTGAGCTGGTTAGTCATGATCCTGTTACGCTTTTTTTTACTATACCTGCAGGCATGCTTCCCATCGCAGAAAACTTCAGCTTCTGTTTGGTAACCTTGTTGTCAGATGTGGCTTACAGGGATGCTACCCTGAGAGAACAGGTACAATGGAATGAAATGATGTCGCATGCTGTTTAATAGATATCATTGTGTCCAAACTATTAAAATATTTCCCCATCCCAAACTTTAAAACATGCTTTAGAACCAGGACCCAAATCTGACTTTCCTGGGGCCCCAATCTAGCCCTCTGGTTTCCCTACATGTCTTTTCCCCCTTTTAATTAAAAAGGGTTGTTTAACTTTAATTCAAAAACTGAAGTAGTTCAGCTGCAGAATACGGTGCTGAAATTCTTGCTTAATCTTACAGCTCTGACACCAAGGCTTCTGTACTCTCAAATGTCACCTGCCTAATTTAGTACGTCTTGATTGTTCTAGGTGTTAGAAGCGATTTTGCAAGTGATGCAGGTCCTGTTGGGAATGTGCCAGTCTCCTCAGATCCAGGATAAAGGTACTGGGAATGCTGCTCCTGGAGGTGCTGCTGCTTGTATAACAAATCGGTTCTTCCTGCTGTTTCTCCTACAGGCTGCTATTCACAAAACTGCCAGCAGCTTTTGCTCTGCAAAATGTTAACCTGGATTTTGTCATTTCCCCCCTCTCTTTACCATGGATAAATAGGCTTGCTTCAAGCAGGATGGGAAACTCCCCATGTCCACTTTGTGAATGAGCTGCCACAAGCCTAGGGTGACATGCCTTCCTCCCCACCCCATACCATTCCGTTTTTAGCTTCATAGCTGTAGGAAAGATCAGAAACAAACCAACCCACATGCATTGGAACTCAAGGAACTGTGGTTTGTTTAAACGCTACATACTGAGAACAAATCAGGAACTGAAACCCATTTGTTCCTAAGTAATAGAAACAGAAAAAGCCACAGTTTCCTGAGTTTATTCGTAACTGGGAACAGTGCCTTGCTGAAAAGTACAAGCAGATTATTTCCTGGCAACCACAAAAGAGCGGGAGAGTATCTGAACTCATATGCTCATTCATGTGGCGAGACACAGAGGTTTCCCATTACAGCTGAACCAAAGCATATTGATATTAATGCATTTAGAAAGATGACACCACAGTGGCTAGTAGGAAGAAACCGCTTTGAGTAGAAGATAAGCAGCCAGTCTTTGTTTTCCAGAATACTTATGCAAGTATGCCGTGCCATGCCTGATAGGAATTTCTCGAGCTTTTGGGCGCTACAGTAACTCAGAAGAGTCTCTCCTGTCGAAGCTTTTCCCTAAGATTACTCCACATTCCCTCCGAGCCCCAAATGAGTTGGATGGTATCAGAAGGCGCTCTTTTAACGACTTCAGGTCGATACTTCCACACTCCCTACTGTCAGTCTGCCAGGAAGGATCTTTAAAGCGAAAGGCCAGCAGTGTGTGCAGCATCTCACAGGTGTGTGAACTAAAATTGACCTGTCATCCGTTTCATTGACCTTGCTTCAGTTTTTCCAGGATTTCAGCTTGAAGAGCAACATGTGAGGCTGTTAGGAGAGGACTCATAACTCCACAGCAGAGAATGTGTTGACCCAAAAGGAGATGCTAAGGTTCTTGGCAACTCCAGTTACAAGGGAGTATAGAAACATAGAACATAAGAAACATAGAAACAGAGCGAGTCGGAAGGGGTCTCCCATGCCATCTAGTCTGACCCCCAGTTCTGCTCATCAGAAGGCAACTTCCTATGCTAGCTGTTTCTCCACAAATGCGTTGTATTTTTCATGATTTCAGAAAGTTAATGCTGTGCAAATGCAGCACGATCTCTATTTAAAGGGCTGAGGAAAGCAAGACAGAGATTACTGTTCCAAAGTATCCAAAGAGGCAAAGGAGGGCTGTACATTGGCAGGATGGCTGACTCTGCATGGAAATCCCAGCTGCCAGGCCACACAGCAAAGCTGTTCATATGCCTAGCAGTGATGGTTTTGTGTCTGTTATATGTGGTTCTGAGGTAATAGATTTGCTGGACACGTTAGAATTCTATCAATGTAAAGGAAATGAAGGGCAACTGTTTTGCTTCTGGAAATCTTAATACCAGTACAAGAATGAACTCCAAATGAGAACTTGGCTGTAACTTGTAACTGTTTCTGTGTTTCAGGTCAGTCCTGAACGAGGTGTTCCTCCTCCCAGCTCTCCTGGAGGAACTGCTGGGCAATATTTTGAAGGTACAGTTTTATTTTCTGGTGTCGATTACTTTGCATAGGATGTAATGAAATCTCTGAGTACATGGTGCTAACTTAATATTGTAATCCACTGCACACTGCTGAGTTTGATAGGTGTTATTTTCAAGAAAGCACCGATAAAGTAGGCTGGACAGCAGCCCCAAGCGTTTTTACATAGAGAAAGTTTTAGTTGAGCTCAGTGAGATTTGTGCGTAAACATAGATGGACTCAGATTGCAAAACTTATTCTCACTGGTCATAGGGTGGAAAAAGGGATGCTTCAAAAACAAAAATTCATTCCTCCGATGCTTAAGTGCAAATAGCTTTATTGTGCTGGCTAAAGCATAGTTTAGAAGATTAACCACAGCAGTTGTATTGTGCTTCACTGAAACTCTAAGTGGGAGGAGGAGGAGGAGGAGGGGATTTTCAGTTATTCATTTCAGCTGCAGACACTGAACGGGGATATTCTGGACCACAATGCAGCATGTGCGTAAAGCAAATGGTTTGCATCATCCAAAAATCTTTCAGTTAAGTGAGTCTGCTTGCATTGAACATGAAATGGGTTTTTGCCCTGCCTTTCCCAGAGGGTAAAGGTGCTACTAGAAGAGACTTACATTTTGCAGTTGCCTTCTCTCCTTCACAGAAAGTTGCGGGGGGGTCCAGATATTGGTTTGTAGCCCTCTTCTACTTTCCCATTGTTTGTTCTATTTTCTTACCCCCAAAAAGTCTGTTAAGGAAGGAAAGGTAAGAAAAGCTGCTCTAGGAGCTGCCCATCCGTTAGAATTCTATCAATGTAAAGGAAATGAACTCCAAATGAGGTGAAACACCGGTCAGCCCCTGTCCTACCTCTTCTGTTCTCTAGGAAAGGTTTGTGCCTCATGGTTCTTCAGGGGCATCAAATAGGTATAGTGAAGTGGCATCATTGGGGAAGCGCTCCAAAGTCAGCCGGAGGCCGCTGTTCAAAACACATTCCGTTTTGTGCAGAATATCCACAAAGAGCAGAAATGGCTTAGTTTACATGTCCCGTTTCTTCCAATTTAAGGGCACCCACTGAGTGTGTTGTGTATTCAGGTCCCCGAATCCTGGTCGGGAGCCAGTGTGTGAGTGTGCCTTACTCCATAGCAATGAGCAATTAGGCATTTTTTTCTTTCCTGCATACTTATCGAAGATGTTGCAACCTTCAGACCAATAAAGCTAGTCTAGCCCATGTGCACATTAATGTGGTCTAGCACACACTGGCAATCTGATAACATTTTCAAATAATGTAATAATTTTTTTACCTTTTCTTTTCTTTTCTTTTCTTTTCTTTTCTTTTCTTTTCTTCAAATGAGCAGGGTCCTACTTGCCTGATGGGAGTGCGGTTGATCCTTATTATTACTTCTCTACAATCAGTTCCAGCTTCTCAGTTTCACCTCTTTTTAATGGCATTAGTAACAAAGAGTTTAACATTCCCCTGGAAATGCTCCGTCAGCTGTTGAACATGGTATGTTATGAGGCGTTTGGAAGATCATTTGTCAGTTGGGAGTCAGTAGACTTTTGAGGCTAAACAGTGAATATCGTAGAAGTCTAATGTAAAGTACTTCATTATTATTATTAGAACATTTCTATGCCACCCCTTGCCGAAGCCTTGGGGCGGCTTACAACACAATACAATACAATACAAAATAACAATATAAAATTAAAATAAATAATATAAAAAAATATAAACGATATAAAAGAAGTTATAAAAGAAAAGAAGAAAAGGAAAGGAAAGAAGTCGCCCTGGCCAGATGAATAAGTGAATATTGTTAACAATTAAAATGACGTTTAAATAAAAAGGTCTTCACCTGGCGCCGAAAAACAAATAACGATTTCATGCTAGCAGAAAGTATTTATTCGATTTATATCCTGCCTTTTTCCTACAAAGGGCTCAAGGCAGCTTACATCATTCTCCTCCTCCATCTTATCCCCACAACAACAACCCTGTGAGTTGGTTGGGCTGAGAGTCTGTGGCTGGCCCAAAGTCACCCAGTGGGCTCCATGGCCGAGTGGGGACTAGAACCCGGATCGCCTGAGTCCCAGTCCCAAGTTAATTATATGATTGTTTGTTTATTTTGTAAGCCGCCCCGAGGCTTTTCACGAATGGGGCAGCATAGAAATGTTCTAAATAAAATAAATAAATAAACAAACTACTGGCTAGCACAATACCAGAAGTGTTAGCTGGCATGCTGATTTACTAGGGAAATCATTAATGCTAGTGCAGTGTAATTCTGTTTGCAATTCACTGGATCTTGCCCATACTACCGAGTGCTGGTAGAATCTTGCTCTGACTAATTTGCTTTGCATGCTGTCACCCAAACCCAGCCGGCTTCCTTCACGTGGCATAGCTTTTGCCTCTAAGGCACGCTCACAACCCGTGGTTTGTTCAAGGGACTGCATGATCCACAAGGAGCTATGTCATCTAAACCCAGAAGAGCAATTTCATCACAGGTTGAGAGGTCTGACTAGTGAGCCACTTGGCAAGAGAAGCAAAAACCCCTTTCATGCCTGGCAACTTTGCTGTCACCTTTGAAAACTTTTTTTAAGATATGACCCCAAGTTTTGTGGCTCCAATTTTCTTTTTTAAAAGTGGCAGATGAAAGGTGGTAGCCATTGGAAAGCAGAAGGGAAGACAACTTCTGTATAGGACACTGGGATGCCACTGGAGGACGGAGGCAGGTGATGCAAGAGAACAAATCAGAGGGAGCCCAGGCACCTGTCGGGTGCATTGTGGGTTCCACAAAGAACCCACTCTCCACAGCTTACACTCAGGGTAGTATGTATGTATGTATGGACATATGAACCCTATGTATGGAAAGGTTCTAACTTATTGTGAAACTTCTTTTCGTTTCTGTCTATATAGGTGAAACAAATTGTTGGGGACTCGGTTCTGAAAAACTTAGATGCAGTTGTCACCGAGGTTCTTGAGGTACACTAACTTTTTAAATGACAGTTTGTTGCATTCTGTTGTTGTTTACATAAGAGTATAATCATGGGAAGCGAAGTTCCTACCAGAAGTGGCTAACTGCCTGGGAAACAAAGCTAAATATGCTGGTCAAAAATTTGCTGTTGAGTTGATTTTCCAAAATGCCACCTGTAAAATGTCAACTTTCTTTACTGTAAATATATTCTAGGCAAATCCGCATGCAGATCTGTTCTACAAAATGTTCAGTGATCCTCTGTACGTTGCCCAGTTCAAGATGCTGAGGGACACATTGTACTACATGAGAGGTATGATGATTCAGTTGTTCTTAGTGATAGGGAAGAATTAGAATTATATGGGTTTCATATTGACATGATGACACTGCTGAGAGATACCCATAGACACCAGTTTCTGCTTACATGAATCAGCAGTAAGGAGGCTGGGAACTTTCCCTGCAGATTCTCACTCTGTCTGAACTCAGGCAACAGGGGTTTGCATAAGCTGTGGTTTCTTAGAACAAGCCAGGATTTAAGTGTGGTTTCAAGTCATTGCTTGTTCTGAAACCAGTTTAAATCAACCCTTCTTCCCAAACTAAGTTTTGTAGCAGCAAAATCTTCCCATCGCCTTGCAGCCATTCTGGAAGGGAATGGAAGAGCAGGACGTTACTCTTCAATGTTCCTCATCTGTATATGCATGTTTTCATTCTGGGTTTAAATCTTTTTTGAAATAATTTCTTTACTAAGTCTTTCCTGAACCTGAATTCTCTGCTCTGCTGCCTGGCCGCTAACTTCTGCCTTCATCACTCCACCCCACCCTTGTTCTGTGTTCTCCCTTTAAAGCCTGCCCTTTCCTTCTTAGCTTTTAAACCAGTGCTAGGGAACCTGTATCCTCCTTGCCCCAGATGTTCTTGGCTTATAGCTCTCATCATATCTGGCCATTGGCTGTACTGGTTGGGTCTAATGGTATTTGAAGTCCATCTGAAGGGGCACAGGTTACTTGCCCATCTGTGTGCTCTGAGAATTACTCCTGTATCGCATTGAGATATCATTGGGGCTATTATGAATGAAGGAATATTTTATCAAGAAGGAGTAGAAGGTGAGGGAGGTAACACGCCCATTGATAATACCTCATGCTATGGAATACTTGGTTTCAAAAAGATGCCATTGCACTTAATCATTTTTCAGTTTTCTTTGTGCTCTCGTTCTCTTTGCTCAGATATTACCATATTAATCAGGTATCTACCATGTATGTTTTTTTTCTCTTCATCCTCTCAGATCTCCCAAATTCATTTGTGAAGGAGATTCATGATTTTGTCCTGGAGCAGTTCAACAGCAGCCAGGCAGAGCTCCAGAAACTCCTTCATGATGTCGACAAATTGCACAGTGAGCTGAACCCACTGAAGCTCCGTTGCCAAGCGAGTGCAGCCTGTGTGGATCTCATGGTGTGGGCTGTGAAAGACGAGCAAGGTGAGCATCACCTGTGCCACCTTTTCAGATTTCTTTTCTTTCTTTTTTTGTTTTAGTTGAGCAGTTACTTGTACGATGACCTGATTGTGTTCATGCTTTCTTAAGAATTGCTGTTCTTTAATAAAACAAAGGGCATAAACTTCAGAGAGCATATTGGTAATTAGTCCTTTGAATGTCTTCTCAAAGGGTTGGGATTTACTCCTCGGTAGACATGGGTACAACTGCAGCCTTACGGTGCCATCAGCCCCATAGGAAGCTTCCTTGTGCAGCGTCAGACCCCTTGTTCTCCTAACCAACTTCCTCCCGCTTGGCACACTCAAGGTGTTTTGCATTGCAGCTTCCATCAGGCCCACCTAATAGAGTCCAGCAATTCTGGGAGCTGTAGCTAGAAACTCGGAAGGCACCAGGGTGGGGAAGCCCGATCCACTCCAATATTGTCTCCTTTGCCTGGCAGCAGCCAGAAGGGCACCTGCTTCATCTGCCTCCCAACCTTTGAGCTGCCAGTGCCACGATTTGAGCCTGGTACCTTCTCGACACGCACAGCTTCTGCTTCCCATTGATCCATTGTACAGCAACATGCTGGATTGCTATTTTAAATCCGTGTGCCATTCACTCGCACGTTCATCGAACACTTTTGGCAGTTCTCTGTTGCTGGAACCTTAGTGGATCGCTCCGTGACCAGGGAAGACCTTGTGCCGCTAAGTGCATGCAGGCTGCAGTCCTGTGTCTGTGCCTGTCTTCTTTCCTCAAGGTGAATGGGCTTCAGGCAGAAATAATTTGGGGAAGGGTTGTAGCCTTAGTCTCTGGTGGCTGTCCATAACTCAGTTCATCTGATTGCTCACAGAAAGCAAGGGATTGGTTCCGTCCATGCTATCACAGTAGTGTAACTATCAGAGCTGTCACTGAAAAATGAAAAGCTGTCCCTTCTAATGTCCAGGGTGTTCGTTGAATACTTTACATCTTTGTTCTTTTGCAAACAAGGGGCAGAAAACCTGTGTATCAAGCTGTCAGAGAAGCTGCAGTCCAAGACTTCTAGCAAAGTCATCATTGCTCACCTGCCTCTTCTGATTTGCTGCTTGCAGGTTTGTAAGGAGCCTATTTTGACTTGGTAATCACCATGCAAATTTTCTGCAATATCGACAGTAAGCTGTCTTGGACACAATTGCCAAGCCCCTTCCAAATAAATAATTCTGCAAGTTAAGGCATACTCTTATGCATGCTTGGACAGAAAACAGGCCTGCAACCCCCAGGATGGCTGGCTGGGGCATTCTGGAAGTTGTAATCCTTTTTTCCTAAGTAATCACATATAGAATTGTGTCCTTCAGACACCAATAACATTTTCCTGCAGGTAGTAATATGCCATAGTGTTTAAAGAGCTGGTGCATGGAGGTTTTGATCACCTTTTAAGTGACTGGATTGTTGTGAAATAACGTGAACAGTTTTTGCTTGAAGAATTCATTTCACGACCTTGTGTCCCCGCATCTCCTCCCTGCTGGGTAACACTCTTTGCCTTTTGTCTTAGGGTCTCGGCCGCTTATGTGAGAGGTTCCCTGTGGTGGTGCACTCTGTCAATCCATCGTTGAGAGACTTCCTTGTGATCCCTTCTCCAGTTCTGGTGAAACTTTACAAGTACCACAACCAATATCAAACAGGTACTCATTCGTCCCAAAGGTGCCTTTTGTGGGGTTTGCTGGCTGAGTCATTGCACTTCTCGCTTTATTTTAAGGTCTAGCAGAGCCTCTGATTTCCCAGTTCCCTTCTTTTATTACCTTAGGCGGCAACGACATCAAGATCAGCATAACCAACGAGCATGCCGAGTCCACTGTGAGCGTCATGTCGGGCAAGAAGAGTCAGGCCTCCATGTATGAACAACTCCGGGACATCGCAATTGATAACATCTGCAGGTATGAATTGTACTCAGATATGCAGAGGAATCGACAGGTAGGAATCTTAACAAGCACGTGCTGTTTGCCAGCCAGTCAGGAGCATTGCCACTGCCAACAGGGCTGCAGGAGGAGGCATGTCAAGGGTGAGTGGAAGAGTCCAGAGCGGAAACCACCCAGTCAGGTGTAGCCACCGGTTGAGGGGGCAGGTTTCTCTGCCAGGACCAAAAGCCTGATTTGTAGTTGCTAGTCGCGAAGTCGTGTCCGACCCATCGCGACCCCGTGGACAACCTTCCTCCAGGCCCTCCTGTCCTCCCACCATCCCCGGAGTACACTCAAGCTCACACCAACTGCCTCAGTGACTCCATCTATTTATTTATCTAAAACATTTTTATGCCGCCCCCATCGCAACGAAGCCTCGGGGCGGCTCACAACAGGATACAAAGTACATGAATACATAAATACATAAATAATAACAATATAACAATTTTAAAAAATTGTTTAAAAGCCCCCGGTGCATCTCGGCTAAAAATTTAAAATCCTATTAATTCCAATAATTTAACACTTAAAATAAGTTTTAAATAAAAAGATCTTAGCCTGCCGCCGAAAAACAAATAACGACGGCGCCAGGTGGACCTCTCTGGGGAGCGCATTCCATAGATGGGGTGCCACCGCAGAGAAAGCCCTCCTCTGGGCTACCTCATCCTCTGCCGTCCCCTTCTTCCTCTTCCATCCATTGTTCCCAGCATCGGGCTCTTCTCCAGTGAGTCCTTCCTTCTCTCATTAGGTGGCCAAAGTATTTGCGTTTCATCTTCAGGATCTGGCCTTCTAAAGAGCAGTCAGGGTTGATCTCCTCTAGGACTGACTGGTTTGATCGCCTTGCAGTCCAAGGGACTCTCAGGAGTCTCCGCCAGCACCACAATTCAAAGGCCTCGATTCTTCGGCGCTCAGCCTTCCTTACGGTCCAACTTTCACAGCCATACATTGCAACAGGGAAAACCATAGCCTTGACTATACGCACTTTTGCTGGCAGGGTGATTTTTATTTTTATTTTTTTTGACAGTACCAAAAGGTGAAAAAAGCCTGATAGCGATTCCTAGAAGTCATTCCCTTTATCTATTCCTGGGTAGTTTCTCATAGTATTTGTAGGAGGCAATGGAACACAAACCTGGAAAGCTCCCAGCCTCTTGTGGGAACAGGAGCATGGTGAAAGACAATTGTTAGGAAGTAGATCTGGTTTGTTGGCCCCTTGCCTCATGCTCTCCCTGAGAGTTGGTCTGGGCCTTCTTGACAGTCTGAGTTTGTATATATGTTAACAAACTCTCTGAAAAAGAGAGCTGTGAAATCACAAAGATTTGCTGGACTCTTGTGCCCTGGCTGGGTGCAGTGATTGGTGAGAAATTCTGGCTGGGGATTGCCAGCAGCTGCAGGACTCTTTTCTGTATAAACCTGTATATGATTGTTCCTTGGGTGTGTTTTTTTTAATTACTGTAATCCTTTGAACCGGTGGAGAGGTGCTTTAATATTTAATCACTTCCCGTTCCTTGCAGGTGTCTGAAAGCTGGCCTGACTATTGACCCAGTAATTGTGGAGGCTTTCCTTGCTAGTTTGTCTAACCGTCTCTACATCTCGCAGGAGAGTGACAAGTAGGTTTTTTCATTCTTCAGGAAGAGCCAATTGAGATGTTACTTTCCCCTACTTGTTTAAGTAAAAGCTAAAAGTAAGCTTAGTTGAAAAGTTCTTACCTGTCTTCCTAAACCTTGATGAAGTGGGTTTGACAAATCCAGTGGACCTCTTGCATGACCCATGTGCAGGAGGTCTTGATAATGCGCTCCTCAGACCTTAATTTTTGCTCCTTTCCTTCTTTTTATTTACATTTGTTTGTTGCCTTTGGTTTAGGGAAGCCCATCTAATCCCTGACCACACAATCCGTGCACTGGGGCACATTGCAGTGGCCCTAAGGGACACGCCAAAAGTGATGGAGCCGATTCTTCAGATCTTGCAGCAGAAGTTCTGCCAGCCTCCCTCTCCTCTCGATGTTCTCATCATTGACCAGCTGGGCTGCTTGGTCATCACTGGAAATGTAAGGCCAAACGACTGGTTAGCGGGATTTCACTGCTATAGATATTTGATGCCCATTTTCACTGGAGGCTCAGAAAGCTGTTATAAATGCAGCATCTGTATGCTTTTTTGTGCACACGATCTCTTTTCTCACCCCATGATTACCTCATAAATTTGGGGGATCATCTCCCTACGCAATTTGGCCGCTTGGTCTCAGTGAGTATTGAATGAGGTCTTTTGATGCATACATGGGCACATGACAGACGGCAGCAGATGACGGGAACTCAGAGCAGCACTCGGAGCAGGCTGCAGAAGGAGAGCAGATCAGGGGAGAGAGGACACAATGAGACAGTAAAGGAGGAAACACGAGGGTCAATGCAATCCTAGTGCTGAGAGGGGAGGGGAAAATTGGAGAGGGTGCTTCGTCATTTCCCCTGTCCACCAGTTAATTCTCTGCAAGTGTCTCCTGACCGTTCTAAAAACGATGGATTTTTCCAAGCCAGGCATCAGAACAAAAGGGACGCCTGTGTGTGTCTGGGGGCAGGGTGCATTTGTAGGGGAGAGGTGATAGATGTGCAAGCTGTCTTGTGAATGCCCCTGTTCTCTCATCCCCACTCCCTTAGTTGACGTGCGGTTGAGAGCATCTTCGCTAATGCATTGTCTAACTCTGTCCAAAATCTTGGAATGCAGGGCATGCCAGACACAGTTGCTTCCAAGGCACACCGGGAGACTTGTTCCAGCAAGCCACAGAGCTGAACTGGATCATCTCAAGGAGCAGATCTTGATTATTATTCATGTCCCATCATGCAGTGGAGAGGTCACAAGGAGCCCCTGTAGTCCAGAACCTTGCATTTCCTTAGTGCCTTATTCGTAGAAATGCATTTCCACTTGGTTGTGCCAGCGTTCTCTATCTTTTTATTAATATTGATTTGTTTGCAGGTCTTTCTACCTGGTGCTAACTCAGTTTTTTATTTTGATTCAGCAATATATTTACCAGGAGGTATGGAATCTGTTTCAACAGATCAGTGTTAAAGCAAGTTCAATTGTGTACTCTGCAACTAAAGACTACAAGGATCATGGCTATAGGTAATCTTTGCTATCATTGCTGCTGTGCTAGAATGTGATTTCTTAAAAAATGTTTCGGTTCATGTCTAACAAAGTTTGTTGGTTCGTTCCAGAGGTGCTAACACCTCATTTTCCCATCTAGACGCTGACATTGACCTATAGAACAAAAAGTATCTTCCTAAATCGTTTGAAGTGTATCAAATTCTGTCTGAGCAGAGTAGATTAATTAACAATTGTTTGTGCTATTTTTATCACACCCATGAAGCAGTACAAAAACTCTCACAATGGCTTGGTGGCTGCTGGCCAAGTGCTATATAAAATCAACTGTCCCATTACTATCTCTGTGTTTGACCTGTGAATCTTCCCTGCCATGGGCTTGATCCTTTCTGCCATGCATGAAAAGTTTACAAAACTCTGCTCCTTCACTGATAGCTTTTCTTTTCCCCTCTGTAAATGGTTGGTCATCCTGAATGCAAGTTGTATCTAGCATAGAGGCTTGGAACCACCAAGGTTGTCAAGTAATATTTTAAAACTGCTTTTCAGACTCTGAAATACTTCAGAGATGAATTCATCACCACTTCCAGTAAATCTTTGGGGTTACTGTCAGCATTTGAATGTGAAAAAATTGTAATTGATATTCATGCAGATGAAAAGAGGAGATGTAATCTTTTTTCCTTTCCCCTTTCTTTATTCACTTCCCTGTTCCCTACTCCTCATATTTCGTCAGACACTGCTCTTTAGCTGTTATAAATGCCCTGGCTAACATAGCTGCAAATATACAGGATGAGCACCTTGTGGATGAGTTGCTGATGAACCTGCTGGAACTCTTTGTACAACTTGGCCTTGAGGGAAAGCGAGCCAGTGAGAGGGCAAGCGAAAAGGGTCCTGCATTAAAGGTGGGTTCTAAAATAAACAGTGCTTCTCGCTCATCTTCAAGACAAAAGCTGTTCACACTGAACACATCCTTCTGTACAGTCAAGCAGGGCTAAACAAGATACAACTTCTGGAGAGCCATTTCTTAATATCCCACAATTTCTTAAAAATTTAATGACAGCAGAACTGGCAGATCAAGACGGTGGTGCTCCAGCTAAGGGGTGAGGTATTAACCTGTGCTGTCTTTCTAATGAACTCCGTTGAATTGAGCTGTCCCCCTAGCTTTTCCTCCAAAGCTTCAAGTCCCGTTGGTGGACATCACAGAAGCTTTCCATAACATTTCGAAATAATATAGTGAAAGAAAAAACTAACTGAGGCATTTGATTCCAGTGTGACCATGTTTAATTTCCATTAATCTCAAAGGGAGAATACAAGCTCAGCTTTTGCTTCACTCTGGCACATTAAGGCGTACATAAGTTAGCTAGTTATGTCTTTGCAAACTCCATAAATCTAATCATTGCAAATTAATGTCAACCAAACAGACTTTGCAAGCCGCTCTCTTTGTTTTTCATAATTTCCTTTGGCTATGCCATTGCACCCACTGGAGGCTTATATTATCATCCGATCTGCAAACAAACAGATTTCCAGGTTTTTGAGGGCCCTTAGTATGAGAAATTACTTTTACTTCATTTTTGATCAGGATTTAACCAGCTTGCATCTTCTGGGCCAAACATGGATACAGCCTGTAGTTAGAGTCCCTACATTTCTGAGCTTGCTGTGAGTTTTGCGGAGCAGAAACATGCATTTACCAGCTTGTGTGAGTACCTGAGATACACAGATAAGAAATGTGTACTTCTGAAAAATGTGCACAGATATACTTTAACCAATGTGAGACTAAGGTCTACATTGCAAAGATGTGTACAATTGATGCTTACATTCTGAGGAAAAAACCTCAAAAGCAGATGGATTGTCGAAGTAAAAGGAAACAATGCTCTCAATCTAATACAGCCGCAAGCCTGTTGACGCTAACAAGGTGGAAATATGGGGAGCTCCCAACTTTGAATTTTACGGTTTTGCAGAGCCTTACTTGTAGAACATACTGTACTGGTACTGTACTTTGGGCTTCTGCAGGGGATGAGGGGTAAACAACTTCAGCTTGGAAAATGGTAAGGGCTAAAACATCTCCCATAAAGAACCACTGGCTGATCAGATCAGCAGCCTTGTGTAACTGCTATTAAACTGGGTTTGCCTGGTCATGCATAAGCTTGCTGTTTTCATGGGCAAGCTGCTGTCAGCTGTCCAGGCTAAAGCAGCTTAAGCAGATCTCACTGCCAGCAACTAATTTCATTAAAAGGAGAAATGAAATCTGATTGTGGAGCCAGGTGAATAGGCTCTGTTTGCAGAGTTCAAAGTAGCTCTCTCTCGTGCTGTTTCCAAATAGAGCTGTTTTCAGCCCTCAGCTCAAAATTAAACATTTAATACTGTCGAGAGTTCCCTTTCTGTCATTTTCAAGGGTCCTGTTCCACTCTTTGCCATATAAAAGGATTTGCCTGTTTTTAAATAAAACATGGAGCCCTCTACATATCTGGGACCGTGACTCTGAGCACTCCTTATCCTTGGCTGTGCTGCCTGGGACTGATGGGACTTGTATTCCATGACATCTAGAAGGCTTCATGTTGGGAAAGGCTGCCCTAAGTGTTTGAGTGAGATCTTTCCTATCACCTGCAAGACCTTGGAGCTGGGATGGTGTGCGTAAGCTGGTCACTTACATAAGAGATTTAGGGCACGTTCTGGTGGGGACAGCCATAACCCACTGAACTTGGAGGTCTATAGGCATCCGATGCAGAATGAGGAGAAGCAGTGGAGACGATCTTCACCCCTCTGCTTCTAGCTTATGTTTTCTGTTGGGGGTGGGGGCTCTTAGGACACTCTGCCACCCTCAGGGAGCATTTAGTATGGTTCTTTCCATGCCAGCAAAGAGGTTTCCAGCTCTGAGATCAGTGTGCCTCAATTCCCAGCTCTCTGGAGCAAATTCTGACACCAGAACGGAGTATCCGTACAATCCTGTACGTCTTCAGATGCTGGCTAGGGACTGTCATATTGTTCCTTCTGCAGCTTATTTAAATGTCATTATTTGAGCTACTGTTCTGGGCCTGTTTTGTATGTTTCCATCTTTTGCATACAGCCCATAGCACATTTTGAAATAATTCTTGGATTAGCTTTGTGTAGCTCCTTTGCTAAAAACCTTCAGCCAACTTTGCATTCCAGGAGCTGGTAAAGGAACTGGCCTCCTTGCATGCCTAGAGACTGCCCCGCGGGCCTTTTTCCTTGGTCCTTGTCCACTGTTTACCTGCTCCCTGTACAGGCAACGGGCTGTTGTAGCACAGAGCACAGGGCGAAGGCTTTTGTATGGAGCTGTGCAGGGGTCATAGCCGTGCCACAGAAGCCATGCATGCATGCAGCGACTCTGTGTTTGGCTGAAGGGTGCCTAAATTCAGTGCATCACAGAATTATCCGAGAAGGGCTTTGCAGCCAGATTTGTGATTCATGAATGTTCCTCCAGGACCTTCTGCACAATGACTGCCTTATTGCCTCAGGAATGCATTGCTTCATCGTTTTGATATGCCACGGATGTATCTGGGCAGATCATGTGCTGATGAAATATCAATACGTTTGAGCTGCTCTGTTTGCTCTCCTGCCATCTCTTTCAGTAGCATCCAGACTAAGATGTGCTTGCAAAACTGCGCACTTCTGCAGTACGTAATTACACCTGTGCCATGTGAAACTAGAGCTGCTTAGCTTCACATATTAAAATGGTTTAATTTTCTACATTTCTCAGCACGTTTCAAACCATTGTCTCACCCACCCCTCTTCTTTCTTAGGCATCCAGCAGCGCAGGTAACCTGGGAGTGCTTATTCCTGTTATAGCTGTGGTGAGTGTTTAAGTTGGGTTATTTATTTTCCTAAAGCAGCACAGTCCATTGTGGGAAGCAGAATATCTTAGGAGATAACGGAACAAAGGAATATGTTGGGAGTTGATCGGCTCTTTTTTTCCTCCTTATTGTGCAAAAAGTAGAAAACACTGAACATCTACTTAATATTATAACTTCTGATAGGTAGGCATTTACTTAGATGTTGTTTATTCCATGTAAGGATCTATGCTGAGAAAATTCATTGGATTCCTGTGTTTTTGAAAACTGAAGGGTCTGGGCTACTTAAAGCTTCAAGTACAATTTGGTCATGTATGTACGAGCGATATTTATATACCATTTCCCATTAAAAAAAGCGTGCAACAGAATTTCGCCATTCGATCAGCTGTCCTCAAGTCTGTGTGGCTGCACTAGAGTGCAAAGAACAAGTGATCTTGTGTGCCAGAAAGGAAGATCACCCTTCCCCAGTTTTGGGTCCTGCAGAAGTCGTTGCCTGCGATTCCTGCAATCTCCAGCTGGAATGGCCAATTGTCAGTGAATATGAGTGTTGCCTTTCCCAACCTTGTGGCCTTCAGTCCCGTTTGGACTGCAACATCCAGAATTTCCAGTCAGTGGCCCTACTGATTGGGAATTCTGGGAATTGCCCTCCAGATGCCTCTGAAAGCCTCTGAAAGTAGACAGGAAGGTCTTGTTAATGCAGGCTGAGGAAAGCTGGACCGAGCATCTACCCGAGTATGTCAGGTTATTAGAAATGTGAGAGTTTTGGGAGGGTCTCACTTAGACAGGTGGGTCTCCATGCTGTTTTGTAATTATGGCTGTAACCAAACGAGACAACTCTTGCCAAAACATCCTCCCACTTCCCTTTCCTGAGTGGCCATATAGCCCATTACTGCTTTAAAACAAAATTCAGTCAGGCCATGGTTCAAAGCTTGTTTTTACCTGGAGTTCCGTTTTAGTCCTCCTAGTCTTACCACAGCAGCTCTGGTTATTTTCTACACACTTGTGTATTTGTTCTACCTGGGAAGAGAGCTCTTTGTCTGGGCTGCCTTGTACAGAGAAAATTATTGCTTTTTAGAATTGTCACTAAGACCTGTTCCTCCTCCTGAGAAAAAGTTGCTTAGATGACAGGCTTTAAAATATATACTTTGCGTCAAACTATTTTAGTGCTTGATCTGAGACTCTGTAATCTGTGTTTCCCCCCAACCATTAAGCTCTTAGTAAATACTGCTGTGAGCTTTTACAGAAGTTAATGGTTACAATAAGGGTCTCTAAACTAAATATTTGACTTTCTTGCACAACTTATGATGAACATGACTTCCCAGATGATATTGCATGTGTGTTTTCTGTGTAACTGTTCTTTTAGCTTGCAAGTAGGATTTGATCTTTGTTTTCAGAAGAAAAATGCTGTTCAAAAGTGCTACTTCATATATAACATCATTGAATATACTAATAATGAACTCCAGGGTTGAGTAAGGATGGCTAGCTGGGGAGCTCACCACACTGCAGCATTTTCTTGCGGGGACGTCTTGTTTTTCATGCAGGGAGGTCACCTCGGTGCATTTATTATATATTTTATTTATTCATTTATTTAATTGGGATATTTCTAGGCCAGCCAATCACTCTGATACTCTAATATTTCTTACATTGCTGTGTCAGCCAATAGCCAAAGCACTCTGAGTGGGTCACAGAATAGAGATTAAAACCGTAATAAGTGGCCATTTTTTCACTGGACACCCATTGACTAACCCTAACACGTTTTTACAGTATTGCTTTTGCCAAGAATGAGCAGTGCCACTGCTGATCTGCCTATGTTCCAGTGTGGGCCAAAAGTAGGGTATCCAAGCCCCAATGGTTTCAGTGGGAGATATTCAAGTGCCTGCTTAATTCTACTATCCACATGTTATACAATAAGTTTAGTTGGCTGGAGCCCACCCCTTTCTTATTATAAAAGGCTTCTTAAATCAGGTTTTACGTTTGATAGACTTTTCTGTGTGATTCGACCTAATTACAGTAACACTGAAGCAAATAAAATGCAGATGCAATATCCATATTTGGGATTTAAAACAATTTATTGTATATGAATAAACTCTTCAATCATGTTGATAACCTCAAATTTTTTCATAGCAAGCGTCCTTATAACTTGAGCGTACATTCCTTTAAAAACAAAGTAGGGAACAGTCCTTGTATCTGTATATGATACTATAATTTGTGAGGCGACTCTCTGGGATGTGTATATAATATCAGGGCACCAGTTCTGCTTTCCAAAGTGTAGATTTGTTCTTCAAACAAGTTACTTTTTGGACTGAATTTTATTTATTTATTTATTTAAAACTTTTCTATCCTGTCACCACATGCCTTGGCATCTTGAAAATAATCCATGCATTGTCACAAAGCAATTTTCTATCACATCCGAGCTCCCTAGGTAATGTTGCTGGCTTTGCTTTCTTGCTGTTAAAGCTCACATGAATGATACCAATATTTTGTACTTCTTGTGCCTCCCCTGTAAAGCAGGGCTGTGCAATTTGTGGTGCCGCAGCTGTTTTGGCCTAGAATTCCTGTCAGCCCTGGCCAGCGTGGCTAATGATGGGGGCCATGGCAGTTGTCTCCTCGAGGCGCTGGACTGAACCTTCTGTCCTTCCCAGCCAACATGGAGCATGTTGGATTGAGGAAGTTTTGGTTAAAGAGGATTAGACATTTTCTTCTAGGCTTTCCTTTACAAACGGGTGGAGCACCTTTGTATTTAAGCCCATTTTCCATGCAACCTGCACTAATTTCCTTAAACAGGGTTCTGCACTGTTCTCATCAAATTTTAATAAACTCAAATCATTCCTTTATAATTAAGGGTTTAACCTTGTTTTGCCCAATGGGAAAGGTTTCCTTTTGGCAAATGCAAGCTACATTTTGTGAATAGTTTGACTTCCCAAAGATCAGTGGAACCAATTGTAGTCACTGTGTAGCTGTTAGGAAAATGTTCACCGAGACGCATCACAAATGCCATCGCCTTCTGTGTTGCGTCTGATGGAATCGAATGGGAAATTCGTACTTTGGGAATAGAATTTAGTACTTTGTGGCCACGTTTATCCTTAAAAGTAGCTATTAAATCATCTTTCACTCTTTATTTATTTGGATGATCATTGCAATGTTTTTCTGATAGCACTTGTGATTTAATGTAATGCTAAAAATCTGCATGTAAAACCAGATATATTAATGTAGTAAGATTGCCAAGATGCACTATCTTGGAAGCTGCTCTGTGCTTTTAGGGCTTGGGTTGGCAACTCTGCCCAGGAAAAGCAAGCAGTTGATATGTTGCTCGTAGATGAGGAATAGAAAAGGGTGGTCGACAATAAAACGGTTTTGGGTGGAAAGGGGCATGAAGCCCACACTGGTCACTGCGGCAACCTCACTGCCCTCTTCATTCACCGTGATAGTCCCTTGATGAGTGAACTGCAAAAAGAAAGGAGTATGAATGCTGACATTCGGAAGTAGTGCAAATACATAAATCAACGCAGCCGACCACTTCAGCAGTCCATAAGCTCTTCCCCTGCCACTGGCATGTCTTCCGCTTTCTCTGTCTTCGGTCTCCCAGCCCCCACCCACAAGACCAGCGGAGGCTTATGACAACAGATAACCGGATTTCAGTCTGTACCAGAGGTTGCTTACCTTTTCTATAGTAATGTTCTCTTCTGAGATCCCAGAATAGTTGCCGTTCTGGGTGAACAGCTCATTTACTCCCAGAGCTTTCAGATAATCAATCAAGTCATAGCTCTTCTCAAGCTTAAATTTGGGCAGCACTACTTCTCTTGTTCTAGGGCAAGCAAGACAACGGTGTAGATTTAAACAGATTTTGTTTTCATTTGACTTTTAAAGTATAATCTCCTGCTAATTGTAAAGCCTAACATATGATAGTCCTTTTATGTATCTAAGCTGTCTAAAACTGTATCAGTAATAATCGTAATTTAAACCGGGCTTGCACATTGGTGATAAAGAAGTTGCATGCATCGAAAGGGAACAGCTAGGATTTGGGCGTCTTCTTTCCAACGGCTGAAACTTCCAGCTACTTTTCCAAGACAGCCTTTGTAGTTTTGTTCCAGCAATGCATGCTGACTGTAATTAAGGCATGTGCGACCCTGGTCTTCTCTAGCTGCAGGCACAGCTGGTATACCAGACTATGCTGGGCAAAAGCACCTGTGGTCATATTTGCCGCTTGGGAATCCGGGAGCAAGACTAGATGCAGGGGCTCTTCAAAGGTACAGCTCTGATTTCAAGGTGATTGCATGCCTATGCATCCTGCATCTCTGTTGTTGGACTGGTACCCTATGGGCTGGCTTGTTTGTATTAAGATTCAATTTATTAGTCCATTGCTGGGCTCAAGCACAGATTCAGAACCTCCTCAGCCTTCCTGGACTAAGGGAAAGCACTGAGAGAAGAATGTTACCTACATATTGATGACATTGAACTCGGTATCTCTGGGTTGGCTCTCCCCACCGCTTGGTGTCAAAGTTTAATAAGATACAGGGTATACCATAACTTTCGAGGTATATAGAAGTTTCCTGATATCACCTTCAGTAAGGACAAGAAAGATGGAGTCCCTGGAAGCTCTTCCACGTTTCCTGCTATGTTCTGTTTTTATTCTTCACGCAGCACACTTGCTAGGCATAAGGTCTAGAACCTCCCCCCCCTTTCACGTGTGCGCAAACCCACAGCCCAGCCTGCCTGCAGGGATGCATTCGTGGAATGCGGGGCCATGCAGCAGCGGCTTACCTGTTAGTCATGCTCTTTTGCCACCTCTCCACCACCTGGGGAGTCAGTTGCTTCTCCAGTGTCGCCATGCCCGTTAGCTTATATGGCAGCACAATCATCATGCTGATGTTCCCCACATATTGCAGCTGGAGCACAGCGCAATCCAGCTCGCTATCGGTCGTGGCCAGGAAATTGGCTTTGGTCTGCATCATGGGAACTTTCACCGTCTGTTTCTCATTGAGGCGAAAACTGCGGCTGTGTGTCATTTCCACTGGAAACTTGTTTTCCCAAGTTCCTGTTGACACAGGAAAAATCTTCCTGAAGCGCTCATTTGGCCATATAGCACAACTGATTTTGTAAGCACTTATTCCAGCATCTGACACTTCTAAGGGTGTTTTTTTTTTTTTAAATTTAGGTAGCACACTTTAAAAATGATTGAACAAAGGTGTCATTAAAAAGCAGACTTTGCCTGTGGAACACTGCAATAAACGTGGGGCCAGTGCTGGTCACATGAAAATACATCCTTAGCCATGCTTGGAAATAATGATTGACTGATGTGCAAAGCGTCAGGTGTGCAACAACAACTCTGAAAGTTGTCTAACATTTTTGTGAGGGGAAGGTGAGCCATGGTAGTACGGATGTTTGGCTGTACTCGTGGAATTCGCTTCCTCAGGATGCCTTTCAACTGTAAAAGGGGGTTAGAAAAATTCATGGAGAACTTCTAGTCAGAGGCTTCTAGTCATATATTTTAATTTTGTTGTAAGTTGTCTTGAGACAGGAATCCAAGAACTAGTAATAGTAATGGCTGTGTGGAGGGGCAATATTCCTTTAAGCAGAGGTGAGGAAATGTTAGTTTGGTCCACATTTTGAAGCAGATAGACTGAGTGTGTGCTTCAAAGACTAATTAGTGGATTGGAACACAATTTTATTTTGGATTTCTAACTTTTTAGGATGGTGTGATGCAGCCCTTGGCTCAGAAAAGGCATTCAGGAATGCAGACGCCAGAGGAAAATGAGTGTGCCATAAATGCAAATTATTATATGGCTTTAAAAATGCCACCCCTACAGAATGATCTTAAAATATGAAGAGATTTATGATCAGATCCATGTGAAACTGATACAGACCAGAAATAGACTGATGCTTCTGAGGACTAGTTGCTGGGGAACAGCAACATAAGACTACGGCTGGTGTAACATGCCTGTGGAATTGGTTCTTTTATGGGTCATCCTAATGGGCTAAGTACTCCCGCATTCCATTTCCTGCAGTAGCCATCAGGAAAAAGACATCTGAGGCATTCACTTGCCAGCTGTGCTGTTAAACTTAGTATAAAATGCAGGTTGAAAAAGATACAGTCATAGCTTCTCGTGATGGATGAAAGCTAAATAAGCTGCACCAGTGGGAGGTTTTTCCAAGGTAGAATCTTAGTAACTAATATTCATGATAAAAGGAGTGGAAGTTGCTGTTCAGATGCTATTATGAGGATCACCAGGATAAAAACACTGTCTTTAGAAAGTGTGTTTAGACCAGAAGAGAAGTCCTTAACCTTTGGGTCTTGTTTTAAGTTAAGCAGAAATTACTTCTGTTTTTTTGGTAACAGGTTTAGCCATTTTGAAATTATTCTGGGACCAGTCCATACAAGCTCGGGTTAAGTTCTTGCAACTCCCATGTAACTTATGTAAATGAATTATGTATGGGGGCGGGCTCAGGTTGCTGAGAGCATAGTTTGCAGTGAGCAGGGCTTTGGTTGCAACCCTGGCATCTCCAATTGAAAGGTTTCCTAGGTCAGAGGGCCTAGGAAAGTCGCATACCTAAATCCAGGGTTGCCACTGCTAGTCAAAGTAGGCGCTAATACTAGTTATGCAATTCCTTTCCATGAGAAACTCGGCTGGCTCCTTCTCCGTGGGTGGCAAAACCAGTTTTATTCCCCCTGGTTTTTCGGTTCAAAGGTTTTAACTCTTCTCCACTTAGTGTTAATACTCTTATTTAATTCTGTGGCACTTTCAGTTGGTTTCTGTAAACCTCCTGGAAGGCATTTGTTAAGGCTGAAAGGTGGTGTGGATGCGTCTGCATAGATGAATGCTTACAAAGAGACCAAATTACTTGGGCCTCTTAGTTTAAAAACAGCACATTGGTAGGAGTTTGACCATTAAAAGATGAAAGCCTGATACAGAGAGAACCCCGTTTTTGTCCTCTCATAACAGTAAAATCCTGTAACACCAATTAAATTAATCAAGAAACAAAATTAAGTTCTTCCCACCATGCACAATTTGCCGCTCTGTGAATTTTAGAAATAGTAAAGTACTTAAGGTAAAGCAGGCTATAAATGTAACGGATAACTTAGTTCTGAGGCCTCTTGCCTTAGACACTTGCTTTCTTATGGTATAAGCTTCTCCTCTACTTTTGATGAAATTAGTCTAGCACACGAATGTGTTCAGCATTCGGTGTTCCCTTCTGGTGAGCATTCTACAGTTTCTTTTTGCTGAATTTTTAAGCGCAATCCGGTTGCTTTAAATGGCTTGAGAATAGCATCTTATACATGGGCCACCACAGACTTGACAAGATCTGTATAGGACACCCTGCTTGGGGCTCCTCTCTCATGAAAAAAATGTTTTTTTCTGGGAGTGGGAGCCGTCTTGCATGGCCATTACACAGCACTCTCACTAAAAATAACCATGTGGCTGTATCTCAGGTAATTTTTATCAGAGCATGGTTGCAGAGAGGGTGCAGGAGAGTCCTTGCCCAAATTCCCTCATTCCATGGTGGCTAGTAGGATTGGAATAATTATCGCAGGAGATCCTGTTTACACGTCTCCTACATCGTGCCTGGTGTGGTCCTTAGTCATTGGATTTGGAAAAGCTTAGAATTTCTCATTCCGCTAGCTTCTAACCTTTGGCCATGGTAGGCGATATATGCTTCGATGGCTGATTTTCTGTAAAGCTGGCTAAAATGGTATGTCCGGCAAATGTAATAGGGATACGCTATCTGTTTAAAGATAAGAGGATTGTAGCTGTCCAAACCATGGCTGACCCTGATTGGCTAGCTGTGCAGTGCTGGTTGACATGTATAACAGTGATTCTTTTTCTTTTATTTTGATGCAAGGGTTAGTATACTGTTTGGCAATCCTATGTTAGATGTTTGCTGCATTGTATCTTTTAATTTCTTTACCTTTAAAGTACACGCAGTTGAGGATCATCATTAGCGTGGCCGGGTGTATGTTTGCGATAGCATCCTGTATTGATCCTTTGGTGAGCTTTGAAATCCGCGCATTAGCTTTCGCAATGAAGTTTGGGTCTGAGAAGTCAACCAGCTGAGCCTCTGCGAAGTAGTACTTTTTCATGTTGCTTTTGAACTCATTCAGGACAGAAAAATGGTTTTGAATGTAAAGGTCATTGACCGACCGGAGCGTATAGCCAAAGTTCCTCCTGAAGAGCCGGTGAGTGAGTTTGTGGAAGAGGTTGTGAACTGTCGTGAGGTCGTACTTGGAACTGGCATTAACAAAGTCTTGGACGCCCAGCGAAAGCAATACTTCCTCCTGGGTTTGACCTTTCAGTCCCAATGAAATCATAGCCAGTGAAGTGGAGATGCCAACTGGAGCCAAAAGGATGTTTTCTGAAGCGCTGACTTGGTCTTTCAGAGCCCGATAGAGGTTGAAGGCAAAGTTTGCATTGAGGAGATTGAGACGCTGGATTCTGGTTTTCCCTTGGAAAAGTTCCAGAATATTTCCTTGGTTGACCTCAGAAATGGCTTCTGGAACTGCATCAATTATGTCAAAGTAGTCCTCATTTAATAATTTGTCAAAGTCAATATAGTCTTCCTCTTCCTCTTCTTCGACATTCCAGACATTAGTCACTGTATTTTCTTTATGAAACTCCGGTGAGAGATTAAGAGTTTCATTGCCATGAGGAGGTGCTGGGGAGAGTTGTTCAAAATGTTCATGGAAGTCTTTGACTCCACACAGTGCAAACGTCAGAGTGAGGGAGAAGAACACTGAACTCAACAACAGGTTCATCTTGATGAGCTAGAAACTGGGAAGTTCACAACATCACAGTTAGACACTCTGGAAAACATTTTTAGGAAGTCAATTTCCCTTATGACTATACAAAGGGTAGGAGTAAGCACCACAAAACACAGTCAAGTCCTCTTAGTGAAGCAGTATATGGTTGTGCTGTAACCGACCTTCTGTGTTGAACTATTTGCCTTAGTGAGGGTCTGCAACGTATTGGTCAGTGGTCTGGAGTCGAATTTGCATTCAGCTCACCGTCTCTCCTCCTAGTCTTATTTTGCAGGGTTGTTGGAAGCATAAGATATGTGGGAGAATACTGTTTATGCCACCCCAAATTCCTTGGAGAAGAGTGGAATAAAACTATGGTGTTCCAAGTATCAGTGTTCTTTTTATTAAAATGGAAGTTTTGATGGTGGTTACGTTGTCTATGTACCTTCTATATGATGCAGTGATGTCCCCCAGCTTTATTTTAGACTAAGTCTTCTGGAACCAAGGTCATTGAATTTAGTGGGACTGAGGTTGGAGCATGGATGCCCAGGTTGCAAATGTGCTGTTGCACTGATGCCTTGGACTTGACATTCTTGAACATGGGTTTGGTTACCATCTCCCCAGCTGAATCCTTGGCTCAGAAAGGAGAAACTGATTCTTTTAGATAAGTCTCCTGAAACCTATGTCCCTCTCGATGTTTTGAGATATAGCTCCTAGATACTTTGAACTTCAATTCTCATTATTGGTCAGCGAGGATAAGGGCTGTTATTCAAAGCATCTGGAGGGATCAAGTAGTTTTGAATTTTATTCTTGCTGCTCTCTGTACCTGTTCCTGTTTTGTTTCCTTGCTGCTACCTTTCCTGATTCCTGTCTACATCAGTCTGACTGTCCTCTTCCTTCTAGCACCTTCAAGGGACTTTTGCCTTGTTCAGGATGGGACCGACTTTTGCGGCCGCTTACTGCCCATTCTGTTAAGGATCAATGCTGTCCAACTATGTATTTATTTACACATTTTAATACTAATTTTTCTCATCAGCATCCATGGCAACTTTTACACAACTCATAAAATAACTCCAAAGTCAATGTCATTAAAATTGCCTGTTCTAAATACCTTCATGTAGCAGTTTTTAAATATTTATATCAAGTTCTTAAATATTTATATTGGTGTTTTATTGCTTATATGAAGCAAATAATTATACCCACATTAAGATGGGAGAAAATAGCTTATAAATAGACTCTGGAGGAGATGTTAACTGGGAAATACTGAGAGTTGCCTGTCTGAATGTGCATCGAGTTGCACCCCTAATGGACTGCAAGTCCTATTCTTCGTGCTCCGTTGCTTGGAAGAGGGTGCTTCTTCCAGCTGCTTGTTTATGCATTGCAGTTGGATGGCGCCTGCCCCCCCCTCCAGCCAGCTGCACCTGAGTGACTATGTGCCGTATACACAAACGTGTTGCAAAACAAGTAACTTCCCCATGTTTCGGGGAGATTTAGCTTGTGGGGCACAGAACAGCAAAGGATTGGGATTACTACTGGTACAATATCAGTATCTAATCCCTTTAATTGGGCTGTAACCTGGAAGTCCCTTCTTTTAAACTTTATTTTAAAAAATTAAATAAGTATTTTTAAAGGCCTCTCTTTAAAAAACGCAAAAAAACTAATGGAGGCAGAATGTTTAATCTTCCAGGTGAGCAAAGCCCCAAGAGAAGCAAAACCAGATCAATCAGTCAGTCAATATCTTAGCAACAATTTAAAAATTACATTGAAATTCAGCCTTGTGAATGAAATCTCTGAACTTTACCTGTGCAGTGTGTACCTATTCTGGAGCTTTGCTAAGGAGAGACAATGTTTTTTAGCTTACCAATTGGTTCCAACAAACCAGGTTGATTCTCTATCCCTATAGAATTGCCATTAATAAATTGCTGTTGTATTCTGGCGTAGCTTTTCCTGGGGATGAGAGGGTATGCTTAGTATTGCTTAAATTTTGTTGTCTTTTATGGTAGCAAATAACCATCAGTCCCTTTCACCAGAAATAGTTTTTAAAGTTAGTCCTCCTCCAAAAAAGGAAAATAATTTCTTACCTCCTGTATGGCCAGACAGAACGCTTGCCCGTGCAGCCCAGATAGGTGGAGGAAGATGTTTAAATGCGAACTTTGGTGTTTGGATAGGAGCTAAAGCAAATAAGCTGTAAATCAATCACCGCAAAGCTTATCTTGTCAGCTAAAATCCCTTAAATTGGTGGGCTGTTCTTGCGGTTTGACTTTCTGCTCTCTTGCCTGCTCTCATATGTTAGATTTTTAGTTTTCACAGAAGGCTAAAAGGGGACTTTGCTTTGGCATACACCTGTGGAGACACATAACATTGTAAACTGCTCAGAGAGCTCTGGCTATTGGGCAGTATAGAGATGAAATAAATAATGAAAGCAGAGCCCATCATTCTTCTTGCTTTTCTAAACTGTAGGCGTTGTGATGTGATAGGATATTGTCAAATGGAATGGTTGCGCAATCCGTCTTTCACTGCACCGTCTGTGGGCTGCAGGTTCTTTTAACAGGTTATGATTATTCCCTTCAAAACTGAAAGGTTGATAGTGTTTCAGTATGTGGAAGTAGACATTTGGGCCTTAAGCTCATAACACCGAAGTAGCTAGCTCCTGTCTGTATAGGTTTTATGTATTCAATCTGTTGTGTTATTGTGTTTCTCTTGAAATATGTTAGGACAATCCTGAGTCAGACTGCTTTTAGTAATCATTAATATCATACTGTAAATATGGAGTGCGAGGGGGGGACCCTGAGGGATAGGATGCTGTTGAAATGTATAACTATTCCCAACTCACATATGGGACAACTGAGACCAAGTGATAGGGCAGAAGAAGAGCTCTTCATCCATTGGCTCATGATGGGTGTCAGAGTAGTTCCGATTAATAGAATTTGGATATTTTAAAGTGAATTTATTGGGAGGAAAGCTGAGATCAGAAGCAGCAGAGTATGAACATATCACTGCATTTATATTAGAAGATTATTGGCGGAACATGTACCGTATTTTTCCTTTGCCTTTTTCTGTCTGTTGGCTAGCTCACAAGACGTTTGCCACCCATCAAAGAAGCCAAGCCACGATTACAGAAGCTCTTCCGTGACTTCTGGCTGTATTCAGTGCTCATGGGATTTGCTGTGGAAGGCTCAGGTAAATTAGGAGCTTCTTGTGGAGAAAATAATTTCTCAGTGGAATGGAAGGAAAGGGGTCACTCAGGGCCACATTTAAAGGACTGTGTCCCTGGAATTTCACTGCTGAAGAATTCCTGCAGGGCAGGCCTGGTACTCTGGGGACACTTTTAACGGCACCATTGCTTGGCAATCCATGAATGAGCCTTAGGCTCACATACTTCCTCTTAGTTTTGAGCAGCGGTGAGGACAAGATTTGCTTTGCTTTTAATTGCACCACAGTCACCCTTTACATTCCCTTCGAGCTGTGCTTTGTTCTAAACTCTGGTCTCAGAACATGGTGAGATCGGAAACCATGATTTGATCCTGGCCTGTTCTGATGTAGTGAAGAACTGTGATTCGTTTAAAAGTTGGAGCTTTGGATCATTCCTCTGCAGCCATGCAAGCGGAGTGTAAAGAAATAGTAAGGCTCATTCCTGTAGCAAGAAACTGCGGTTTCTGTTGCATCTGGGGAAAGCTTGTTTTGGACTAGAGCCCTTTGTCAGCACATGACCCTCTTCTAAATTTGATCAACTAGGCTTCCTAGTACCCAAATATGTCTGCCAGAATGCATCTGCTAGATGTTTTTGTTGTTCCGCTTGTTTTTTCCTGAAGAATACAATGTATTCCTTGTATTCTTCATGCTATCTGACCCCAAATAACACAACCAGTTCGATCTCTGCCCCAAGCATTCCAAGATGGCTAAGAGCAAGCAACCAACTTTTATGATGACACACAACTCCAAAGCACAAAAAGCAGTAATAACAGCTAACAACCAAAACTTAGCCCTGAAACTGGTAAGAACAGTGAAAAGAGAGCAAGAGATGGTTTATCAACCCCACGAGTAGAAAGACAGCTAGGAAATAAGAGTATTGACACCACAATAAAAGACCAAATCGGGGTAAGGCTAGTGAGTCCCCCTTCAGCAAGGCAGTTCAAAGCCTGGACACATGTACCAAGCATTCTGTCTCCTGTCTCCCCACCGAATGTAATTCTGATGCTGACATGAAGCACAGCAAAGCTGCTCCTGAAGATCATAATGCCTGGGCATTAAAACATGGCTTCCTGCATTCACTGTAGTGGATGTATTTTGAGAAGTGGGCTCCAAAGCCCTCTTTGAACGTCCCTTCCTGTTTGGGGGCAAGCCATCATTTGCCATGTCATCCACCCAAAGAATGCTAGTGGTTGCCCTCCAAACTGAAATGGCAAGCTCTGGTTTGATCCTCTCCTGCAGTTCTGATGGGAAGGGCAGGCATAACCCATCGCTTGCCTGTTGGAATGGCACGGCACAGGATGCCTTGCCACGACATGGAGAGAATTGGATTGGACAAGGGAGGAGGGCGCATGAAGGTTGCATGTGCCTTGAGTCTTAACCTTTTGAGAGACTCTCAAGCATTAAAATATTGCGAATGCATGCGAGTTACTCTAGACCCTTCTCTACCATTTTCTTTACACTGTTCTTCTGCTACTGGGGTCCAAGTTGGTGGTCAAGGCCTAGTTGGAAGTGAAGATATATTTTGAATCCAGAGTAACTCCACTTTGACAGAAAACACCGATTATATTGGTGTCATATTCCAAAAACGTACTCTAATGCTCTGTTGGGGTTCATTGAATCTCATAGGGTTAACATAAATCCTTCTCATTAGGTACTTTCAGAATCTGTTGCTCACAAATAAAGTTCTCTTCTTCTCTGAATGTTTTCTCAGGTCTTTGGCCAGAAGAGTGGTATGAAGGGGTTTGTGAGATCGCAACTAAGTCACCACTCCTGACATTTCCTAGCAAAGAGCCCCTCCGCTCCGTTCTTCAGTACAACTCTGCTATGAAAAATGACACCGTCACCTCAGTAAGTTTTTTTCCCCTCGCACCACTCCTCAAGGTTTTAGTAACACAGAGAATTCTTACTCGCCATTGTTGCTAAGGACAGAGAATTAATTAATGTGCCTTGCCATTCAGAGCTCATTAGAACGAAGGCACATTCAGTCCCTTTTTTACTGAAGCCGCCTGGGGAAAACCTGGGACTACAGGTGAAGAGGGGCAGCAGGGGAAAGTCAGCGGGAGGAAAGCAGGACTTACCCCTTCCTTCACTTGTTCATGCTCCTCATGCCTGCGGCTCCTTTGACGCTTCAAGACCAAAAGCGTAGAGGGCAGGGAGTGCAAGGCAGAATCGGTAGGCGGCCAGCGACAGCGGTTGGCGCTGCCGACTGTTGCCTTTCTTTAGACCCCACTTCACTGACACTAACACTATAAGGCATGACAGGAGTTTCAGAACCCCATGTGACCTCCCTAAACGTCCCAGGCAGTTCAGCTGAGAGGCTTAATGGTGGTCTTGTTTTTGCCTCCTTTTGATAATTGCCTGACCAACTCTATTCAAAGCTATAGTAAAGAGCACCTTTGTTTTATACCTGAGCGCACTTTCAGAATTTATCCGTGCCGGTCCTGTTTTCCAGATTTCATCTTCAGGTCCTCAGGTATGGCGTGGAGATCTTGCCTCACCTCTGCTGCCTGCCTGGTGCAGTTAGCCGATGTCTTCTGTATACGTTTTATATGGAAAAAATAATAATGTTCTTAAGATAAAGCTGATATATTGGCACTCCAGACATCAGTGGGGGTGTTATTTTGGCAGGCTTAATCCTGACTTGTGATGTCGTGTTGAGCTGTGTCAGCATTCCTACCCTTCACTGCTTAGAAACCAAACACAGGCTGTTTGTCTTCTCCGAAGAAGTTTTTTGAAATGCTTGAGCACCTTTTCGTATGCTGTAGAAGGATTGTATGTTTATCGAGTTTAATTCCCTTTATGCAAAATTAATTACTTTTCAAAAGAGTTGTCAGGCTAAGGTGACAATCCTGGGCACATTTACCTGGGGATAAACCCAGTTGAACTCAGCAGAGCTTACCTCTGAATAGACATGCATAGAACATCCTTCAGGTTTCATTAGAAGTATTGCTGCCTATTTGGAGTAGTTCTCAGTGTCAAAGTTGGCTGTTCTTTATTTTGCATTTAGGCTGAATTGAGTGAGTTACGAAGCACCATCATAAATCTTTTAGATCCTCCTCCAGAGGTATCTGCTCTGATCAATAAGTTGGACTTTGCCATGTCTACCTACCTGCTCTCCGTGTACCGACTCGAATGCATGAGGTATGTTTTCAATCCCCACTTATGGAGTCCATGAATTTAGTTTCTGGTATGCTGTGCATTTTGATCCCATTCGAATAAAGAAGAACACCCAGAATTAGCACGTTTCAACTTGGTACAAGATTGTAGGCCAATAACCCATCAGAGCTTATGCCAATATCCTCACTGTACTTAGTTAATTTCCATTCTATTCTTTTCTTAGAAGCTTCAAAAATAGCATGAGCAGGGGTGTGCAAATTCCCTCCAGCTCAAACTGAGACTCAATTAAGCTTTCTCAGCGTTTCTGCCAAAATCTAATTTGGAAAACTACCAGCCCATAATCCTCATGGAGAAAGGCCACTTTGCAGGTTATTTACAGAGAAGGGTGAGGTGGGGCAGCTCCTCTGTTAAAATGAGACCCCCATTACATCTCTGATACCTGTTCCTTGGTGTGAAATGCACTGCTGATGCTTGGTCTTGTAGGGTACTGCGTTCAACAGATCCAGACCGTTTCCAGGTGATGTTTTGCTACTTTGAGGATAAAGCTATTCAAAAAGACAAATCAGGTATGACCAAGCCGATTTTGTTTGACCTAGTTTGGCCACAACTTTGCGCCCAGCCATAACAGAACATTTGCTAAGTCTCCTTGCATGTGATTTTACAAAATTGTTGAGGGGGAGAAAAATAATAAAGCTAAGGCTGCACTGGAGGCATAGATAGTTCTTGGTAATTCCAGGTAAGTGTATGTATTAAGATGTAGGTATATGAGGGATCCAAAGCATTCTCCTTGTTAACTTGACCGAGAAGAGTCAACTTCCAAAGTTACAGGGAGAGAAGAGTAACAAAAACAAACCAGTCTAGGATTTCTTCTTCTTAAATGCTATGCTATTTTCTCCTTTCAGGTATGATGCAGTGTGTAATAGCTGTTGCAGATAAGGTGTTCGAAGCTTTCCTCAGCATGATGGCTGACAAAGTAAGTTTACCTGATGGTGAAAACAAAAGAAGGCTTACAGCAGGCTGCATCTTGGGGCAACCAAAACCTAAAGTGCATTTGGAAACAATTCTTGACATAGGGTGTGGCAGGCCTGACTTTGGAGCAGTCAAATTAGCCAACAAGTGCCCCATGGGAAAGATGAGAAGAGCTCTCAAGAAAGAGTGTTGGAACCTGTTAAGAGATAGGAGGATGGGGGTTCCCATCTGTTGGTCGAGTCCTGCTGTGCTCCTGGACCAACTCTCCTCTGAGCTCAGAACGCAGGCCAAAGTAGTGGTGCACTCCACCTAGGCCTTGATGAGGCCCACAGAACAGTGATGGTTTTGGAAATGGGCAGGTGGAGCTGTCTCTGTCCCTGCCCCGTCACCAATCCTTTGCACGCCATCCAAAAAAGTTTCAGAATGGCCCTGGACTTCTAATACTGGAAGAGCCTTAGGGTAGCCAGTTATAGAAGCTCTTCTCATATTGTATATGAAAAATTTGAGGCAGAACGATACAGGCTGGAATAGGGTAAAGGAGGCAGAGTAGCCCAGAAATGAGAGACAATTGGTGTGCGGCATGAGCATGAGGGTCGTTCACATGACGGGTGGAAAGCCATGGCGTGACTCTCCCAGCACACTGCCCCTCTGTTTCCTCTGCTTTGGATGTGGCGGAAAAGTGGTGATACGTTGGTAACTTGAAGAAGTATCCAGTGATTATATTAACACAGGGGTTGTTCTGGAGAATTGCCTACTTTGCAAAACACCCATAAATGAAATAACCTTTCCAGGAAGAAAATTTGGCAAACGATAATTTAGGATCTACCAAGTATGTGCAAACATGTTTTTAGTGAGCAATGATTAAATACAGAATGAGACTATTTACATGCACAAGGCACTGCTCATTATTTCTGCACTGTCCTTAATGTGAATAGTTCAGAATAAACAAAAATAGCACTCTGACTTACGACGCAAAGGGCTTCCAAAGGATCTGTTTTTTACTGCCCAATCCTATGCATGTTTACTCAGAACTGCATCCCACTATGATCTATAGGTCTTACTCCTGGAAAAGTGTGCACAAGCAATTATTTATCACTTTAAATAGCAATTGTCATGGTTCTCTTTCTTTTGCGTAGCCTAAAACGAAAGAAAATGAAGAGGAGTTGGAAAGACATGCTCAGTTCTTGCTGGTGAATTTTAACCACATTCATAAGAGGATCCGGCGGGTTGCAGATAAATACTTATCAGGCCTTGTAGATAAGTAAGTACTTACTAATGCTCTTATCATGCATCCTCTTTCATCTCAGTATGTTGGCACCATGGCACAATAGTTTGAATGCACTGTGTCACCCCTGGTAGGGAAGAACCATGGCTCAGTGACAGAGGGCATCTTTCAAGGGCAGAAGGCAGGTGATAAGATCTCTGTCCTGCATCCCAGAGAAGCAGTCAGACCAGACTCTGTGTGTGTGTGTGTGTGTGTGTGTGTGAGAGAGAGAGAGAGAGAGAGAGGAGAGAGAGAGAGAGAGAGAGAGAGAGAATGCTTCTCTTATTAGTATAAATGCATTTGGAGAACATTTCCTGTTACATATTTGTGGAGACAGAAAAGATTGCTGTTTTCTGCCACAAATGTAAATGCTCAATGTGAACTCCTCTTTCATTCAAAGAGAGAGAGAGAGAGAGTTGTCGCAAAGGAGCATACTATAAAAGATTAAGGACAGGTCAGTATATGCAGATGGTATGATCTCTGATTATTTTGAAATCTTTATTTGGTTAACTGGGAAAATAGGTGAAATCGTTTATTTATTTGCCCTATTTTATTTTGTTCCTCAGCCATAGAAAAGCATATATATCCATGCTAATTCATGTGGAAAAGCAGGATTGCCCAGCTTCTTATTGTAATGCATGCATTTCTTTAGTGAGCTTGCCTTCTATTTCTGGTCAGTAATTCACAGTACATAGGAAGCCTATTATATTTATTTAGGGCCCAATACTATGCATGGGAAAAAGCTCAATAACAACCACCATATCCTCCAGACAACATGTCAAAACCTGCGCTGGATTCTGCCCTTAAGTTCAGAGTTCTAATACGCAGTGAGAGCTGCAGCTTCGTAAATGGAGGCACCTCGTATGCACATGTGTCTTTTTCATTTTTGTTTTCAGGTTTCCTCATTTACTGTGGAGTGGAACTGTGCTGAAGACCATGCTAGATATCCTCCAAACTCTCTCACTGTCTCTGAGTGCAGTAAGGATTTCTGTTTTGTTTTGTTTTGTTTTGTTTTGTTCTGTTTTGTTTTTGTTTCCAGATTATTTCAAAGTCCATTGCTAGTGGCTGAGCTGATAATCTTTATATTTCGCAAGAGGTACCTAAAAAAAAGCTTGTGTTTTGCAGAATGGTAGTATAGTTATGCTGGAAAGTACAAAATAGTCTTTTTCAGGATTAAGGGTACAGTTCTATGCATGTTTAGTCTGAGAAGGGTCCTACAACTTCCTCCTAACTGAAGCATGCTAGGAGATGATAGTGTTTTCTGTCTAAGCATGAATAGGTTGCTTCTTAAAGGACTTAAGAAGTTCCTGTAATCTTCTAGTTTGGGGATTTTCTGTTATTTTCTTGAAATCTGTGTGGTTCACATACCAGCAAGCAGAACATCAAGAAAACATTCCTCAGGTAACAATTCAGGCTTAGCTGCCTGTCCACCCAAAAGCAAGCATTTGGGATGAGGTGGCATAAATAGAAAAATTGCAAAGCTGCAGCAGTTTTGAAAGAACACTGCTGGTGTCAGGACAGGAGCATAATTAGCCATTTTTATGCAGTGCCAGCAGAAGCAACCATATACAAGTAATATATAGTACTAATGTGTATCCAGAATTGCCAGTTTTTGCCTTTCCACAGAATGCTGCATTCCCTTCCATCAACAGCTTCCTTCCCCTTTCCCCAACCACTCTTCATTCTGTAGCCATGGAACCTCTTCAGTGCTTACTTGGCTGTTTTGGGTTTTTAATTTTGATTTATCTCCCTAAAGGTAGCTTGTCCTTCTGCGAAGTTCGAGCTTTCCCCCAAACGTGCCAAACCCTCTTTTGTTTCTCAGTGTCCCGGCTCGGGCACTTAGCACCTGAGTTGACTCCTAAAGAGCATAGTGGTGAGGAAGATTGTTGGCGTACCCTGTTGGGTGCATCACTGAAATACTTCGTCACGTTGGCATTCCTTAGAACAGCCTTCCCCAACATGGTGACCTTCAGAGGCATTTGGACTGGAATTCCCAGAATTCCTATCCAGCTGGGCCATTGACTGGGTGTTCTGGATGTTGCAGTCCAAAGATGTCTGGAAGGCACAAGGTTGGGGAAGCCTGCCTTAGAACGATAGAAAAAGCAAGTCTCGTTAAGAAGTTGACTTTCTCTTTCAGGACATTCACAAGGACCAACCGTATTATGACATTCCAGATGCCCCCTACAGAATTACCGTTCCTGATACATACGAAGCTAGGGAGGTAAATATTCCAAACTGTAGACAAACAATTTTAACTTTCCTGGAGATGTATGTTCTTGCTTCTGCAGCCTGTTGTAGCTGGAAAAGTGTCAGTTTAGTAAAGCCAGGCTCCTAATTTTTCTTCACAATAATTTGGAACGTTTTGGCTTCACAATCTTCCAATACAGCAGTATTGAACTTTTTGCTTCCAAGGTCATTTTTTGGAAGATGTACTAGTATTGTAGCAGGGATACATTTACGCTGCTACATGGGGTGGAGAAGTGAAATCCTATCTTCTGTGTCTATCCAGTACACCTGTTTTGTATCTAAGATGTTCCTGCATAGGAATAGCGATTGAATATGGTTTACATGTGGGCTGGAGTTCTGTGATTCATATTCTGTAGCACAAATCTAGATATTGCCAGCAGAATCCCAGTTGGCAAGTTGGATTTTCTGCACGTGGACCCAGTCTAGCCCAAGGTTTGCTTTATTATCGGACATAAGAACTGATTTACTGGCTGGCTGTTTTATACCTCTCCTGCTAGAGCATAGTAAAGGATTTTGCTGCACGTTGTGGAATGATTCTCCAAGAAGCCATGAAATGGGCCCCTTCAGTCACCAAATCCCACTTGCAGGTAACAGCTACAAGATAATGTGACTGTCTTATTGTCCCAAGTGTGTCTAAAGTTTTGGATTGGCCTTCTCAATGGCCATGCTAGCCGAGAACAGTAGCTAGACTGCACCAGTTTGGAGAAGGGTTGCTTTTTAATACAACATCTGGCGGTATCACATCTTAAAGGAGAATCTTCTCTCTCCTGGCACCCATAGCGGGGATGCTTCTTGTAAGTTAACACCTGCAAAGATGAGTGTATCATCTCAAAGAGTGGCCAACAATTTGCAGTTGGAATATGAAGCAAGGAGAGCACAGAGTTCTCTAGCTGGAGTGACTTCGAAAGGGAAGGAGCCCATCCTGTCCCTGGGCAACCTGCTGCAGAAATAAAGCAAATGTTGCAGGCAGCCGAAGTCTCCTTCTCATCTCCAAAGGGGACTGAACTTGGTAGAACTGCTCTGGGGCACCTCCTTGCTCAGGGGGGAGTTGGGCATGGGACTGGCCAGTCCGCCGAGCAAGGCAACGGGCAGCACTCGAAGATGGCTTCCACTACAGCATGCGTCTCCCTTCCTCTTTCAGGAATATCTGAACAAGCATCAGAACTGGGTGTCTGGCTTGTCGCAGCACACGGGGCTGGCCATGGCCACAGAAAGCATCCTCCATTTCGCAGGCTACAACAGGCAGAACACTACCCTGGGGGTGAGTGCGAGCAGCAGCCTGCTTGGTTGCGTGGCTGGTGTGGCCATGTGTGCTTTGCTGACCATTGTGGGACCATTTCGCATGGCAGAGACACTGCCCTCTGTGGAGTTACAGTTGGCGTAAGTCACGGTGATGATGAAAGCACTGGGCTATGAAGTTGCACTTTGAAGTCGGGGCTCTGTGTTTGGTGGGATTCACTGCCGCGGGGATTGGTGATGAGCACTGACTCACTTATAAAGGGTTTGTGCAAATGCACAGATGGGTTGTTATGAGATTAAGATGGTTGGGGGGAGGATTTTGCAAGAATTCCTTAAAGGAAGAAAGGTGGGATATAAATGCAATGAACAAGAGAACCAAATAGCAAGGGTTAGTCATGTTGAAAACATTTTGCTGCTGAGTGCCTGTGGCTGGGAGGAGAGCCGTCGCTGTCCTGACCTGCTTGTGATTGTTCTGGACACGTCTGGTCAGTCACTTTGGCCAAACTGAGTGCTGGACTAATGGTCTGATCCAAGAGAGTTGCTGTTCTCTGCTTAGAGTTCCCATTTCTTGCACTATCCAGTCCTGCCAACTGGCTGCAATTTGGATCTGTATCGTTAACCAGAAATGGCAGATTGTGTGGGGTGTCTGAACCTGGGAGAAAGGCAGGTTGCTTCAGTCAGCCTCGCGAGAGACAAAAACTGAACCGAGCGCTTCCTGGCCTGTCGCCTTGTCTCTGCCTAGGCACAGTGCCCCCCAGTTCCCGGTGATGGGGTGCAGGGCAGACCAAATGCGAACAGACCAATGTGCTCTTTTGTGTTTTGTCTGCTCGACGTTCCAGGGTTCTTCTGGGTTCCTCAGGGGCCCCTCTCTTTACAAAAACCTAAAGAGCCATTGTATGTCATTTGCAGGCCACCCAGTTAACTGAAAGGCCTGCCTGTGTGAAGAAAGACTATTCCAACTTCATGGCGTCTCTTAACCTGCGCAATCGCTACGCTGGGGAAGTAAGTGCAACACTGGTATAACTCCCAAGAGACGAGGGTGTGTGTCTCGCTAGGCACGCGTTAAAATTGGGAACAGGAGCTGTGTGCAGCTTTGCAAGCCACTCTGAGGCTGCTCAGCAGTTTGTATCCACCCTTCCTTGGGGTTTAAAGGCTGGCTGAGGAGTCTTGAACTTGCTCCAAGTCTCGGAGAAGCTTGCAAAATAGCAGGAGGTCCCACAGCTTGTTCCAAGTATCTGTGAAACTCAGGTTCGAGTCTGGGAAATCTCAAAGCTCCAGGCCGACCTGTTCAAAAGTGCAGGCGCTTGACAGTCGTGAACATACACATGGACCCTTGCAGACAAGATGCTTCTATTACTGCTCTTCAGAAGGGAAGTGTGGGGAATACAGACCTCTCTTTGGCATTCTTTGACTCTGCTTCAAAGCTTTTATCAGCAACCAAATAATCTGAAAAGAATGGTGTAATCTTCAAGATACATGCGTGCGTGTGTGTCTCACTTTTCAAAGATTTTCTGATGCATATTAATTGAGGGAAAGTCTCTTTAACAGGTGGCTGGGATGATTCATTATTGCAATGCTACAGGACGCACGTCGGACCTTAATAAGCTAATGGTCAAGCAGCTCAACGATGCGCTGGAACCAGGCCAGCCAGAACACTACACGCGAGCCATGTTTAAGTTGACTGCATTGTTAATAAGCAGCAGAGGTAACAGTCTTGGTGGGGGGTGGGGGCATTCTTAATTAATCATTTCATTTATAAACCAGTTTTTAAAACAAATCATGCCTGTTGGTTGACTGGGAAATGATCATTCATCTTCCTACCACAGGATGGTGTGAAGGAGGACTATTTTAGTAAGTGAGACCCCAATGAAAGGTTGCAGCATCCCACACCCCCAACAGGGTGCCTTCCACTAGGATATTCTATTCCACCCGCTATCAGCCTTTTCCTTTCTATGGCTGTTCAGCACGCTCTATCTTCTTAAGTCCTGCCTGCTTGTTTCTTTGCCCCAGGAGCTTTTATTTAAAAAAAAGGGGGGGATACTTTTTCAAACCTCAGAGTTTTGCTGAGCTTGCTGGTAGCTTCCTCTTGTTTCTCTGGTACACTGTATTGATTCTGGGTCTCTTGGCACCCATTGTTTGAGTGGTTGGGGGAAAAGACATCCTGCTGATCCAGACCTGTTATTAAGACCTGGGATCCAATATTGTTGTATTTTATTATTTGCAGCCAGTGTGGACGGTCAATTTGTTTATGTTGTAAGCTGTCCAGAGACGCAAGTAATTGGACAGCATACAAATTTTATAAGTAAGTAAGAAAGAAAGATTAACAGATCCTGTCAGGGATAGCCAAACAACATATAGTGGTTATTGACTAAATAGAATATCTGATATGTAGCTATACTATAGAGGCAAGGGGTTAATAAGAAATGTAAGATTAAAATCTCTTGACAGGTTAGTAGTTTGTTATGTTTTGGGAATAGTCTACAGATTTTCTTTATCGGTGGTGCGATTTACTTTGTTCTTGGCCTGTAGTGTTTCACCAAACATAATGAACTAGTTGGGATTGTCCAGACCATGTTGGTGCGATAAGTATAAAGCTGTACATTTTGAAGCATAAAATCCCCGCACAGTTGTGCCTCAAAGCATTAACTTACAATGCTATACATAAAACAGCAAAAATGCGCATTAGGGAACGTGTGTGTGATTGTTTTGTGTTGCAGACACTGACCCGCAGCTCTTGCATCACCTCTGTTGGGGCCCCCTGCGAATGTTCAGTGAACATGGCATGGAAACAGCCATCGCTTGCTGGGAATGGCTGCTCGCTGCCAAGAATGGGATAGAGGTGCCGGTAAGGAGAGCAGGAGCTCCTGTTACACCGCTGTGTGCGTATTTATTCGACAGTGTTCAGCTGGGATTGCTGAATCGTAACCCTCTCTTGGGTTGTAGACAGAGGTGTTTCTCAAGGAGAAACCTGGAATAAAATCAGACCAGGGCAATGGTTGTGGCGAAAACCATCCGTTGATTTCGCTGAGTTCAGAATGCTGTTTTCTCCAGCCGAGTGGAAGAGGCTATCCTGAACAATTTTTCTTTTGTCACTCATCATGGAAGAGGGCTTTTTGAACCATCGGTGCCTTCATCTGGCTAATTTGTGGCTTTCAGCATGGCTGTTGCGTGAGCCGCTAAGCAGGCTCAGAGCAGAATTTCCACTGAATGTACAAAGCAAGCATTCTTTCTCCATGGGGTGGCAATGGGGCAGGGCATCCGTAAGGGGCAGCCCCACCTTCTTGTATGCTCATTCATTGTGGAGGGAGGCAAGAGGTAACTCAGAATCACCACTGGCTTTTCTGTGAGAGGGAAAGGGCTTCTTGGCCCCGCAGGAGTTGGAGAACCACAGATGTATCTCCTCATGTGCAACGAGGTTGATTGACGTGTCACTTTGGCCAATGGGAGGCTTTGGCTAGGGGCATGTTGCGCTTGCATTTTTCCAGACTTGGACTGTATTGTATTCAATTTAATAATAATAGTTTAATTTTCTGGAGTATCCCCATGGGCTGGGGAAAGGCCATCAGCTCTCTGGGAATGGGAAATAATTTGAAATTCCTTTGAAAAGAACATCTGTTGCTTTTGAAAGACATGGGTGGACAAACACAGTGTCCCCTTAATATCTTAGGAAGCTGACTGAGTTCCTGACCTGTGCTTGGATATCTGCAGAAGAATGCATAGAATCAAAGAGTTGCATTTCTGAGTTCTGTTTTTAAGAGTAAGGTCTGCAACCTGGAAATAAGTGTCCTTTTCTTCCTAGTTCATGCGAGAAATGTCAGGGGCCTGGCAAATGACCGTGGAGCAGAAATTTGGCCTGTTCTCTGCAGAGCGAAAAGAAGCAGATCCGTTAGCCGCCTCAGAAGAGAGTCAGCCCAGGCCGTGTCCGCCAGAGGTTACACCGCATTACATCTGGATAGAAGCAAGTACTGCTCCTCTGAAATATGCTGGCTTTGTACAGTAGTGGTGGAGTGAAGGAGGCATCACTGAGGGGGCGGAGCTGTGGCAACTCTGCATCTCTGGAGCCTTGCCTTCTCCCCCCACCCCTTTGATTTTCTGACCTGGCCTCCACACTCAGTGGCCTTGCATTAACGGGAATACGTACATAAGCGTGATTCACATCACAAGATGAGCCAAAGGCCCATCCAGTGAAGCACCCTGTTTCCCACTGGCAGCCACTGGGAAGCCCAGAAGCCAGGCTGAAAGGCAACCGGACAGCAGATTTTCATAAAAGTGAAGGAAAGCAGTAGCCCGCTCCTCCTCCTCCTCCTCCTCCTCCTCCTCCTCCTCCTCAGCGGCTGGTATTCTGTGGCATGTTCCCTTTGACCCTGGATGCTGATGTAGAGGCATTGAGACCAGTCGTTGTCTTCGGACCTTCCCCGTGAATGTATCCTTTGCCCCTTTAGGTCTGTCCTGTGTACAAACAGGTGCCACCATGTCTTGACAGCAGATTCTGTACATTTAAAATAAGCACGTGTGTGTGTGTGTGTGTGAGAGAGGGAGAGGGAGAGGGAGAGGGAGAGGGAGAGGGAGATTAAGTGTTTATTTCCATTTACACAGTTTCTGGTGCAAAGGTTTGAAATTGCGAAGTACTGCAGCTCAGACCAAGTGGAAATCTTCTCCAGTTTACTTCAGCGATCTCTGTCTCTCAATATTGGAGGATCCAAGGGCAGCATGAACCGGCACGTGGCAGCTATTGGGCCACGCTTCAAGTAAGCCAGTGCCCTACTTTGTCGCTGGAGGTAGTGGCAGTGGCAGCACGTGCTGGGCATTTCAGAGGCAGAGGATGGGATAGGTTGGTTTACACCCGACGCATTATTTCCAGGTGGACAAGGGTGTGCGTGGCAGTTTTATCCCATCCTGCTCTTAAGCAGTTTGTTCACTTCCAAGGTGGTGCTGCCTTCCCCATTTTATTCTCACCGCAACCCTGTGAACTAGGACGAGAAGAAGTGACTGGCCAGGGTCATCCAGTGGGTTTCATGGCTGATGGGATATGAACTCCGGCCTCCCCAGTCTCAGTCTAGCTACTCTTATCAAAGATGCTGGACTGCACGCAGCAACTTCTGAAAAAGTCTCTGATAGCGGGTCCAGTGGCCCTGTCCTCTGTCTAATCTGCGCCATCCTTTTGATGGCACTTCTGAAGATGCTTCTGGAGGGATGATTGCTGCATTGTTGCTACTTCCCACTTTCCCCCTCTTGTGAGGGGCCCGAGATGGCTGGTGTAGGCTTGGTAATAGGCTTCTTAGCCCAGATTGGTGATACTCGAGCCATTTGCTCCCTGAGGACAGAGAAGGAAATGTCACTACTTCTGTATTGTTTAGGCTGCTCACTCTGGGACTGTCCCTGCTCCATGCTGATGTGGTTCCCAATGCAACCATTCGCAATGTCCTGCGAGAGAAGATTTACTCAACGGCTTTTGATTACTTCAGGTATTACCATTTTTCTCCTCCTTACCTCAAAGAATAGGGTGCATAAAAGAGAGAATCCAAAAGGGTCTCCTGTGTTCAATATTAGCATCATGATAAGATGTTGCAATCCTGTGTGTTCAAGTGGTTGCCCTGAAAGGATTTAGGACTTAAAATTTGAGAGGGCTGCTGCTTTGAACTGTTCATATATGGCGTCTTGTTTGGACAGAATGCTAAATAATGGCTTAGTGCTTCGTGAACAAGCTTTAGGACCGTGTGTGACTTCCTCCCCTTCCATCTTTGGCATAGTCACAAGGCGGAGAGTGTAGATTCTAGTTAGCTAGAATTTGTCATTACGACTGAACCCAGACAAACTGTGGTTTGCCTTAACTGATATGGCTATGTTGTTGTTGTTACGTTGCATTTGTATCCACCATTTTTCCTCTTGAATGAAACCCAGCGCAGCTTGTGTAGCTCCATTTTATCCTCAGAACAATAACCTTGTGAGGTAGGTTGAGCTGAGAGTCTGCAACTGGCTCAAAATCACCCAACGAGCTTCGTGGTTGAGTAGGGACTAGAACCAGGATCCCCCCAGGTCCTCAGTCCATCATTCTAACCATCACACCACACTGCCTCTCAATGGAACGAGCCAACTTCAAACCATGGTTTATTATTCTGGCTTGTTTCCCTATCCCAGACATGGAGAACCTGTGTCCCTGCAAATCAAGTTGGACTCCAGCCCCCATTTGCCCCAACCAGCTTGACCAGTGATTGGGGACCATGGAAGTTATCATCCAGCAACATCTGGAAGGCTGCACATTCCCTACCCTAATCTTAAACCATGGTTAAATTTAACTGTAACTGAGAACTGACTAATTGAAAATGGAAGTGAAGGCATCTGATCTTCTCCCTGAAGGAGGAGGGTAGTCTTACGTCCAGGCCAGCCCATTGCCCCCTGCCTGTAGCACCTGTTTAATGGTACTTCTTCTGCTCTGTGTTCAAGCTCTGCCCCGAAGTGTCCAACCCAAGGTGAGAAAAGGCTGCGCGAAGATATCATCCTGTTAATCAAGTTCTGGACGGCAATGTTCTCGGACAAGAAATATTTAACGGCCAGCCAGCTTGTGCCTCCCGGTGAGTGTTAAGCCATCAACGATTTCTCTTTCCTTTTTGAAGTAGTTTGGCTCCGGGTTGGAATGCGTTGTTTTTCTGTTTAGATAATCAAGACACACGGAGCAACTTGGACATCACCGTCGGCTCTCGGCAGCAGGCCACGCAGGGCTGGATCAACACATACCCATTGTCCAGTGGCATGTCAACGATGTCTAAAAAGTCAGGTCTGTCTCACACGAAGTGGCTTTATCCCGAGAATGACTAAACCTCTGTTTCGCGTGCCATTTTATCTCCCCCACCATGGAAGTGTTCACCTGGAAGACGTCCGTGCTTGCGGCGCAAGGTGCAGCGCCAGTGATCTTTGCCACTGTAGCCACCGTGCCTCATGCCCTGCATTTCACCCAGGCTTCTCCTTCCAGCTGCTCAGATGAAGCAGCTGAGAGCTGGAGGGAAGTGGTGCTGTTTGGATATAGGCCAGCCACCTGCTGCCCCCACTGTCCTGCTCTCTCCAAGGCCGGGTTGTGATCTTGGAGAGGCAGCTGCAGGAGTTCTTTCAGTGTCATCTGTGAGGGGGCAGCGTAGGGGCTTGGCCTTCAAGATCCTAGCACCAAGGTCACAGGTCCAGCTCCACCCCTCCACCAGTTGTTGTGCCCTTGCTTCGGTCCTGCCTTCCCTCCACAGAGTGGAAGGCTACTTCCATAGCGTATACCCTGGTCTAAAGTAACATGTGCAAGCTACAGTGAGACTTGGGTTCATTACTTTTCCTCCTCCAGTGCCACCAGGAAGGGGATTTCTGAAAACGTTGGCATGTGTCTTTTGTTAACCACAGTTGGTTGTGTCATATGGAGCCACAAACAATGGTTAATGCTAGCAATGTCCAGTTTTGAACAAGCCCACATCTCTTGAGGTGTCACCACTGGCAGTAAGAGCTCTAAGTTTAAATATACCAGCATTTTGGCCTCTACTCTGTTCGGCTTCGGCCTTGCTCGCTGCTGGGCCGCTGGCCGCTTGGGGAGCTCCCAAGGGCTTCTTTGCAACAGGATTCCGCGGCAACAGCTTCAGCGTCCCCATCCCAAAGCAGACCGTGAAAGCAACTGAGAAGGCTCTCTTTTCTTTTCAAGGGATGTCCAAGAAGACCAACAGAGGTACCCAGCTACACAAGTACTACATGAAGAGGAGGACGCTGCTGCTGTCACTGCTGGTAGGCTCCCTGTTCTCCTCGGACATGCCAGATCCGTCTTGGGCGTCACCTCGGAGCCGCGATCCCTGCTGCACATACTGATCATACAGTATTTTCTCTTTACTGGTCAGCCGTAAAATATTTCCCCTTCTTTCCTTCCTGCACTTCACCTGGTGAAGGCTACAGAGATTGAACGCCTCATCACATGGTACAACCCCCTCTCTTCTCTGGAGCTGGAGCTGGATCAGACCGGAGAGAACAGTGTTGCAAACTGGAGGTCGAAGTACATCAGTCTAAGTGAGAAGCAGTGGAAAGATAATGTGAATCTGGCATGGAGCATTTCTCCTCACCTGGCTGTCCAGCTTCCTACCAGGTGAGCCTCATTTTTGGTAGGAGAGGTGACCTCTTTTCATTGCTCCTCCTGATGTGGTCACTTCACACTTCTGCTTTGGCAGGTCAAAGCCCTACCTCTTTTGTATTAATAAGGTAACTAATGAAAGTTGAAACTTTGCAAAACCAAAGTTCAAATTTCAAGCAGGGACTCATCTGTGGGGATGTGCTTCCAGATTTTTTAAAAAACCCTTGCACTTAGAAAACGGATGTGTCAAGGAGAAGGGTTCCAGACTGGACTTCTCTCCATTTTGCCGACTGTCAACTTTTGTATGGAGGAATGTTATATCATGGGAGCCCCTGCCTGTAGTGTGAAGTGGGAAAGCCCAGTCTCAGGTTGGGTATTAGACCAAAGTCAGCTTCCTTCTTTGTTAGGTGTCTCTTTCATAGCTCGGGCCAGGGCCACACCAGCCTTTGTTCTGAACTGCGCCTCCTTTGGGCCTGATCTGGACGGCCCAATGGCCTTTCTAACCACTTCCTGATAACAAGTAGGGAGACGTGACAGTAGAGAATTCTCACTGCGTTCCAGTAACAGTTTATAATTCCTGGTTGCTGTTAGGTTTAAAAACACAGAAGCCATTGGAATGGAAGTGACCCGCCTTGTTCGTTTGGACCCAGGAGCAGTTAGCGATGTGCCTGAAGCAATAAAGGTAGGCATATTCTGCTTATGTTCCTAATCTGACAAAAAGGTCAGTTGTCGGGTTCTGTGCCCTTAACCAAGGCTATAATAAACCCTGCTTAGCTTGGCGAGGTTGCTGCATCATGTTCTGTCAGAAGAAGCAGTGTTCAGATGAGAACAGGGTAGATCCATGAGCAACAGACATGACCGCACTGTCGTGTTTGGTTTCCCTGCAATTTTTTAAAGTTGACAAAAGCAATTTATTGGTCCTTGGAATTAGGAATTCTGTTTGGGCCTGTGGATGGCTCTTTGGGGGTCAAGTTGTGCTTCTTAAAGTGGCACTCTTCATCAGAAAAGTCTAGTACTCGTAAATACTGCTTCTTTCCAGTTTATGGTTTTAGCATTTGGACAGTTGTATGAAGATTCCACCAGCTCCAGGATGCATGTCCTGGCTTCTTAATCTTTTTTTTCTTGTCCTGCTTCCAGTACCTTGTTACGTGGCACACAATAGATGCCGATGCCCCTGAACTCAGTCACATCCTGTGCTGGACACCAACAGATCCCCCCACAGGCCTTTCGTATTTTTCCAGCATGTATCCTCCTCATCCTTTGACAGCTCAGTACGGAGTAAAAGTCCTTCGATCTTTCCCTCCGGTAAGGAGCTGTTTTGCTTCCCAGAAAGTTTGCTTGTTTCTTTGTTGATTTATAAATGAAGGCATAATCTGCATTACCCATAGTCCAGGATGATTCTCTTAGTTCATAGTTCTAAGAAAACTTAGTTCTAAGAAAGTTCTTAGAATACATTTAGATCCTGGACTTCTTACAACACACAGATTTTTACCAGTGCAAAAAACCCAGAAATGTTTACTGTTAATAAGAGAAATGAAACATTTTCCTAACACATTTTTGCATGTTTTCAGATTTTTTTAATAATCAAGTGAAGTAATGGGCAAATTTTGTTACCCAGTTGACTCATATTCACAAGATAAATTTTTCCTTTGATAAAACATGTATAGCACTTGGCGGCATGAGGTTGGGATTTGGAGAATTTGTCAGAATAATTATCAAGAAGAAATAACAGGTGGTTCTTCTATTTAGCAACTTGTCCAGTAGGAATAAGCAACCACTGTGCAAATGAGTTGGTAGGCTGCTGGAAGTCAGGCAGATTTCTCCATTCCTTCTTTGTCAGTCCTCTTTGTTTCCACCCAAGCCATGAAGAAAGAAAAGCCCCTTCTACAATTAACACAGACACCAAATAGGCCTGTGGAGAAGGGATGGATTCCTCTAGCCTTTTAAGAGAGTAGTAGTCTGTATTGCCATTCCTTTGCCTGTACACAGCCTGGAAGCAAAGGCCTCTTAACTAGTAATTTTCTTCTCATTACCAGTTTGTAACTTTTGTGGGCTTGTTTACAAGGCCATAATGTAAATGTGGGGACTGCAGGTGGCGCAGTGGTTTAAACCACTGTGCTGCTGGGCTGGTTGATCGAAAGGTTGCCAGTTCGAATCTGCACAACGGAGTGAGTTCCCGTTGCTCTGTCCCAGCTCCTGCCAACCTTGCAGTTCAAAAGCATGCAAATGCAAGTAGATAAAAAGGTACCACTTCGGTGGGAAGGTAACAGCGTTCCGTGCACTTCAGTGTTTAGTCATGCCAGCCACATGACCACGGACACTGTCTGCGGATAAACGCTGGCTCCCTCGGCTTGGAAACGGAGATGAGCACCGCCCCCTTAGAGTCAGGCATGGCTGGACTTAACATCAAGGGGAAACCTTTACCTTTACCAATATACATGTTTTTGAAAGTACTATTTCTTCACAGTTGGTAATGCTTGTAAGTAACAGACCAAGTGATGGTGATCAGGAAAGATCTCTTGGAGACAGGATGAATTAAAAATTTTATCTGCACTTGTGTTTTCAAGAAGAATTTCGTTTCCTTTCTACAGGAAGAAAGCCTTAACTGATCTTCTGTTTTCCCTCTCTCCTTGTGTTCCTTATTCCTACCTTTGCAGGATGCCATTTTATTTTACATTCCACAGATTGTCCAGGCACTTAGATATGATAAGGTAAGGAAATGCACATGCCCTCCATTTCTTTCATTCATTCATTCATTCATTGCATGTATTTATCACCTTCAGATCAAAAGCTTCCCGAGACAGCTGATCAAACCTAGATAGAGAAACAAATATTTAAAAAGATACCAAAAAGCTCCTGTTTATACCAGAACTAGCAGCAGTCCAAAAGCCCTCCAGTCAATACCCCAAGTTCTAAAGTCCATTAAAAAGCCCACATCACTCATCTGATGAAGCGGGCACTGTTCACCAAAGCTTATGCTAGGATAAATATGTTAGTCTTTAAGGAGCTGCAAAACAGTCTCGTTTTTGCAGCGGTAGCCCAGCACAGCTGCCCCTCTGGAAATTTTTTAAAAACTGAGATCTCTGGAGCCATACATGTCCCTTACGCCTGCCTGTCCGATGGGCCATGATAGAAGGCAGTGCCCATGCCCTTCGGTGCTGAGTTTAATGCTCTTTCGCCACAGGGCTGGTCACCAAAATTCTCCCTTGTGTGCTGTGCTTATCACAAGAGAGCAGCAAGTGAATCTTCTGCCATCCACTCTGTCAGCAGAGTTGGGGCCTCCCTGCTGTTTTTACGAGTATGTATGGATATTCTCTGGTTCAGTGCCTGGTTTGGCCGTTCTTCTTCCAAGTGCTGAAAGCTCGACGCATATTGATATCTTGACCACACCACTGTGGGGCAGATCATTGGTAATTCTCTTACGTACTTCCTCACCTGAGGAAATAGTTTGTGTAAGAGTAATTTTGCATCTGAATCAGGTATTTTCTGGCTTTGGGTCCACTTTCTTCACCATCTTACTGTAATGGCCCTCTGGGGAAGGTGCCCTTCAATTTAGTTTCTTCTTTTTGTTAGCAACCCACGGCTCCTCATTAAAGGCTTCTGAAAGATGTCTATCAGTCCATTCCCTACTGTGCATCTTTCAACATCATTCACGAAAAATTTAAAAAGCCGTCAGAATGTATGTGCCTGTTGAAAATACCCATAGTGATGCAGTCTAGGAAAGGAAGGCGCAAACAACGGAGATCAGCGTTGTCCCCTGTGACCGGGGTGCAGTCACCATAAAACAGCTGCTTCTGTGCTGCCGAGCTCAACCTCTGGCAGCCTTTCACAATGCTCAGCCCTCGGCAGCCCTGCCGAGCACTTAAACTCAGGGCCGTGGCTTCCTTAGTGGAGCTGATGCATCTCATAGTGCTGCTGCTGCCTTCGACTTTCCCTAGCAGGATTGTCTAGGGAGCAGGTAGACTGATCCTTAAAAAGGCAAAAAAGGATCTCGGCATGGCGTCTCAACCCCCCGCCCCCCCAAAGATTAGGCACCAGGCAAGCTGGCTTGGGAGAGCAGCCCAAGTTGAGGTGCCACCACAGGGAAGGCGTTTTTCCCTTGCCTGATGCCTGAAGGCACGGGCACAAGAAAGGCCTCTGACGCCCAGGACCCTAACAGGTGGGTAGGCTCCAGTGGGGATCGGTGCATTCCATGGGGACATTTACAGGTTAGTCTCAAGAGTGCTGCATTTTGGAATAGTTCTCTTGAGTGACTGCAGCGTCCTCCTTCCCAGATGGGCTACGTGAGGGAGTACATTCTGTGGGCAGCCGCCAAGTCCCAGCTCCTGGCGCACCAGTTCATTTGGAATATGAAAACAAACATCTTCTTGGACGAAGAGGGGCACCAGAAAGACCGTGAGTGCTCTGTATGCTCTGGGGCGTTGCTGACAAGCTCCTTAGGTGGTGGTGGTGCTGCTGTCTAAACACTCGCTCCCTCCACCCACCTTATTTCATTAGTCCGAAACTGTGCTGCTTTAATGAGCCCACTACTAGTATCTGCCTCTCGGGACTGCTTTAAGAAAAAAATTCTGAGCAGCTCATGGCTCATCTCTTACTGGACCAGACCAGATTTTGTAGGAGATTTATTTCTGGGACTGCTGCAACTCCCTGATGGCATGTAGTTGAGAAACCAGCATGGTGTGGAGTCATTGCGTTCTGTGCGTTCTGCTGCCAGCAAGTGGCAGCCGACACAGCACGCAGCATGTGGGAGAAACAGCAGGGCGGATACCACGTTGTGGGTCTTTCTCAGATACACATTTCCTGGGGAGATGGAGCAAGTGAGGTGGACTGGCAGTGGCCGCCAGTGGCTTGGCCCTGTGGATTAGGTTTAAGCAGATCAGTCTGCATTCATTTTTGTCTAGTTTTTGTCTTGTTTTCTAAGTCCATTCTGCCTAATGTGCACACTGCTCTTCATATTAAAAAAACAATGCAAGGCTTCATCTGGACTTCCATGCACCTCTTTCCCTAGAATATACATTTTTCAGGCAGTTTTTGAGCTGAGAATCGCATTGCACAATTCCTGCAACAGCAGGGGGTTGGACCTGATGGCCTTCTTGGCCCCTTCTGTCGCTACTATTCTACAGTTCTATGAAGAGGTGTGCAGTCCAAGGGATAACTACACTGATTAGCATATGAATCTAGCAGTGGAGACTAAAACTGCTGGTGGAAGGGATTGTTTTCAAGAATGCTTCTATGGGTATCTGACACTCTTTTGTCTGATTGGCTCTTCATGCAGCGGACATTGGGGAACTACTGGAGCAGCTGGTTGAGGAAATAACCGGTTCTCTGTCTGGGCCAGCAAAGGAGTTTTACCAGCGAGAATTTGATTTCTTCAATAAAATCACCAATGTTTCAGCCATCATCAAGTAAGTGTGTCTACATGGATAGGACGTGCGTTAATAGTAGTTGACCAAGGAAGAGCTCTTGGGGTTTTGAAGGGCAACGCGATGAAAATAGCAACCCAGCATGCTGTTGCTGTGGAAAACAATGCCACACTGGGTATCATTAGAGAAGGAACTGGAAGTAAAACTATGAATGTTATGCTGCCCTTATAGAAGCCAGTGGTGTGAGCACACTGGGGCTATTGCATGCACTGCTGATCACCACACCTCAAAAAGGAGGTGGTAGAGTTGGGAAAGGTGCAGAACAAGAAAGAACAAAAATGATCACGGGGGCAGGAGCAACTCCTGGAGGAACGTTTGTAGGATCTGGGACCATTTAACTTAGCAAAAAATGGGAGCAAAGGGAGACGTGATAGAACAATGTATGGAAGAAGAAAGCTGACCAGCGGCTGGCGATGGCTTAACACACAAATGTGACTTACCAGCAGGCAGAGAAGAATATATCCTGTGCTTTTGAAAGCAGTATCCTGCTATGGTTGCATCTGAAAAGCAGAGCAGAACAGAGCTGACTTTGGGGGTTGTTTCTGGCTTAAGGCCATATTTTACAGAGTTGGCACATGATTACTGGACACTCACAATAAATGCTACTTCAGAAACCATCCTGTATAGAAGTCTTTTATTTGTGTACCAGCTTGTGAAGAGGTGTGATGGCGTAAACTGTAGCACTGGGCAACAGCTTTTTTCCATGGGGCATGTTTCATGCGCCCTTGATTGCTTACGGGCGTTTTAGGCATGTCCTGCGGCTTCGGTTTTGCTTCTGATCTTTCAGAGCACTTCTCCCTCCTCTTTTCTGTTAAGAATAGAGGAAATGAGTGATTAAATTACAATGGGGGAAACGGTGCTTCTTTGCCCAGTTTCTGTGCAACACAGCTCTAACTAGAGGGTGTGTCACAAAACAGGAGCAAAGGATGAGCTCTTTGTGTAGTACTCGAATCTCAATGCTTCTATGAAGGCAAAAGCAGACACAACAGTTCACAGCACAATAAGTGCCTTGTGTGGAAAAGTCCCTCATTACACAGAAAGCATTGTCATTCGGAATCTGTGTCATTAACGGAGGTGTCTATATTTGCGTTTCAGATTTGTCTCCCCAGTATGTTTAACTTGGGCTGTCGGTTCTCTTGAGTCATAGGCTTTGTGGCTTATGTGTGTGAATACATCGAGGAGTATAAGAATGTTGCTCTTTATCTTGGCCGAGGATAACCTTTCAGTTGGTTCTGCCACTGAAGGAGAGTTAACTCTCTGCTTCTGGAGAGTTAACTTTTCTAAACAAAAGTGCTGCTTCCTGTTGATTCCAGATAGAACGCAAGAACGCTCATTCAGTAATGAGGACATATTAAAAGTGAAATGCTACTGGTTGCAAGACAGATTTCCTTGTCTGGTAACCAAAACTAACGTCTTTTCTTCACAGGCCTTACCCCAAAGGTGATGAAAGGAAGAAGGCTTGTTTGCAGGCTTTGTCTGAGGTCAAAGTCCAACCTGGTAAGACACTGATCAGCTGTTAGGGTCCTTGTCACTCCTGGCCTCAAGTTGTAGGAAAACTTCAGTTTAGCTTCCTCTTTCACACACATGCACATGTTATGTCCCTCTTACATCAACTGAAAAAAAATGCATCCTGTTCCTTTGTCCAAAGATCGCTAAAAATTTCATGCAGGACACAAGGTTCTTCCAAATACTACTCTTTTGTACGCAGGCAGGCAGCGCCACTGCATTCACTTTACTGAGCTCTTAGCTCTGTCAGGCTCCTGTCGCACTGCAAGGACGATCAGCGCCCACTCCAACAGACGTGCTCAGGGCCCAGCTCTGCTGGATTCTTACCTCTCCCACAACCATGGCCATTCCCTTCAGTCATTATAACTACCACTTAACAGCTGGCACCTGTTTTCTGCCTCAGAGATCTCCAATCTGGCCACCTCCAAGCATGTCAGGCTACAACTTCAGCTGTGCTGGTTGGGAGGCTCTGGGATTTGTAGTCCAATATATCTGGAGGATACCAGGCCAAGGAACGTTGTTCTTCCGTAAGTTTGTGACCAAGATTTTAGGGCAGAGAAAGAATGGTCAGGCAGCCCAACGGTGATTCTCAGTATGTGCTAGCACAAGAGAGTAGTAATTTTTTCTAGTGATAAACCCATTTGCAAATGAATTGCGCTGTGCATGTGTCAGGATTAAATGTAATCTGGCACAGGAATTTGGGTTTCTTCCAAAGGCTGCAGGCTAAAGTCTGTAAATGGCTGCTGCGTGGTAGCAGATTTTAATTCCTGGACTAATTTGTAAAGTGATAGGCGATCTGTCTCGTTTTTGTCACACCAGCTTGGCAACTTTGCCTGCTTTTTTAAGGAAATCCCTTATCCCCTTTGAACAGGTTGTTATTTGCCTAGCAATCCTGAAGCTATCGTCTTGGATATAGACTACAAGTCAGGGACTCCTATGCAAAGGTACGGTGGTCTTTCCCCCTTCCTCAGCTCGGTTGACCTTCGGCAGTGAAGCTGTGTATCTTTCTCTCTAAGCAACAGCTTGACTCTTAACGCCTTCCTCTTCTCCCATTGTACTTTCAGCGCTGCAAAAGCACCTTACTTGGCCAAATTTAAGGTGAAGCGATGTGGAGTCAGCGAACTTGAAAAAGAAGGTCAGTACCGCAGCTTCTAACTTGTGCTGTTCGCTCGCAGCTCCCTGTTGTGTGTTTCTGACTGCCCGGGCATGCATGTCCTGGCGAAAGCTTTCGTTATTCATTATGCCGAAGCACCGCCAGCTCCGGGCTTCTGCGTGCCTTTGGGGAGGGCGCTTTCAGTGGCCCCGCCCCCACTGAGTCTGCTTCCTCATTGCCGTAGTCGCGACTGTGTATCCTGTTTCTCACCTTTGCTTCCACTGGCTTGCTTGGCCGGCAGAAGGCCGGTTGAACAAGGTGGTGGTGGCATCCCCCGCACTGATGTCTGAGCCAGTGAGGGGACAGGAGAGCAAGCAGGCTGCAGCAGTGCGTAGAGGCAGCAAGACCCGGGGGGGGGGGCAGGGGGGGCTCCTGGCTGGAGCCCAGCCAGACCCATCCTTGGAGCGGCCCTGTGCCAAGCCCCTGTGTTCTGCAAGCCTGCCTCGCCAGCTATTGAAGCAGCGCTAAGGGGTGATCATCCTCTCAAGGTTCCTGATTTGGAGTTCATGAAAACCTGCCCTGGTGAGAGCCTTGTGGCTTCCGTGCTCAGTCGCATGCTGGACTCGGCCATCTAACCAACCCAGCTGCAGTCCTGAACTTGCTTAGGCGGGAATCGTACCTGCTGAACAGTGTGGGGCTCGTTCTGAGTACCCATTGGTGGGGCTGCCCTCCCAGTTCGCTAGGGTTGCTCACACTTGAAGGAGGGCCGAAGCCAGGAGGTATTTTCATATGGCATGAAGAATATCTTTTAAACTAGAATGCGTCCTGTGTGAGTGTAGCTCATGTGGGACAGGAAGCAGAAGGGCCGTTCGAGAATGGAGAGGTACCTGTGGAGGTTTCATATTTGAATCGCAGGCCTGCAGAAATGTGTGTAGAAAACAGGTCCGGTCAGGAGGGTATCTGATCCTGCCCGTCTGCCTGTGGGGCCAACTGGCCAAGGTTGTTCTGTGAGCGCCCAGCCCCTCCAGTTCTGCTGCTTGCATGACCTCCCTGCAGTGCGGGGCAGGTGACAGAGCTCCCGTATGTCCGTCCCTTTCCAGAGGCGATCATTTCCACTCTCATCGGGTTGTTTCCAGATGCACTAAATTGCTTCTGTGCAGGCAGTGGGGGTGGCATCTGCAGCTGAATTGGTGGGATGGGCCACATGCTATGTTCGAAAATCTCCACTGAGCATCCTCCAGGTTGGTCGCAGTCCAAAGCCATTAACCGAGATGTGTGGGGGTGTTGCTCTCTTCCCAGGCCTGCGTTGTCGGTCAGACTCCATAGATGAAAGTGGAGAAGACGGTGTGGAAAGCAAGAAGATCTGCTGGCAGGCAGCAATCTTCAAAGTCGGCGACGACTGCAGACAGGTAGCAAAACCGCGAGGCAGATTGCTCTCCGGCGATAAATTGATTTCTGTGCCTAACGTTTGAGCTTTCACTTGAGAGAGGTAAACCCAGGAGAGTCCACTGGCCTGCTGCTTATGCAGCTGCTCGCACACGGTGCTTCATTGCGGGGGAAGTGTGTTCGTGGTGCAGCTGACCGCTCCACCCGTTCCAGCCCCCTCCTTTGATGCTCAGTTGCGGACCCTCTGGCACATCCCGTTCCGCAACCATTTTTTTTTGCAATGGTGCTCAGCATGAGGTGCTTCCTCCCCTGAGAAAAGCAGCCCCTTGAAGCTCCAGTCCAGACCAGGACTTAACATTTTCCTTCTGGCACCGTTCTCTAGAAATCCTTCCCACTGTTATCAGAAGCAGTGGGGTAGGAGTGGAATAGCAGCCATGGGAAGGGGAGAGGTTTTGGTAGGAGAGCAGCCCAGGCAGAAAAGATTTAAATCCCCACACTGCAAGCTGTGACCCAAGACCCCGCACACCTGTTTTTCCTCGAAGCAGAAAGCACTGTGTACTCACTCTGCTTTCAAAGATGCAAAGTAACAGCAATGCCTCTCAAAATCAGGTGCCACTTAGTCCAGTGGGGCTTACTTCCAGTTAAGTTCCAGCTCTTTTAGGTGTCTGGTTTTCTGGGTGCCTGCTATTTTTTTCCCTGCTACACTCCTATGAAGTGCAGAAAAGGCTTCTTTGCACTCGTAACATCCTGCCTAGTTTCAAATCCTGATTTGTTGCCTGAGCAAAGAGTTCAAAACAAGCTGTGAGGGAGGAAAAGTGCCCCAAGTAGAAGCCCCATTGACTAGCCCCATTTCATTTCTGAACAAGTCGCCATAAATAACAGCGTGGCTGCAGATTCTGATAGGGTAGCTCTAGAATATATCAAGAGTCCACTGTGACCTTAGAAAGATGCCAGGTAGGAAACAAGGATGTGTGAGTCATTTATTTTTCGCTTTACAGATTTATATCTCATCTCTTCAAAATGAACTTTTAAGGTAGCTAACAGGAAGGTGGTACAAAGTAAATGAATTGCCATCAGACCACTTAAAATACAGTAACATGACAATAAAACCACAGTAAAACAGGAATCAGTACAGTGGCTTAAACAATAAGAACGATAAATAAAATGACAGCAGCAGTAAAAATTTTAAATGCTTAAATGTCTGGGTGAATAAATAACCCATCAAGTTAGGCACCAGGCAGCCAGCCTTGAGAAAAACATTTCAAAATTGGAGTGTCATCGCAGAGAAGGACCTCTTCCCAGTCTAACCTGAATGTGGGGATTGTCTGAGGATGATCTCTAAGTGAGGTGCAGGTTTCAGTCAGGAGCAGCAGTCTTTTGGAGTCAGCTGCCGCGTGTGCCTCAGATTCTCTCTGTCACCCCCCACACTCCCCATAGTACAGTCACAAGGATGTGACTGTGAAAGATGTGAAGAAGATGTGAAGCTTCTGCTCCCTGATTTTAAATATCTGCAATTTATTGTTCAGACAGGACTCATTATTGTTTCAACCATGGTTTCTCATAATGACTCTTCTCAACAGTTGTGTTTTTACTGATGGGGCTATACAATTCCCTGCCATATCTTTGCCCAGTTGATGCTACTCCAGTTTGCTGCCCCTCTGGTGCTCCGTGGCGCCTGAGGAGTGCTTCCTCCAATACGTGCTTCCTCTGTTGCCAAACAGGACATGCTGGCCTTGCAAATCATTGACCTCTTCAAGAACATCTTTCAGCTGGTGGGCCTTGACCTGTATGTGTTTCCCTACCGTGTGGTAGCAACAGCCCCAGGAGTGAGTACTTGCTGGCCTGATGGTTCAGAAAGTGAGACTGAATGCCCTTGTGCTGTGTGCATTTGACCTCTCTTGTGTATTATGCAGACCACCACAAAACCTAAAGCTTTCTAAAGTGCTAAAGCTTTTCTGCACACCAAAGGCTCTCCCATTAAAAAAATAAGCTATCCTGCCCTGATGACACACACTAGGAGATTTCTAAATACAAAATAAGTAAGCCCCTCCATGCAGTTGGAGTGATCTGGGGCAGGATGAGTCCTTTCCCACTCATTTCTCTTTGAATCCCTGCCAAAGCGAGAGAGCCGTAAGCAAGCTTTTTGTGTGAGCTTTCTGGATTGCTCCCTTCCCCTCGGCACTCCTCTCTTCTTTGGATTTGTGGCTGAATAGAGGTGGGTGTGTCACTCAGCGATGAGGCATCTGCATGCAGGTTTTCCCAGCTTTCCTCAGCATTTCTAGGTGGGGCTGGGAGAGGCTCCTACCTGGGGGTCTGGAGAGCTCTGCCAGTCAGGGGTGGCAGGTGTTTGCAATACTTGATTTTCCTCCTTTACCTCAGTGTGGCGTCATCGAATGCATTCCTGATTGTACGTCCCGTGACCAGCTGGGCCGGCAGACTGATTTTGGGATGTACGACTATTTTACAAGGCAGTATGGAGATGAATCGACCCTGGCTTTCCAAAAGGTATTTTTCCAGATGTATAGCAAAACTCTGCTTCTCCCTGCGATTTTACCTTCGTGTGGCATCTGAACCAGTCATCTTGCCACACAGAACCTTGCAGAATCCAGTAAAATGGGAAAGCTCACAAATGATGACAAATAGCAATGAGGATAAGTAAAAGGTGTTTCATTCCACAAAAATAAACCATTCCAGTGCATTTCAGAGCACATGTAGGTTTTTCAGGGAAATTCTGTGTGATCGAAATCATTCTACAGAGAGGGAAAAAGCACGCAAGATCACGTGGAACTCCCATAAGTAAAGACCTTCATATGGGGTGAAATACGTTGGAACTATTTATTTTTTTCAAAGAATCTTGCAGCCAATTATTCTTCTTGGCGTTTGCAGAATTGCAAAGTGCCTTTCATTGCAAACTGCATTCCTAAAATATACAGAAATGTGATCTGCCTGCTCACTTTGGGGCTGCTGTAACCAGCCAGTCCTGCCTTCCTGTGGCTTGAAAACACAGGGTGTGGTTGACATGAAAGGCGTTCGTTTGTTTTGGAGGGCGCTAAGCCCATCCTTCCAGCGTGAGCCTCGTGTGCCATTTTCTTGGCTTCACCCCCACCCCCGCACCTTTGGCCTCTCTGGGAATTTCCCGTGTGTGCATTGCTTGCCTGCGTGCCTGATGCGGCCGACCTCTCTCCTCCGTGCAGGCTCGCTACAACTTCATCCGCAGCATGGCTGCCTACAGTCTCCTCTTGTTCCTGCTCCAGATCAAAGACAGGCATAATGGCAATATCATGCTGGACAAGCATGGGCATCTCATCCACATCGGTGAGTCCAGCCCCTGCTTTGCTTTTGGCAGGCCATCATTCTGGCTCTGGCTCTGGCTCTTCACTTCCACGATGTCTTCACTCTCCCCACCTGCCCCCTGGAGGCAGCTGTCACACCTGGGAAACACCTCCTCCTGTACTGACCAGAGGGTGCATCTCCTCACTTCAGCTGCTTCCATACTGCAAGATGTACCAAGAACTCTCGTATATTTAGCAGTGATGCCAAGTGGGCCTTGGTGGGGAGAGTTCCATAGTTTGGGAGCTACCACAGAAAAGCCCCCCTCTCCTTCTTGCCACCTCAGTCTCCCCTGGAGGTAGCATTTGGAAGAAGGCCTCAGATGTAGAGTGGAGTCTCTTGGGTTCATTGCATTTGGAAACCTTCTCCCTCAGCACTCCCAAATTTGTAATAAAAAAGAGTGTGTGACAGAGGAACTAGCGTAGAACTTTATCACTGAAGCAGTGGTCGATCAAATGGTCCCCAAACTTTGTGATCAGTTTGCTCTCTTTCTTTTCCTCCCTGACAGATTTTGGTTTCATGTTTGAGAGCTCACCCGGCGGGAATCTGGGTTGGGAGCCAGACATCAAGCTGACTGATGAGATGGTGATGATAATGGGAGGGAAAATGGAGGCCACACCCTTCAAGTGGTTCATGGAGATGTGTGTCCGGGGATACCTGGCTGTCAGGTGAGGAGGCCTCCACTGGGCCCTCGCTTTCTGAATTTCTGCACTGGAGGCCACGGGCCACTTTTGTTCACCCACCAACCTTTTGCTTCAAGGGTTGCAGTCTTGCAGCTCCCAAAGTCTTCCCCAGAAAGCTGCTTTTGAAAAGGGATTTGAGGGAAGAAAGGGGTAAGGGTGTGCTGGAAGGCTGGTCCAGGCATAAAAGGCAGCAAGGAAGAAAGGCAGAGTCATTGCAGGGAGCAGAACATCTGATGATTTGGATGGTGGAGCTGTAGAAGAAAGTGCTGCAGGCTGAGAAGAATCAGGGCAGAAGAGGAGAGAGAGATGAAGGGACAAGATCATGGAGGGTTTTGCTAACCAGACGAGGAGGTGCTGGATCAAAGAGCCAAAAGGAACCCGTGTGGCGGGTTTTCAGGGGCTCACTTTAACACCCCAACCCAAAGGTTGCTGTTAGTTCCCAAAAATAGGGCTGGCTTCCAAACCTCCCTTGAAGTTACCTGTCCTGCAGTGCTCCATCTCTACAGCCGCCCTGGCGGTGGGGGTCCCGATAGCATGGCATCTGCCAAGCCCAGGGGAGTGGCACTGCTTTTGTCGCAGTAATTTCGTTAGCGTGATAGATTATAAGCGGCCGGGCAGCTTCATCAGCAAATGGAGAAGGATTAATTTAATTACAGTAATAAGGTGTGATCTGTTCCCCACTGAGCGCCACGGTTTTGCTTTGCTCCCCCCCTGCCTCCCCCTTTCTGCGCTGCCTTTCTTCAGCAGCAGAACTAAGTCCTCTTTCCTCTCTCCTTGCATAGGCCGTACATGGACGCCGTCGTCTCTCTGGTTACGCTGATGCTGGACACAGGGCTGCCCTGTTTCCGCGGGCAGACAATCAAGCTGTTGAAGTAGGTTTCTCACACCACTGAATAATGGGGTGTGCTCTGGAAACACACAACGCAGCAGCCTTGCCCAAGCTAATCAGGTCTGGGGCCAGGGAGCACCTGAGTGGGAAACGGCTGGCAGTTCTGTGAAAGAGGAGTGGGGTATGAATTAAAGGAAGCGAGAGTGAGCCTTGGAGCTGGAGGAGAACGACATAAGGGAGCCCTGCAGGGTCAGGCCGGGGGTCCCTCCTGTCTGCGTTCCCATCAGCTGCCCACAGGAAGCCCCCAAGTGGGATAGCACTCTTCTGCTGAGCGCTCCGCCGACTTGTGCACGTTGGCATGCTGCCTCCGAAACCGGAGGCCATGCCGGGCCATTCGGATAGCCGCTGCCTCCAGCCCAGTCCCATTTTAAAGCCACCCAAGTGCCAGTTACCTTTCTGCCGCTGAATCGTGTGCTGTATAAAGAAGTCCTTATTCTTATCTATCCTGAATCTCTCAGCTTCATGGAATGACCCCACTGAGTTCTAGTCTTGTGAGCGAGGAAGAACAATTCCCCGTACCCACTTTCTCCATGGCAACTCTATTGCATCCATGATGTTTCCCCTTACCTGCCCTTTTCCCCCTGTAGTTAACCAGTCCCAGCTGTTGTACCTTTTCCCTCATGAGGGGAAAGATCATTTATGGATGTCTACAAATGGCTTGCAGGAAAGCAAACCCTGAATAATCACTCAATACATGCTTGGGCATAAGCCCCATTAAACAGCACGTAGTTCTGCCATTAAACAATTAGTATTCGTTTTGGGTCAGCCTTCTTAGAATCTGCCTGGAACTCGGGGGCCAGCTAACCCACAATCCACACAGCAGGCCATGCCCAGCTTCACCAAGAGGCGCTGGGCATAGTTACAAAGAGCTGTGCCTCTGTAAATGCTCTTCTGCACTTTCTGCTCTCTTGAACAGGAACAGGTTCAGCCCCAACATGACGGAGCGAGAGGCCGCAAACTTCATCATCAAGATAATCCAGAACTGCTTCCTCAGCAACAGGTATGCTCCTTCCCCTGCCCCTTTCTTCATCAGCCTTGAGTGGCAGGCGTGGGCAGCCAGGCCTGGTAGGAGGAGGTGCGTCATACCGTTTGCATTACCACGGCGTTTGTGTCTTTTTGTGAAGGACCCAAGGTGGCTTACATAATCCTCCCCCTCCTCTTCATGTTATCCTGTGAGGTGGGCTGGGCCGAGAGTCAAGGACGGGCCCAAAGTCGCTCAGGGAGATGCATGGGGTCTCGAACCCAGCTCTCCCAAGTTCCAGCCCAGCGCTCTCACCACCACGCCGCATTGACACGGCAGCTTTCCTTTCCTACCGCTTCTGCCTGATTTTTTATATCGAGAAATGGCTGGGATTGTGCCTGGCCCCGTTTTGCATGCAGCAGGAACAGTACCTTTAGTTCCTGGTGTCTCCAGGTAAGGCCAGGAAAACTGTCTGACACCCTGGAGAGGCAGTTGCTGCCGGCCTGTGTTGACGGGACTGAGCCAGATGAGCCAGTGGTGATGAGTCTGTGCAAGGCAATTGCCTACGACCTTCCGCTTGCACAGCATGGGCTTTGCATCCTTTCCCTTAATGCACGGATGAGCCGCAAGCTCCTTTCTAAGACACTGTGCAACAAACGCCATCCAGTGTAGCCGTGGCAGGGAAGGCGGCAGGAACGTCTTTACAGACGCCGGTGTGTGGGAATCCTTGCTGCCGAAGACAGCCTGTTCATACAGCTCTGAAACGCCTTTGCCTTTGTGTGTGTTCCTCTTCTTAGGAGTAGGACCTACGATATGATCCAGTACTACCAGAATGATATTCCCTACTGAGCGCCGCTCCTCCTGCGGGAGGAAAAGGAGGCTCTGCCGCCACACCTTCGTTCGAGCCTGGACACGTGAATTCTAGTGTTCCAGTGTACTGCCTCCAAACAATCCTGTGCGCATGTGAATGTGGGTGCCTCCCTTTTACCAGACCTTGGAACAATCAGCACCTTGGGCTCGGCTCGGATGGCCGTGTTCTTTGACGGTGCACCTGTCAGCTGCCGTCGCAGACTTACGATCCGGTTGCCCTGTGAATGTGAGCAGAATGGAGGGGTGGGCTAGTTGTCGAGCAATGCAAGAATCTTTCCCTTTCCCTTTCCCGGCAAGAACTCATAAATGCCCGCTCTGGAATTCCCGTTCAGAGTAACGAAGAAGCACTAAATTGCTTGGGACGACGCTGTAGAAATTGTACTGATAATCATTCGTCATGGTAGCGTCTGTCGTAACATGTCGTATTTTGCACTGTAAATGAATCCTGCTCCGTGGTCAGTATTTCGTACATACATGAAGAATGTATTTTTCCCCTTTGTGTGGTTTTAAAGAGAGAAACTCTACTGAAGATAAATATATTTAATCTAAAAAAAGGAATAAAAAGACTTTTAGGGTTCCTTACATCTCTATTCCAAACTTTTAACTTGAAAACAACTGGCCTGAAAGGGGACAAAGAGGGCGAGAGAGCGAGTGGAAACTGCTGAAGTGTGCGTGGCCAGGGGAAAGATATTTTATTCAGGTTACCATATCCAGGTTTCTTGGTGCAGAATTCTAGTTGTTCACTAGATGTTTAGCTTTGATTACCCCTTTGTTTTTTATGGGTTTTGGTGGTTGTCATCAAAAGTGGGCAGACTCCAGGCTTGGGGGATTGACCTGGAACTGTGAGGTCCACTAAAAGTCAGGCACAGACTGGTGGAAGCAGATGAAAAACGGGAGCCGAGCCAGTTGGGGGTGCAGAGCGTGAAGCCCGGGACCAGACCTGACTCCGCCAAAGCCCTCCGGCCCCACCGTTGCCTGTTGGGTGCCTTCCCTGCTTCTGTGCATCGATTCCCCTTTTGTCTTCAGGCCCACCCATCAGTGGAATGCAGCCCCAAAAAGTCTCCAGACTGGAATCTTACCCTCTGCATAGACACCCCTGATTTAGGTCTCTTTCATCCTGCATTCAGAGCCCGTTTCAGGACCAAAAACAGCCCCAGTGGGTGACTTACGCTCAACTTGCGTGAAGAACCGGGTAGGAGGAATGTGCCCTCTTGGTTCTGCTGGACCTCTCAGTGGCATTTAACAGGATGGGATGTTAAAGGACGTCTGACTTTAACAGACTGAAAAAAGAACTTGCGGGGAGGGGCAGATTGATCAAACTGCAGATTGTCGTGTTGAAAATGCAATTTTTCCCTAGGGCTTTGCACTGGATCCATCGTGTTCACCGTTTCAACAGAGGCAGGCAAGTTGTACGCCCCAAAGTCTGGTGTCTTCACTGGTGGTACTGTGGATCCTCTTAACTCTTTGTAGATACGCACAATTTTCCCACACCCTCGGGAATCCTGCATTCCGTTGGACAGTGCACTTTTCACATGGAGGAAGTCAGTCACTCACAGAAGCCCCACGGAGAGCACCAGAGGCGAATTACAGCATTCTTTATTTGTGCTTGCTGGTTACTTGATCAGCACTATTCGAGGGCTACGTTTATTATGCACATCCGAGATCAAAGCAGAGGGAAACTACTAACACACCAGCATGATACAGTACTCTGATTGCTCTCTCCCTGCTTCTCTGCGCTATCTGAACTTGTCAGGATTGGTGTCGGGCAGCATTCACTGATATTACTGGTTTTAAAGTATTTCCATCCCACTCCCCGGCCCAAAAAGAGCTCCCCAAGCAGCTTAGGGAAGGCCCCCCTCCACCCGGGTCAATCACCTAACTACTGCTCTGTGAATGGCGGCTGATCTGTAGTTGTTATGTGGCATCAAGTCATCCCTGACCTACGGTGCCCCTGTGAATGAATGAGTGCCCCCCCGGAAAGCCCTGTCCATATCAGCCCTGCTTAGCTTTTCCAAGAACACCGACTGCAGCCATTCCAAATTCAAGGTCATGGCTTCCTGGAGTCCACCCATCTCATATCTCTGTCTTCAACCTTTCCTAGCAAAATCCTCTCCTCGAGGAAGGCTTGCCTTATGGTGCGTCCAAAGCGCGACAGCCTCCGTTTTGTCATTTTTGCTTCAAGGGCAAGCTCTGCCTTGATTTGATCCAGGGCCCACTGGTTCTTCTTAGTCAGTTCATGGCATTTGCAAATGACCCCTGATAATAAGGTAAATGCTACTGTCCGAACTCTGCTCTCCACACCCCCAACCCCCCCCCCTTTGTAAGTATCTCTGTAAGTCAGCAAAACAAAAAGCTTAGCTTAGAACAAATGTTCAAGGAGCTGCTGCGCTGCAATTTATTTCCCTGGCAGTAGCATAAAGTGCCACCAGAGGGCACCCCATGGTAAGTTGGTGGTGGGGATGGGAAAGGAAGGAGTTGACTAAACTGTTACGTGGCTTTTGTTTGGCTTGTGCGATAAGAGGAGTCCTTGTGCCTGCGGCATGGTTTTGAAGGCTTTGGGAGGGCGCCATCGGTGGGCTCGTCTTGCAGCTCTTGTCCACCCCCTCATGGTTGCCATCCTCTTCCTCATCACCGCCACTGCTTGCCTGCTCGCTCGCTCAGCGAGCGGAGTGACTTTGAGCAAGGTGGTGGGGGCATCTCCTGCTCTTCCACCCTCACCGCCAGCCTCAGCAAGAGGCAAGGGAACGTGGAAGCACAAGGAGGGGCAGCGACTCCAGAGAAGCAAAATCCAGCCATTGCTCATTTTAGTCCAGCATGGTCAACACTGCAGGCAGGATTGCTGCTAGCCCTGCTTGGAGATCCTGGCGGTCAAACCATTGTCTCCACGCAATGTATGTGCACCTGAACTGCCGCTCCTCCCTACAGCCACGGTGGTGTTGGAGAACGATGGTACCAGAAAACTGGGGTGGGGTTGGAGTGGAAGATTGTAATGGGGTCACCTGGAGGAGGGCTGGCGGCCTGCGCCTGGGCCCGGGCCTGTAGCCACAGGGAGTGCTGGGAGGCCGTACCGGTTAATCTTCTCTGCTGCTCAACCTTTTCAAAGCCATTTAAAAACCGCGTACGGTTTTGCCTTTCAAAGGCGAACCAGGTGAGCTGCTCCCACGCTCCCTTTTGGCACTGCCATGTGTGTGCTTTTGGCTACCTGCAGTCATCCTGGCACTGAGAACAGAAGAATTGGTGCTAGCAGGTAAGAATACACGCTGCCCTAGCTGGTCGCTTACGTCTCGCGTGCAATTGGTAAAGATTTCCCACCCAGTAATCTGCTGCATTGCTTTCTAGTCCAGTCTTTGCCATGCTAAGTCCAATTTTTCACCATGCTCCAAACTGGAGGCATGCAGGTTTTCTCTGGGAGGGGAGGAATTGTGGAAAGTGGCCACAGAACCATCAACTGCTTATTCCCATCCGGAAAGTTTTCATCAAGACATCAACTCCCAATACCTCCTGCACCATTTCAGATGTCTCCCCTTAAGCCATGAGCATGTTTGCATCCTGCCTGGATCTTCGTGCCGCTGGCCCAGCTCCCTTCTCACCATCAATCCAGCCTTCAGGAACCAGGACGTTAAATAGATGAAAGAAAGAAGAGTTGGGAATCCAGCCAGTGATAATCTGGCAATGCAATCAGAGCTGGGAAGAAAGGAACGTGGGGGTGGGGAAGCCACGGAGAAGCATCTGCATGGCGTTCTGCCTCGGGTTGGATTAGAAAACAAAAAGGATGAGAGGGAATGTGGCCAAGAATCAAAGCGTGTTTAAAGGAGAGAGACTGGACTTGTGCATTGCATGCTCCTTATATCTTTGCACACGACATTATGGATTTGATCAGGTTTTTACGTGATCCTCAAAGATGCTCAGGGCAACACATGCTACTGGGTTCCAGTCCTCCGGAGCCTTGTGAGGTAGGCCAGGGATGACTGGGAGAGCCTGAGCCTGTTTGATGGGCACGGATTTCAACTTGAGCCTCTCCCGGTCGAAACCCAACATGTTCGTCGCTGTTCTCCTGGCCTGCGCCTTTTCATCGGGCTGCGTCTATGAGCAAGCCATGCTTTTCAGCTGTGGCAATATTTTGGTTTGCTCCCTCTAGATCAATACAAGATCAAAGAAAAAATATTTGCAAGGACTTCTTTAATTAAAGCAGTGATGGGCAACTTGAACAGCTTGATTCAAACACTCCAGGACCCTGGGAAGAGTGATCTGTCTGCCTCAGTAGCCGGCAAAGAAAGGGTGTCAGAGAGAGGGGGAGGAAGAGAGAAGGGGCTGGGAGCAAGAGAGGGGAAAACGGATCACTTTGCCTCTAGTCTGCAGACCCCCAGCTTTGGTCCCATTCTGCCCCAGCAGATCACCCTCAGAGGGACAACTCCATGGCAGAGGGCCTGCCCCAGCCCTGGAGGTCCCTAGTTCTGTCTTGGGCATCTCCAGTTTGAAGGATCAAGTAGCAGGTGATGGGAAAGATGGCCCGCCGGGGCTGTGACCCTGGACCTTTCATTGGGAGACCGCAATCTCAGTCTCTCCCAAGATTTCAGCACTTGCTGAAATATAAATGGTGCCCGAAAATCGCAGTTGCATGTAATCTGCCCCCCAGGATTAACTGGCTTTTCCCCCATCTGTGCACCACCACCTGCCCTCTTCCCCCAGCCGTTCTTCCTGAGGTCTCTGCAACCATGGCCACCCTCTCCTCTATCCAGGCATCGTTTAGGGGACAGGGCCCTTTGTGGACTCCAGAACTTACATGAATCAGCATGTGCAAACTGCAACTTTTGGGGAGGTCCTGTGGGCCTGAGCCCCGGTTCTGTTTGGTACTTCACTGCCCGTCGGAAAAGTCAGTATCTGGGTAAGATGAGCCAAGAAGTTGACTGGTAAAAGGTAACTACTGCAGCCACACCACTAGGGAGCACCATCAGCCTGTTGGCCAGATGTTTATGATGCGCTCACCTCCACCTCGGTGAGCCCTTTCTATTGCACAAGAGAAGCTGCATCTGGGGGCCTCTGGGTGAACTTGTGCCTGGCTTTGCATGATAGCAGACATAAGTCTGAGCATGCACGGACCCAGCCCGAGGTGACAGCGGAGATTTATGGGTCGGGGCAGGAACCGCAGAGAAGTTTAACTTCAACGCTAGACGCTTCTTGGCTGAAGTTTTGCTCGGGGAACCGGGATGGGTCTGAAACTGATTCCCAGGCTCTGGGGATCCCTTCCCCCTGCCTGAACAAACCTACACCCCAGTGCTTAGTTCCCAAAGGGACTGCGTATGCGTGCAGGAGCCCGACCCAATTCCAGCCACAGGGTTGTCATGTACACCTGGACCTTTCGCCTTCTTGTTTTAAAGCAGTGGGACTCCTGTAACAGGGAGGTTTCATTGTATGTAGCAGAATCTCACCACGAAAATTGGCCGGGCCTTTGATCTTGCCTGCCCAGCAGGGTAGGTATGGTTGGGCGTCTGCCCAGAGCCCTCACCACAGCAGGGGCCCCCACGCAAGAGCCGCTCTGGACTGGCTTCTCCATCTCCTCCTCGCAACCTGCTGAACGTCAT